GATAGTCAAGTAGTACGGGAAGCGCGACTTTATAAACATTAAAAGCGGCAGCTGGCCCGTGCATACACCTTACCTAATACGGCGGGCACTAAACCCGGAAGAGCAAACACCACACCTGAAATTACTAGAATTACTTTTATATAGAAATACTAGTATAAAAATCTTTAAATTATTTTAGTTAAAAATATTATTATTATAAATAATAGAAGTATTACATATTAAGATTTCTTTATTAAGAATTAATATATTATCTAATATATTAAAGAAATATATATTATATTAGTCTATTAACTAGAAGCTTTATATAATTTATTTATTATTATTTAAATTATTAAACTTTCAAAAACTAATATAAAAGCATTTAATAAATATATTTAATAGTAAATTAAGAATATTATAAAAGAACTAAGAATTATAAAACTAGTAAAAAAGTCCTTATATTTAATTATTTTTATAAATACTTTATTTACAAATAATAGAGATCTTTTTTCTTAAATTAAATATATTCTAGTTTTAATAAATAAAACTAAATATAAGAAAGTAACTAGAAGTATTCTAGCTTTAAAATTATATAATATAGTTTATAGCTTTAATATAAGTACTTTAATTAAATCTATAATTAATAAAGTACTAGAAATAGAACTTTTATTAGTTATTTATATAAATCTCTTATTAAATTAAATACTATTTAAGAAAAGTATTTAATAATTAATATAATATATCTTTATTATATATATAAATAATAAGAAATTATAAAAGTTAAATAAATTAAAAGAAAATCGATTTTATTAACTTTATAATAAAATTAAAACTATTAAATACCCTTAAATATCTTATTAATATAAATATTATATAATTAAATATAAAGAAATAAATTAAATATAAATAGATCAAGAAATAAATATATTAAATAAAATTAAGAAATTAGTATATAATTAGAAAAAAATACTATTTTTTACGTTTTTAAAAAAGTTCTAATATTAGTATAATTATTATTTCGGGAGTTATATACTTAATTATAAAACTCGGAAGTAATAAAATATAAATAATAAAATATAAAATACGAGATATAATAATATAACCTTATATTTTATAAATAACTTAACTAATAGCTAGTTCTTATTAGATTTAATAGATTTAGAAATTATATATTAATATTATAATATTTTTATTTTTATTAATTTATATATATTATATAATAATATTTTTATTTAATTAATTTAAAAAACAGAAATAAAATATAAGTTATTATTAAATATTATAAATTTAATTATTTAAACTATAAGCTAAAAAAACTAAATAAAAAGCTTATTAGAAATTCTAGAAAAATATAATTACTTTTTTATATATAAAGAAATTATAAAAAAAATCTAGAATTCTTTATTAAATTAAATAAATTAGAAATTATTTCTAATATAATAAGAATTTTGCTTTTATTAATTATATAATATAATTAAATAACTTCTAAATATTTATATATCTAGTTTTATATATATTACTTGCTTTTCTTTTTAGTTTTTAAAAATTAACTAATTTTATTTTCTAATTTTATACTTTATTTATATATTATAATTTTATATTATAAAAACCTATTATTTTTATATATTATTACTTGTTTTATATTTATATTATATTAGTAATATTAAAAAATATTAAATAAATTATTATAATTAAATTAGTAAAAAATAAGCTAAAATATAAAATTTAATTAATTAATTAAAGTAAAAATCCAGAATAATATTTAGCTTTAATATTAAATAATAGCCTTTTAATTTTATAATACTTTTATAATAATAATATTAATATACTAAACTTATTAAAGCTTTTATAAAACTTATAATATTAGTTAAATTATATAAAAATTATTAGAGAAATAATAGAAAAATAAAAATAAAAAACGGCTTTTATAAAGCTAGAAACAAGTTTATTTTATTTTTAAGAAAAGTAATATTATAATTTAGCTTTTAATCTAGTTAACTAATATAATTATTTAGTTAGTATTACTTATATTTTATTATTTATATTTTATTATTTATATTTTATTATTTATATTTCATTATTTATATTTCATTATTTATATTTCATTATTTATATTTCATTATTTATATTTCATTATTTATATTTCATTATTTATATTTCATTATTTATATTTCATTATTTATATTTCCATTATTTATATTTCATTATTTATATTTCATTATTTATATTTCATTATTTATATTTCATTATTTATATTTCATTATTTATATTTCATTATTTATATTTCATTATTTATATTTCATTATTTATATTTCATTATTTATATTTCATTATTTATATTTTATTATTTCTAATTACTTCTAGATTATATAAATATATATAAACATATTTAAAGTATTAAGCCTTTTATAAACTAATATATTATAAAATTTATATTTATATTTTAGCTTTCTTTTTTTTGGCTTTAAATCGTCTTTATAAAAGATTTTTTACTTTAATTTTCAAGCTTTAAATATTATATTTATAATAGTATTTAAAGCTTAATTTCTTGAATTTTATAAAAAAATTTAAATAAGCTAATTTAAAATTATTAGAAATAAAAGCGCTATTAAGATAATAAAACCTTAGAAATATAAGTAAAAGACTTTAGAATAATAAAAGCAAAAGCTTTAAAACTTTAAAAGAAATCAAGTATTTAAATCTCTATAAATATATATTAATAAAATATTAGAAACTTTCTTAAAAACCGAAAATTAAAGAATTTTTTATAAAGGCTGCCTTTTAACTTTTATTTTGCAAGGCAAATAAGTAAATAAATAAGTATACTAATTTATATTTCTTTTATATAATTATAATTTTATTACTTCTTATACTTATAAGCGTTTTAATAAGGAAATAAAGATATATTTTATATTTTATTAGCTATATATTTATTAAAAACAATTTTTCTTTTTAATTATAAAAAGAAAAATATAGAAATAAGTAGAAGCCATTAATTCTTTTACTTATATTAATTATAAGAGAAAAAGTTATCTAATAATAATTAATTATAATAAACTTGTCTCTTATTTAAGCTTATTTTCAGTCTTATTACAAGATACCAAACTCGGAATTAGCCTATATAAGAAGAAGAGAAAAGGATTTCAGTAATAATATAGGAAGTTAATTCGATACTAACTTCTGATTAATAGAACTAGAATAAAGGAAATAAATGAGTAGAAGTGAAATTGGAAAGAGAAATAAGGTAATAATGCATTCAGGATATTTTCATAGTGGTATACTGGCTTTAGTGCAATATAACTCGCCGTAATATAACCAGAGAGAGTGCTTGACTAGGGGCTCTAAAGCTTGTCTTTACCAATACTGGGTACTGTAGCTTACTTAGAATGGACAGCCGTCTGAGAACCACTGCACGTGAACTTTTGCTTTGCATTCTTAATGCTGTTACTGCCGGTGCATGGAAGATCTACGGTAGTGGCACCAATTACTAGTCTCGTCAGCTCTTGCGCCAATAGCCGCTGCTCCTCGAACCAAGTAGGCGATACCGCAGCCTTCGCAGTCTGTGATGGATATCGTTCGCAGGCGGGATATCCCCATCTGGCTCAAAACACTGCGGCTACAACAACTCTGCCTGGATCGCCTGTAAATCTTGCCTCCACTGTTCTGATCCTCGCAACTGTGGCAAGCTCACCAGGCGTAAATTCGGTTGCGACTCGTGAGTACCACACTAGCTTCTTCTTGCTTGGACTCTCGTTTCTCTTGGGTCTTTCAAAACAACACGCTTACGCCTCAAACTCCCAAGGGCCTGTCATTACCATTAATTCAACTTCAACCATACCTTCGGCTTAAGAAACGGGTTTGGGTTCAGGTGGGGGTACCGGTCGTGGAGGGTATGGTGCTGGTAATAATATCGCTTCAGGGGTTGGGCTGGGAGTTGGGATTCCGCCTTTGGTTGTTTCCGTTGCTTCTGGTTGGGATGTGTTGGGATGTGGTCATTGTCTGCGGGAAAGGTGGAGAGCCCCGAATCTACTCATGATTCCATAGAATATCTTCCTCTCTGTTTATATAAACAGAGGAAACAACAGCTGCTCGGTGCTCCCCTCCATGTCGCTCAACCGAACGCCCTCTGTATGCACATAAAATTATTACCTATATGGATTAGCAACACCATCTACGGCCTTTCCCAGACACTTGAGCTCTCTGCACCCCACAACAATAATTTCCTGAAACTGACAAGAATGCTCGGCTTCTACTCGCGTTCTCCCACCCTACTTAACATCAATGATGACAAATTCAAGCCACCAACGACTCCTCATCCCAACCCATATTAAACAACTCCCAAATAATTCTCAACCCACCTTGAGAGCACACTGCGAGACACTCTTATCAACACACCCCACAAACATCATATCTCCCCCACATTGAGTCACGAGATTGTCGCAGATCATAAACCATGAACATATGGTCGGAATTTTGCATTTATGTCCCGAAGGAAAGCAGGTGACACGGTCTTAATTAGGGCATATCACCGGATTGCCGCAAAGCGATAGAGGATCTACGCAGGTTGGTGTCGGGCAAATACGAGTGTGCGTGTGTGAGTTCTCTAGCTTGTGCGTGGTGTGCCAAGGGAGTACTTTCGATGGCGCGGCTGTGATGAAGAGGGAAGGTACTAAGAGGGGAAGAGGTTAGAGGCGCATTTCGGAGGGTAGGCGATGGTTGTCTCTTGTTTTCGTAGTCAAAGGTTAATTATTTTGAAGGGATGCTAGAACTTTACCATAGTATTAATTGAAAGAAGAAATGTTTCTTGGCGGACAGAAGCTGAACGGGCTGTAGGACATGGCTGCTGCAGATATTCCCGAATCGAGATCTCTGGGCTTGCGATGTTCCTTGGCGTAGCGGTATCTGCTGTGAATTCTCCTTGGCATTGGTCCGTGCGAATCGTATCGTGATGTGTAAAGGGGAGATGCTATTTGTGATATTGATTGGACATTCGACAATGGATACTGAGTTCAGAAAAGCTTCCGGAGAGGATAAGTGGGCACCTTGCCACGAATTATACTGACTTTAGAGCAAAAGAGAGGGAGCAAAGGAGAAACGAACGAGGATCAAAAACAGTTTAAGAGACAAATGTTATAGAAATCCGCTAAACTCGCGAAAAGATTACAGTACAAATACAATTTCCTTCGATCTCTTCCATCACCCCAAATTCCCCATTTCGCAGCAGCAAACTCTAAGCCGTCCGCTGCCCAACGACCGCATACCTGTCACCTCCAAAGATCCCTTTGCCTGCCCGCTTCGCCTTCCTGGCCCGAATAAAGATCAGTGTTCCCGAAACTACGAACAGCAACCCTGCAAATCCAAGGATCACGTGATCAAGTCCACTCTGGCGCGGCGAGACCCTCTCTTCATCCTTCCCTGGATCTGGCGCTTTCCCTGGTTCTTCATTTACGGATTCTTCCTTCGTTACCCCTTTAATACCCATGAGTTCCGTGTCAAAGACTGAGAGCTGTTAGAAAGGACTGATTAGAGGCCTAAAGGGCAGGTACGCAGAGTGCAGTCAGTCTTGCATGATCCTATGCCTCTACTGGTGCCGTATGCTAGACTCCCTGGGATAGTGAGTTTGCGTTTCTCGCCGATGCACATGTCTAGCAGGCCTTGATCCCATCTATAAAATGTCAGCATCGATTTGGAAGCACACGTGACACAAAATTCTCGCCAGGGGGGCGTTTGCGCCCAGGGAAGACGGATTAAGAAGAGAAAGGCGTACCCTTGAATGACCTCCCCTTTCCCAAGGCTAAACTGAAACGGCTCGCGATTGTAGCTGCTATCGAATTCCTCTCCATTGGGCAAGGTCCCGCGGTAGTTGACCGTGATGGAATCGCCGGCTTGGGTCTTGCGCGCGCAGGTCACAGGATTTGTGACTTCGATCCCAACTTCTGTGGCGAGAACAGAGGTCGCTAGAGCGGTGAGGAGGAGTGGAAGGCGCATCTTGATGGGGTGGGTGGATGAGGATAGAACGACGACGACATTTGGTTTGAATGAGATGTGTCGTCGATGTCAGGGGCTGAGGGGTTTGCCGAGATTTCCCCATTTGGATTAGCCTCATCCCTGAACTTCAAATAATTCAATCACGAGACATGGAATTTTTAATTGTGGAAGCTCGGGGATCATAGTTGCGGTGATAGTAGGGTGCTTAGACGTGAAGGAAATTGAACGTTGGCAGAATCAGGTGAAGAAGATTGGATTCTGCGTCAAAAAGTTTCGAGGTGATGCTACAACTAGATTGAACACCAGGACAAGCTGGACGACTCAGTCTGGAGGCGCGTGACACGCGGCTAGTGCTTGCAACCCGGTCGCAGACCCATATAGACAAGAACAAGGGCGAGTGCGTCACCCCTTCCAAGCGCAAGGGCGGTCCAATGAGCAAGTAGGTATCCCGGTCAACGACTGGCCAGCAACCGACAGGCCAATGCTGCAGTCCTATTTGAACTTTCCTGGGAATTCGAGGACGGCCTCATGCCCCACTTGACTAAATTAAAATTTGGCCATAGACGGGATGACATGCGACGAGAGAAAGAACCATGACAACGAGAAGGTCGATGACGACAAATCTGATGCCTAAGAACCCTAGCCTGTGGTGTTACAGAATACAAAGTTCTAGATGCGTATTGAAGCAACTGAGCTACGACCTTGCCAGTTGCGAAAGGAGCATATCCTGGACTTGGTTAATTCCCGCAGATCCCTCATGGCGCAGGTTGACGCTATGAGCATTTGCAACAATAGAGGACCAACCTGGGGATCGGGAGGAGTATATATACCCTCGAAACCACCAAAATCAAGGAACAAATCTCCACGTGCTGAGAGGTCTATTAATTAATTTGCAATCTGGTATCTACACAAACAAGCAATCGTCAAACTGCTACAGCAAAATAAAAATAAAAAATAAAAACAGGCAAAAACGACATGACACCATTCCCTCCTCATTAACCCCCAACTCTCCTCCCCCATTGCCTTTTTCTTCCTTTTTACTCTCCCCACGAAGATCTAAAACAAAAACATCCAAGGGAATAGCACCTTCAACGCAAGCATCAACTTCTTCCACCGATTCGCTTCCGCATGATCCTCCTCGCCTACCCCGTGCCGCCTAACAACCTTCAAGAAAACCTCATCAAACGTACTCACGCTCACTGAATGGTATTCCAACCCCAATTTCTCTCTGTTCTCTTCCAGCAACACAAACAAACTCCCCACAGACGGCGGCTCCTCTGCCTTCTCGAGCTTGGTGGGAGTTTCGGTGGGAGTGAGGTCAGAGTCGGAGGCTGGGGCGGGAAGCGGAGAGGTTGAGGGGATGTTAAAGCGGAGTTGTCCGAGCCAGGCGTCTCGCTCCACTTCTGCTCCAGGAAAGCGTTCCTCGACCCATGCCTTGACCGCGTTCATCTCTTCCGGTGTCGAGTTCGGCGCGGATTTCAAAACCAGGTGAATGTGGTATCCGTATCCATATTTCGTCCTCAGATGACTGGTGGTACCAATGTCGAGGACGTGCTTGGCGAGAACACCAACGCGGTCGGCGAGGGCGTCTGCTTCCTCCATCGAGTGGGTGGTGAGTAAGATGGATCTGTGGGGAACGAAGCGCGACAAAGTCCTCCACATGTTCCTCTTCGCCAGCGGGTCCATCCCACTACTCGGCTCGTCCAACAAAAGACACTCCGGATTCCCAATCAGCGCGATGGCGAGAGAGAGTTTCCGTTTATTGCCACCGGAAAGCTTGTTCGCCATTCTATTCGCAAACGGCGCTAATCCCACTGCTTTAATTAAGCTCTGAACATTCTGCTCGATATTCGTGACGCCTCTTATCCCGGCATAAAACCGCAAGTGTGATAAAACTGTCATTTGATCTAGTGCGTCATGTTGCGGGCAGACGCCGAGATGGGAGCGCGCGAGTTCGAGAGCGGAGCGAAGAGGGTTGTCAAGGATGTACATCTCTCCTCTATCAGGCTTGACCTCGCCTCTCAGCATGGAGATCGTGGTCGACTTGCCGGCGCCGTTGGGTCCTACAAGCGCGAAGACCTCGCCGCGCTTGACGCCAAAGGTACAATTGTCGAGCGCGGTGACGGTTCCGGTTGCGAGGGACTTGAACTGTTTGCTCACATGCAGGACGCGCAACCCATCGTCTGAGGTCGCCGCACGAGCACTTTCGGAGGAGACTTCCGGTTCGATGGTGTTTGTGTCTTCCAGATCGGGAGCGGGGTGGGTATGTCGGCGGCGGTGGAGCCCTTTGATGGCGAATTTGTGGTCGTACCAGATGAAGAGGGCGAAGAGGAATAGGGATTGCCCGATCAGGTAGGCGATGGGCCCGCCGTAGAACTTGATGTTTGCTGGATGAGTTGACTTGACTGGAGGTGCATCGACGCAGAGCACAGAGAAGAGATTAAGGCCGATAATCATTGCACGGGTTAGTTGGCCGATTGGCGTGATGAGGCCGAGTGTGAAGTGGACGAGGAGGATTTGGTTCACCACTTGGTCCGGAGGGGATCGTGCGCTGATGGTCATGTATGCGGTCATGTAGAGCACCAACATCAGGCTAGATATCTTGTCAGCGATGCAATAGATATCAGAAAGAGGATACATACGCTTGGCCCCCGGCAGAGAATGCAAACGCTGCGAGTTGTGATTTTGCAAAGAGGGATATGGTGTAAGATAAGTGGATTGATGCAATCCCGTAAAGGAAGAGACAGACGAAGAGGTGGCCGAGGTTCCACCATGCGTTGGGTACGGTTGCGGCAAAGATAATGGTTATGAGTGCGCTGATAAAAAGAACAATCGTTCCGTCGAATATCAGGTATGCGAGCCTGCGAGGAAGTTAAAATGTAAACGAGAGACAATTGAAGTGATTTCACTAACCATAAGGGAAGACTTCGAACACCATTCGAATATTGTAGGGCCCGGACTCCTCTCAGGCGCTCAATCGTAGGATACAGAGCGAAGAACGCTGGGTAGCATGCCATCACAAGACCAAAGTAGAAGACAAACTGCAGAGAATCCTCAGTCTTCGATGGCCATGGAATATCAAAAACAGCTGGCGCCATTAGCATTCATTGTCTTCAAATTTGCAGGGACAGCTTACCATATGAAGTGATAATCGACTGGTTTGTAAGCACGATATCCATCGCATTCTGCAGATATATCGCGGAATAGATTCCAAGAGTGCCAATATTGGACCGATAGTTAAAGGTTGGGATCTCGCCAGCACCTCCGAGGTACATACCGCCTGGCACGATAGTCGAATAGTTGCTATTGGCGAAATCGTTGAAGTCTTTGAGGGTATCAACGAGGTGAACGGACCCAAAGAGCGTGCTGACGTTCACTCCCTCCGTACTATTCGGGAGAGATCTCGAGAACAGCTCCAGCCTTTGCGATGTGAGTGCATCTGGAGGTCCAATCACCAACTCAGGTTTGAGAGTATCTGACAAGTTGAAGGTGTCGGAAAGCGAAATCTGATCCAAGAAAGCACAGCCAGGATTCTCGAAGTGCTTCAAGAGGAGAGTGACCATGCCTGCTGCAATTACGGGAATCAAGAAGCACGCGAGGTAACCGGCCCAATTCCAACGCAGAATTAGGATTCGTTTCTTAATCAAAATCCAAGCTTGGGGAATGGAGCCAATGCGACGACCGGTGAGGAGATTTGAATCGGCACTCTTGACATCGACGAGGACAGACCCCTTTTCATGACCCTCTGCTCCGGAAGGAGGTGATGGCGATAGGAAGTGCTCGTGTGCGACTTGTTCTCCGAGTTCGGTGTTGGCGTCTTCTTCGACTGCCAGCTTCATGAAAACTTCCTCAATTGTCGGTCCGGCAATCTGGTAATTCTTGACCCCAGCGGCTCTGTAGCTCTTGATCTTTTCCATAGCAACTTGTGTATCGGTAGTGGCAAATGTCTCTTCAGCATGCAATTTCCCTGACAGCCCCGCGGACAGCCCCGTGACGTCGTTTTCACCAAGGTTCTCAGTTCCAGGAGGGACCGAGAATCGATATCCATTCCCGAGTCGGGCTTTTAGTTCGGAGGTTGACCCTTCAGCCTTCAAGCGACCTTTGGAGATGATGGTCATGTGATCAGCTAGGTATTCTGCTTCATCCAAGAAATGAGTCGTAAGGATGAACGTTCTTCTTCCTCTTTCAGCGAGAAGGATATCCCAAACACGACGACGAGAGAGTGGGTCGAGGCCTCCAGAAACTTCATCGACACAGCAGACACGGCTTCCTCCAATCAGCATCATGATCAGCTGTAGCTTTCGCTTCTGTCCACCTGAGAGTGTTCTTGCGTATGATTTCCTCTTGTCCACAAGACTACAGAGGTCGATTAGTCTGCTAATATCCGCCTTCATATCTCCTGGGTTCACCGTCTTCAATGTGTAAAATATCTTCGCATGTTGCTCGACAGTGAGACCATTCCATAGGACGTTCTTTTGAGGGCATAATCCAATCCCTCCAGAGCCATCGAGGGAAATCGAGCCACCAGTGATGCTACTCAACCCGGCAATGGCGTTTAGTACCGTTGTCTTTCCGCACCCATTTGCTCCAACCAGTACCATGATCTGACCCTGAAGAGCATTGATAGAAAGGTCATCAATTGCGACGACTGGTGTGGACTTGCGTCCCATGATAGATTCCACGGTGCGTAAGAACCAGTTCTTTTGGTAAACCTTGCGGAAGTTCGTCAGTTGGACAGGAGTCGTCTTCTCACCATCATCCCAAGAAACCTCTCGCCGGGACCGTTTGGAAGCAGTGCCATACAACCATCGTTCAGTGTATACGGCAAACATAGGATATGCGAGTATCTGAATGATAAAGAAGATCCAAAAGACGCCTGGAGCAAGCTTCCAGGGGCTGTCGGGAGCAACGCGGAGGAGGTTTATCGGGACCTTATGTGATTCGAATCTTGCGATGGATGAGAGGCAAAAGACGAACGTCATCGGAGTGAAGAGCAGTCCTGTGATTGCGATCGCTGCTGCACTCATCTTCTTCGCTTCGATCTGAGCGATGATTCCGAGGATCAAGATCAAGACCACTGTCGAAATACCACTGAGTTGAGCCTTTCTGAAGAATGCAGCACCGAATATGCTGCAGGATGTGAGGGCCAGACCTGCCAGGATGAAGAAGATGATTAGAATTCCGATGGAGCCATGAGGAAAGAGTCCAATCTTGAAGAATACGGCCATGAGAATCCAACTGGGGGCATAAGTGAAAGTGAAAGCGATATGATGAGCGATCAGTCGAGCAAGTTGAGGTTCCCAGCGACGAACATTGGGCATCATGGACTCGACCAGATCTGACATCCCGAACTCTCGTTCCTTGGCCATCAGTCCGACGAGTTGGTACATGACGCCGACGAAGCCGATGTACCAGACGATGGAGATGTAGCCGTAGATAGCTTTTTGGATGGAGACTGTGATCCCGTCCTTCCATTCTTGCTGGGTCTGGGACGTGAAAGCTATTGGATGTTAGCCGTGTAGGATCCGAGGTGGGTGGGGCACATACGATACTCATCGACTGATGCAAGTGCGACAGCGTCTCCTGTGCTGTTGACGGTGGCAATCGCTGCATCAATGGTGCGCTGCAGGGGAATCTGGTAGATTTCTACATCGTTGGTCGTCTTTTTCATGTTGACATTGACCCCGAAGGAAGCATCAGAGCGAATGGTGTAGTTCCAAACGCCCCAGGGTCCCTCCTTGGGTGAGGAGTTGAAGACCACTGCGCCAAAGCATTTTGTGGTGCCTTGAAGACTGCTTTGGCATGTCTGAATCATATCGAGGACATCGCTGGTGATCTTGATCGTTTTACCAGAGGACTTAAGAGGTTGAGCAATCAATTGGATGACACGGTCGATATCTCCACCTTGGTTGACGGGGTTGACCATGACGAAGGTATCGCGGCCTCCTGTCGCATGTTGCATCGCGTCGGTCAGGGAGCGTACTTGGGTTGGTGCACCTATGCCATATTCCTCATTCGGCCAGTACACCTTGAGGATGAATGACATATACATCGCGAAGATGATTGGGATCCAGATAGCGCGCCATAGTGTACTGATGCGGCTCTTTGGGTTGAAGAGGAGGTAGAGGTCCTTCTCCACCAGAACGCCGATCTGCCTTAGTAGCAGCTTCATCGTGACGAAGGTATCGACAGTCGATTGAGTTGTTGAGATATTGCCACAGGATTATGGTGGTGGCATGTTCGAAGGTGATGTGTCGTGGAATACCAACGGAAGGATAGAGCGACGTCTCTGTCTTATCCCAATTTCGCGAGTGGCTTGGATGCGCGCAACTCGAGACATTTGGAAAAAGGCCTGACTTTCGGCCGTGTTGACGCGAGGGCACAGCCTTCCACGGTTACAGTAACATCTGATCATTTCAGTGCATTCAAGTGGCGTGCAATTCCTTGGAGACGCCAATCGCGCTGAGGGCGTTGCAAGCACCCAAGCGTGTGGCTTTCCCCAGCCCCTGTGGCCTGCTGGCCAGACGAGGAATCCGGGCAGGGTTCTTCGGGTTGTTGTCCAGGGGTGGAACTCCCCGAGTTCAATTTGCTGCCGATCCGCGTATCGAGTTACTACGTAGGCACACTCTTGGGCTTTGGGCTTTGGGCAAATACGGTAGCATTGCGCGAGGAAAAGCTCAATCGAGATATTCCGTCGCATAGGATTCGCCACGGCCAAGCTCATAATGCCGCATTGCTGTCGATAAGATAGCACTGGACGAAAATGTGAAATTAAATCGCTCAAAGTATTGTTCTGCACGGGGGGATATCCGCAAACTTGTGTGGGGTTTTGATGCTTATGGAAAACACCCCTATGTATCCGTAAGGCTGAGGGGGCTTCAACCGAAGTACGAAGTACCCAGAAGGATGAGAAGGAATACCGGTTGCTGCGCCGCCCCAGTTATTAGTTTATTTCAACGCCCTCAGACAAATCACAGTCTTTTCCTTACTTACGCGTATAGGTGTTCTGGATCTGGTGCGCAGTGCCAAGCAGCCAACACTCAGCCTCACATCGAGCAGCAGCACATTCGAAACTTTCAGGCAGCAGAATAAGACGGTTCCAGATTGGAGCACGCATATCTCATTATCTTAATCCCGGGCCTCGCAAATAACGTTTGCCCAGCCTTGCTTACTTCCTATTCTGCTCGTCATAGAGTATGTCTTTCTGGTCATCGATCTTGTACAACTCAAGAACGTTCCGGGCTGAGAATAGAATGGCAGGAGAGAGAAGTTTGTCCCGGAGAATAAGACGCGCAGGTACAGAACAAGGAAAGTCAAAGTAGTAGAACAGAACCGAGAACCGAGGTATGCACCCGCTGAAGAGGGCGAAGGGGAGGAGCGGGCACTCCTAGCGGGCCTCAGAGGCTGGCCGGTCTACCCTCTCGGGTTGTCAACCCTTCGATGGCGCGATAGGGGCAATACAAACTTTGGCAACTCCTCCAAATTTATAAGAAGAAAAAGCCCCGAGGTGCTCAGACGTAGAAAAAAAGGGGAAGTGCTAGTGGGGCGATCACAGGGCTGAGGCGCTGTCAGAACCTTCTAGGGACAGCCTCAATAAGCGACTTCGCTTGGGTGATCAGGGCGATGCACACTGGAAATGTCTTCCAGCCTTAGAGTTGCAGAGAATAACTTGTGCAGTATCGGAAGAGGAAATAGGACATGTAGTGTTTCTGTCCGAATACAATTACGAGCTAGATTGGTTGTAGTTAGTTAGGCTATAGAAACGGTCCAAGACGTCATCATTGGTTCACGAGCCGTAACTTACGAGTAAGCAAATTCAGTGTGTTTTATGTTCCATCTAAGGGGCTCACAAGGCAAAAATAAATAAGGGCTTTATGAGCACTCGGAATATGAATCCAGCTAGCAAAAAATCAACCCCCAAATCCCACAAGGGAATCGCCCGACGAGAGGCTCGAACTCTCAACCTTGGGCTACCTTTTGTTCCTCAGACGAGGTGTAAAAGGCCCACGCGCTAACCACTATAAAACGCTTGCGTTAGAGGTTGTTGTTGGAGTGTAGCAGCAGGAGAGCTTACATTGTGCCAGCCGGGCTAGTTTGTCATGTTTGTCCGAAAAATTTCTTATTTTAATCCTTAAAGCCGCAGCCTCAGAAGCCGAGGAAGAAAGTACGGGCCCGAGTCTCGAGGGAAGCTAATTGGTGGAACGGGAGCTTAGGAGTGGGGCCCACGGGAATCGAGACTGCCAGGTCACGAGAGGAAAGCGAAACGACGTGGGCATCATTACTTTTAGGTTTTCGAATTTAGAGAGCAAAATTAGAATAAAGATTAACTCAAAGTTTATATATTACTAAAAAGAGACATATTTTAAAAGAATCCCATTATAATTTTAATTAATTTAAGTAAGTTATAATTATTAATATTAATTTAATATTAAACTAATTTCTATTTTTATTATAAAGTTTAAAAAAAGTATTAGTATAGCTATAGCTATTATCTCAAGAGTTATATAATTCGATTAATAAATTTAAGAGAAATATATTATTAATAAACTAATAAAAAGATTCTTTTAATTAATAATTAAAGCTTATTATATATAATTTAATATATATTATAATTTTTTAATATTACTTAATTTATTTCTTTTTCTTACTTTACTTTTACTTTTATTTATAAATAATAATAAGATAATTCTTATAGTTTTAGTATTATATTAAAAAGAGAATTTATATTACTTATATTTTAATAAATATTTATTTATTAGCTAATAATTATAAGATTTATATAATTACTAGATTTTATTATAAATAATACTTTCTTAAATTAAAGAAATTATATAAAGGACATTTATATTAGTTAGGTTAATAAATGAGAAATTACTAATAATAAGCTTACTAATAATATTATAATTTAGTAATAATATTATAATTTAGTAATAATATTATAATTTAGTAATATTATTATAATTTAGTAATATTATTATAATTTAGTAATATTATTATAATTTAGTAATATTATTATAATTTAGTAATATTATTAAATCAAAGTAAAGTCGCATTAATATCTAGTAATACTAGAAGATTTATTTGAAACCTAGCAAGTTCGGATTATATTAGCTATAGCTTCATAAATAAAAAGAAGAATTAGCTAATCAATGCTTAATATAGGTGAAGGTTTTATACTAATTAATGCCGCGTCTAAGGAACCATATTAGGGGCCAGTAGCATTTGAGAGATTCACTTAAATCCCTGTAATGTAAACCCAATCAATTAATACTCGTGTATTACAATAACTCTTTCACACATCAGCTGGGAGTGCTGGAAGGAAATGCACAACTATGTGATCATTCCCTCCGAGTATTTTCTGGGAAGGTCCATCTTTATTGATTGGATGGCTCTACATGCACGTGGAATCTGTACATATTTGAAATGAAAATAAGATTGTCTAAGTAACATCGAAGTCTATCTCTCATTTTCCCTGCCATCATCTATCCCAAACCTTTTGGATGACCGCTGGGCTCGCTCTCCACTTCTCGTCCACCAACCCAGGCTGAACAACCACCCATCCAATGTCTTCTTCTCCTCGAGCTTCTCATTACTTAGATAAGCTATATCTTTAGGGAGAAATCCTGGACTCCACAACTCACTTCCAGCTATCAAGCTTGCCGTTCCAGCGATAGAGCAAGGGTTGTGATATAGAAGATCCTTTGTATTGCCGCTGAAGATTCAGGCGAGCAAGTTACAAATAATGATAATTGATAGCAATGCCTGAAGGATGATCTTGGAAACTTTGTTCTGCGTGAGTCGATAGGCGGTATGATAGACCAAAGCATCTTTGATTTCCTAGCTATCGTTGACGGGTACCCCGTTTGCATTGCGCATATTGACTGAGATTGCTTGAGCCATGTACTGGTCGTAAAGGTGGCTCGTCACCTCAACGAGTCGGTCTGCTTTCTCTGCTCCTATCAACTCTTCTACTGCCATAACATAAATCAACCTACGGCATATGTCGTCGAGATCCTTCAAGACCCAATCACGCTCCGTCCTCAAGGCTTTTGACAGAGTAGTCCAGCCATCAGAATCCAACGGGAGTGCCATCAATAGTGAAAGATAAGACTACTGTAGATACCTTATGGGCTAATGCCACAATAAAACCATACTGCGACTCCGCTGGCCACAGCAAGCGTGATCCACGTACCTCCCAACCCAATTGCACTAGGTGCGGTCGCCAAAGTCTCCTCTTCCCAATACCATTCCTTCTTTCCCCATATCTGTCGACGCTATCAGCCACGCATCCGCGGGTGCGCCGATTTTTTGCACATTTTCCCCTCTTCAGGCGTCTGTAGCCTCCACAGTTTCCGACCCCACCAGCTTTCTTTAGCCTGCTACTATGCTGGTAGAGAAATGAACACATATTACGATCTCATTGTAGATGAGAAGTACAGGTTAATTGGCGGGGCGAAATTTGACGAGGCCGTGTGAGCTCAACAGAAGTATCACAATATTCAGACGAGGACAAAAGCCAACAGATCAACCCGAGATTCATCATTCCTCACGAAACATCCCTCATTCGCCTCTCTTGCGACCTCTATCAACGTGAACTCATTATGCGTATCCCTACAGAGCATCATTTCAAGCGGAGGATTGTTGGGGTCATACAACTAGAATAACAGACCATGTGTTGGTGCCTGCTCTGCCGCTCCAACTATCACAGCCCCCAAATATGTGGTCACGCGAGCTTGTCACTAGCAAATGATCAATGGCGATTGGCGCACGCTGCGGAAACCCCACGCCCACGCCCAGCCCACGCCCATCTAACCTGCAGATACCCGCTGTGGATATTTCAAAGTCTCCACGCTGGCCCTCACAGTTCTAACATGGAGATTACCAAGTATGCCACGCTACTCACATTCCTCCTTTCTTCGTCTTGAGTGCGTCTAATTGATGATGGAGCCCTTTTCCGCGACGGCCAAAATCGTGGGGCTTCTTGCAGCAACTCTACAAGTGTCCCAAGAGTTATGCAGCCTTATCTCCCGCTTTCGACAATCATCAACGGAACTAGAGCAACTGAGAGGTGAAGTCGAAGCTCTCACTAAAGTCGTAACTCAAATACAGACGTGGAGCCCCATTTACTCATCATCAAACAACCCTGGCGAGGCTTTCAATGCCATGCAGGTTGGGCTAGAGATACTATTCAGAGACATCGCTAAGGTCAGGGATACAATTGAGAGATGTGTGGCAAAGAACAATAGAGTGTTTGGGAAGGTGCGCACGAGGTGGAGGTCTTTCCTTCGTGAGGGTGAGATATCCGAGATGGCGACTAGGCTGATGCATCATAAAACGACTTTGCACCTTGCTTTTTCAGTTGTCTCGGGGTAAGTACTCTCTCCTATTCCCATCTCTTAAATATGTCCATCAGAAGTAGCTTTTACCTAGCCAAACAATACGCCACGAGCTTTCTAGGTCAAGGGCTTTATATCTGCAAAGCACCGTTGGAATTCCACGCTGACCGAACAGATGTACTACCAACAACAGCCTCACACACCTCAGCAACAAAGTTAAATCTCTACACGAAGTTCAAACTGCTTTTTGCGACAGAATTGCTGGCTCAGCAGCCGAGATCAGCACTCAACTTGATAACATTCAGCTAGATATTCAATCCTTTGGCCATGGAGCGCGAGAGCTACCAACTGTGTTCAAGAAAGAACAACGCAAAGTCACTACTATACTTCGTGGGTGTCCAATGCATGGTGTTGTTGCCCTGAACAGTATCTGTTCTCATGTTCATCAACTCCTTCTGCCGTCTTCAGCGGAGATTCCGCTACCTATCGCCAAAGACCTTGCAATTTGGTTTCTGTCAGAACTGCACACCGTTTGCGTAGAGGCTTTGGAGGCGGAAAGAAGCCGTCAAGATATAGTACCATCAGGTCCTTTCACTGTTCAGGATCTTCCGCTCAAGTCTTTTGAAAGCAGGCCACTCTCAACGACCTCGTCACTCGACACCGTTCACCAAACTACGCAAGAAGGCTGGCCATCTCAGCGGCATTTCCCTAAACCTCGAAGTCGAATAGCGCTCCTTGACAATGTCACTGTTGAGACCAAAATTCCCACGGGGAGCTTGATCATCGTTGTGAAGAGAGGACTTTCCGAAATTGATGAACGAGTGGAATCCCGCGCTGTCATTACAACTGGAAGCCTTCTCTTTATCCCATCGACGAAGGCTTTACTCATGGGGGTTGCAGTAGTATTTGGCAGAAGCACCGATACCCCGATGAAAATTCCACGAAGACTTTCTACCTTCAATCGTCACCCCAATGATGCGCTCATTTTTCGGCATTTACAGAGCAAAGACCATACAGCTGTCCAAGAGATACTAGCTAGTGGTACAATTTCTGTCAATGATCGAGATGAAAATGGAAACTCACTCCTCTGGGTACTCTCGAAATCTACGCATCATATAATTTGACGAATTTACTAATACAAACCAGTATACAATTTACGACAGTTATGATTTTGATCTGTGTCGGCTATTGATTCGGCATGGAGCAGATCCTTCGGATTGCAACAAGTAAGTTGTCTATTGCCACATAATATGAACAACGTCTGAGGATTTAGATACGGCGATCACGCTTTGGCCCTCCTCGTGTCTAAAGTCCCTAAAAGCACCAGCGCCAAAATCCCAGAAGACTTGCTGAGCCTCATTCGCCTTCTCACAAAACGGTCGTGCACAGAAGTATACGGCACACACCAATACAAGCGTAGGAGCGCCATTCAACGGGCTTCTGCGAGCCTATTGCATTGCTTAATGATTGCTCAACCTTCCAGAAGCCCTGTTTTCGAACTCGTCAAATATTTTCTGCGTCATGGAGCTGACCTCGAAGCTCGTGACGTCAACGGCAATACCCCCTTATTATATGCGCTATACTACATGCCGCAGTCTGAGCTCGTGGCAGTCGCATTTGCCTTGATACAAGCTGGGGCTGACATTCGTGCCGTGAATAATCATCAAGAAGGCTGTCTTCATCTTTTGTTGCGCCGATTGAGCGCCTGCAACAATTATAAAATGGGGAACGAGAATTGCAGGGCATTTATCGGACTTATATGTCGTCTCCTAGAGAAGTGTGAGCTTACTTCGAGCAACATAGTGGGATATACTCCTCTGGATGCGGCACTATCCCCCACGGCATGGCCATTGCTATGTGCAGCTCTCACGGAGAACGGAGCTGACGTCCGGGACGAGATTCTAACCATCGACGACCGCAGCGACATTGTACGACGTGAAGTAGATCTACAAGCAAGATTCGCCCAGCTAATGGCACGCCGCTCATTCTTGAACATCAAGGATCCTTGGTCCTCAATTTATGCCATCGAGAAGCACTGCTTCCTTTGCGACCATCATTCGAAAACCGAAGGCCGCGCAGCGCCATTCGATGAGTTCACTTCAATGATAGTCGACGAGCTAGGATCAAGCATTCATATGGTCGGGTGCAACCATTTCATTGTGGGAGGCGAGTGCTTATGTGTGAGGGAGGAAGACTCGTCGTGGATTCTCGATTACCATCCAAACAAGATGAACGCCCAGGCGCTTGAAAAGCGGAGCTGGAATAGGCATATGGCTTATTTATTGTGGCGGGATGGAGGGTTGCGTAGTCCTGTTGAGTTTCAGCAGTGGGCAAAAAAAGGCATGGAAAATTGAGTCTAATACCAGTAACCTCCGCCCACAACCGCGTCGCCTGACATCAACCTCGTTTGAAACGATGTTCCTTGCTGTCCAACTGGGCGTCATCGTATCCGTGGGGACCGCCGATGCCGTATTGGTTGTTCTTCACAAGAAGCAGTTCGGTTGAAGTTGGGCGAGCATGGTGATAGGAACTTTAATACTACTCCTGCGTCTCGGCACATCTACAGGGTTTTTTTCTGAATGGTGCAAAGAAGCGTCATCCATTGCCGATTACAGATTTTGGCTCCGGGTGTCTGCCACAGTGATGCAGCAACCAAGCGATCAAGTCCTCAAATAAATTACCGTCTATTGACCATTAGTATACTCGCCTTAATACGATACGACCTTGCACGTATGCTAGAAGGATGTGCCTGCCATATTTTTTTCGCGACTGAACTTTGTGACCTGGACTAGGGAGGACCCCTTTCGGAGACCACCCTCAACGCCGATCTCCACCCTTCCATCGCATCCAGACTCATCCATAAAGACAAGTTAGTCGGACTTGTATTGCGACATCCTATATAGATAGTGATCTCGAAGGTTGGCATCCCGTTGTTATGCGATACGACGGATCGTTGTCCTCGTCTAGCTTGTTAATCACAGAGTCCGACCGATTGATCTGTCCAATATCCTTTTACGAAACCTATGATAGAGGAAGTCTGCCATCTCGTATAGATGCGGGTAGGGCTATTCGATTAGTATATCACAGAGGGCTTTTTGTATGGATAATGTAATGCAGTTATAACGGCCGACGCGGTTTGCTCTTGGGATAGTGCGCATTTAAACAAAGCTAATCAGGTGCATTGACTCAGGGAAAGAATACAAAAGTGAGGATTGCTCGGGCAAGTCAATATGCACGGTTGAAGATCACATCACCCAAAGTCAAAGGAACGACGTATGGTCATGAATGCATGGCATTATTCCTATCTGCATCGCCAGCCCTCTTCCCCTGTGCATCCTCAATAATCTCTTCTTATGCCTCCCCATGGTATAACACACAAAAAGCCCGCCCATTCTTGTACAAAACACTTCCCGATCGACCCGCGAGACCGGACCCGGGTAGGCGCGAGCCCAGCAATCTGTTTTTCTTCCCCTCCTTTCTGTTTCTTTCCCTTCCTGCTTTTTGTACCATGCAGAAACGATTATTTTGCTTTTGCGCAGAAATGAGAAGCGCAGACACCAGCCTCCAGAAAAAGTACACAATATTCCACTCCTCTTATCCATATCTTCTTCTTCTCCTTCCGCCATTCTCCTCGTCCCCTCATCATCGATGCAGCCGTGAAGCATATATTCTCCCAGTACAATAAAAAAAAAAAGTAAAGTGTCAAGCCCAGGCCTCACGTCTTCAAACGCCGACGTGTATGTGTAATGTTGCAGCCCCGGTGGAAAAAGCTGCCGGAAAAGTAATGGGAAAATTCAGATCGCTAAAACGCTATTCAAAGAGGGGTATCAAATCGATCGTTCGTAGTTAATGCCGTAACATAAGAACCATTGTTCTGTCGTAAGAGGGGGTGAGGTGTTCAATTGCAAAGGATGGTTTTCGTTCCATTCCATCAAATCGGTGTCGCCGACACACTTCCGCTGCGCTCCTTGTCCCTCGAGTGCGTCCAGGCAAATATATCAAATTTCTCCTTCTGGCCTGCTGACCATCCATTTTGTGCATCGATGGGGCTTGGCTTCGGGTGCAGATTCTCTCTCGGCTCCAGGAGTAGAGACTTACGATAGTACTGCTGCACGTTCTCGTTCTCCGAGCTCGACTTGACACGCACAATCTGGGCCTGGATCCACTCTTGGAGTTCCGGGACCTCGGTGAGACGATACGGGATCTGGAAGCGCTGGAGCTCGCCGATGATCTTGGCGGTGCGGGTATGCTTGTCAAAATTGATGACGGACATACCTTCGCAGTCGCCCAGGCCAGGGAGTTGTTTGGTGGCCGGATTGCCGGCGTCGACAAAGGTCAAATCGGTGAGGTAGGTGCCGACGAAAGGGAGGCAAGGGGGCACGTGGTCGTGGAGTCTTCGCCGGAGGACGGCATAGTTCTTGTCGGGCTCGACGATCGCTTGGAGACCCTTGAGCATGTCCCGTCGCTTCTGTGAGACGGCATCCCAAGTACGCTTCAGTCGGACGATGGTGGATGAATTCAGGGAGCAGATGATAGCCATCAGGGAGTCGTAGTTGTTGAGTTCCAAACATTTGTGTGCGATCTTGATCCAATGCTTGATGATGATTGCTCGCTTCTTGGCATCGTCGTATTGAAGGATGGTATCTGCAACTAAGTTGGAGAGATCCGTTGAAAGGGTTGACATTGCTCGAACGTTGACCGCATTCGACCCTGATCGCTTCGTCCATTCAGAGCCAAGAAGCTCTTCAGGCATGATTAAGCAGAAGATGTTCATCTCCTTGATCGTCAATTGCCGTGCCAATTCAAGGGGATCGAATTCGAGGATTGTAGGGTTGCTTCCGCCCATCTTCCAATTCTTCAACAGACCCATTTGGCTCTTGCTGATGACCGCAGGTGGCAATGGAGTATCAGCAGGGATGTATTGTGCGATTGATGTCGATGTCTTGCCCATCGAGGATATCAGTCGTGGGACCAGAGGACCATTAGCGGAAGAAACTTTCTGAGCCAACTCCAATAATCTCTTTCCAGTAGCAGGTAGAACTCTGCCGAGCTGGTCTTGCGCAAAGGGTTCAATCACGGCCAAGGCCTCGTGATCTGAGAGATCCCGCCAATGAGATTCCAGCCACCCCTTGAAGATATTGTATACTCGTAACCGCACGGGGCCAGCGATGTGAGGGCTCTCTGCAACATAGTCAAATCGATCTACCAAAGCTTTCGCCAACTCCACCGGTGTGACGAATAATCGGAAGGTGAGGTAAAAGGTCGAAACAAACATCGAGTCGGGTGTCGAATCGTGTGTCGTAAGTCTCTCAACCAGCGCTGGAAGTGTACCACCGGTAATCTGTCCTTCCTTGTGTAGTAACTCATGCGCAAATGTCTTCTCCAACATCTTCGATTCACCTTCGTCGGCATCGTCGGCAAGCGTCGACTGGCTGCCACTCATGCTTAAATCTGAAATGGATGGTTGATTCCTTGGAACGTATACCGAGTTATCGGGAGTTGTGGCTCGCGTCGATGTTTGCGAAATGATACTCGACTCCGAGTCGCGCATGCTACTGAGATAGGTGCTGCTTGTTCCGGATGTTGATATCGCGATGCTTCCAGATCGGAAAGACGGCTGGAATTCACCTTCGTTGACTGATTGTTCCGAAGGGCTGTAGTCGTCCTGGGTTAACAGAGGGCTCGTCATCTTCGGGAGCGGCGGCAACAGCGACCTCCTCGAGGATCGCTTGGTATCTTCCGAAGCCATCTCGATTGGTTCATCTTCAACCACCGGCTCGAGACCTCCTGGTGATACTCGCGTAGTATCTTCATCAATCGGCGTCGAACCTAGCGGTACCTCAGGGAGCGGTTTCTCGTAACTCGGAATGACAAGCGGGGGAGGGGGAGGTCGACTGGCGGGTTCTTGAGGTGTGGGTGATTGAGGTGCGACTTCTTCTAAGGATGGTTTAGTCTGTTCGATAGACGCAACGCCAATCGACGCTATATCAATACCAAGGCCATCGGCTTGCGGCTCGAACTCGAAATCTCCGATTCGCTCAATGACGAACCTGGTCTTCGCCACACACTCCCCAGCAGCTTTCACGCATTCCGTCGCCGCCGTCAAGAGACGTCCGTTTTGTTGAGGCATCACGACGTCCTCCTCTTCCATCCCCGCAGCCGTGATGATATCCCTCGCCGCGTTCACCAACTTGTTGATCCGGTTGTACATCGTGTTCCGCGCTGGATCCAAAGCTTCAGCGCTCTGAAGATCATGTGCGCAGATCGCCTCGACCACAAGTAACGTTTCGCGCCCGGCAGTTACAGACTGTCGCACTGACAAGATGAGTTCTGCTGATGATTGCGATTGAAGGTTGTATCGACCGATAACCGAGGCCAGGTGTGACAGGAAGAGATCATGACTGGCGTTGAGCTTCTCCGACACGAGGTTTTGTCGCTGCGCAGCTGGAATTGACGCAGACAACCGATGTGAAATCGATTGTCTTTTGACGTGTGCCGAGGTTGGACGTGCGCTTGACAAAGGTCGTGATGAGGAAGAATTGTTAGGAAAAGGGGTCGACATTCGTTTGTACGACTGTGATTGTCTTTTTGTTTGCTCGTGCAAATTTGACAAGCCGCTTGCCGAACTGTGACTCGAGCTCCTGCGAGATGCCGCCTCATACGCAGGGTCTACCTGTTGTGTTCCCCCGAATGACGTCGAGTCTGCTGGAGGCGTTGGAGGATTATAGATTTCTTCGGCCACGGTCGCCATCGCTCGGTGAACTGGCTGTTGCCGTGATCGGATGTCATCTTCGAGGACATCGAGAAATCTAACGCCCCGGGTGACAATTTTGAACGCTTTCAGTATCATCTCATCAATCGTACTGTTAACCTCGTCTTCATTCGTTTGATGGTGATGGACAACGGTGTATTCTTGTAATCGTTTGGCGGTCTTGACCAGAGCTGAAAGATCCGACAACAGCGCCTTTCTATTCCTACGTAAGCCATCATTGCTCTGAACAAGGTTTGATTCTCGTGTCAAGCAGTTCGATCTTTCCTGCGAATTGTTAGCTCGTTCATGTTTACGTTTTGGTAACCCATAGTACTAACTAATAAGTATCGAACACCTGCAATGATGCCCCGCATGAACTCTTGGTTGGCAAACAGCTCGCTATCGCGTGTCATGGGACTTCGTAAAAGATCCCAGAAATTCAGCAACGCCTTCAGAAGATTCCTCATGTAATCAGGATCGTAAGCTTCACAATAATTTGTCGGCAGCCAACCTCGGGCGCCTGATACGAGGAGGGTTCCATCTGCCCAACCATTCGTATGTATCGAATGAACTAAAATTACGTCCCCCTCGTTCAACGGTAGCGTGACTGTGGTATCTGAGACGGCGTAGGTGGGGTGAAAAGGGTAGAACGCGCGGAGGAAGTTGTGGAAGACGGGCTGCTGCGGTTCTATATGTTGACGGAGGTCCTCCTGCGAGCCATTTGGTGTTGCTGGAGGCGTCATCTGTGATTGACTGCTCCTCGAATCTCCTGTCCGGTTGCTGCTCCGCGAGGACAAATTCCTCCTGTGACTGGAGACGTTGCTCGATCCACGAGACCTGTCCTTGTTGATGGACAGCGGTGCTACGTGAACGCTGGAACGCAATGACTGGTCACCGTCCGTCACCATGATGGGCCACCTTGAAGGGTTACCATGAGATGAATTGGTGAAGTTGTTGTCCAGCGGGGTGTGAGTCGTTCCTGTAGAATATAATCCCTTGATCTTCCAGACTTTCTCCTCAAATTCCTCGTCTGTTCCCAGGAGGCGTGATTGTCGTATGGAGTGATCGAACTAGGGTGATCAATAGGATAGTATAGTCGATACACTCGGGTCAGGCCGTATATCAATAAAAGTCGAAGCCGGCTTCCAGATGTAGACCTGAGGTTCTTTGCCGGTTATGCAGTTGAGGATGGACGAACAGACCGTGACCTGCCGTGGAGGATCAGTTAGCAGGAATAGACTGCTCAACCTGATGTTGTGAAGTTAGGGAGAAGGAGGAATGCAGTGAGGGGGCCCAGGAATGTCATGATCTAATAGAGCGTGGCGGAAGGCTGCATACCAAAATCGGCATGGCTTCAAGGTTTCGGGAAGACTCACCAGTCAACGAGCTCGTCATGCACAGGCAGAAGGTAATGCCGGGGTTGTGGGTTTCCTTATGCAGATCTGCCTCAAGCTGGACGTCTTCGTTGCAGTTGTATGTTCGTTCGTTTTCCTCCAACAATAAGCTGCGCTGCCAAGGTGGCAGGGAGAGGGTGGACCTCCTGCTGGCTCGAAGCGTGCCTGGCCCCCTGGAGTCCCGCAAAGAAACACTTATGCTCTGGGGCCTCGAGTCAGAATATGACGATTGGGCCAATGGAGGGAGAAGCAATTGACGTGTCAGGCCGCTGAGTTTGGTCGAAAATCGCCAATGCGTCGGTCTCGGATGTAGTGGTGCTGGGTGGTAGGAGAGGATGTTTTCGTGCAGCTGCACCTGGAATCCGAGCAATGCCAATGCGTGAAACTGCTGCTCGAGACAGCGAACGCAGTTCTCTCTTTGCTGCCGGACAGAACGCCCCTCCTCCGATTGTGCTGGCAATCGATAATGTAGGCAGATAGGAGGTGAGGTTGTTTCGTGCCTTCTTCCTTCAACCGTCCGGATCTGCAAGGGATTTCGTCTGGCCTCGTAGGTCGGTTGCGTTGCAGTGCAGGACGAGTTATTATTACTCTAGTATGGGAGGGGAGAGGGTCGACGAAAGATCAAGAGCAGCAATAATAGCTTGGGCCTCCCAGCTGGGCCTTTGACGAGGACGTGAAGGTGCTGGGTTGGGTGCTGGGGGGTCTTTCTGGTGCTTGGTGCTTTGGTGTTGGACGGGGATGGTGCGGGTGTGGTGGAGGAGGTTAAAATAATGCAAGGGCAGGGGCAGGCATGTGTCGAATAAGGGAGCGGCAAAACAGTGCACGCACGCACGCATGCCTCGCTCGACTCGACTTGCGGGCCCGAGGCGGCGTAGCTTGCACCAGCAGTAGCAGCAGCCGCAGTTGTTTTTCCGTGTAATTAATTGATGCCATCCAAGACAAAACAGAACGGAACACCGCGAAAGAAAGAAAGAGAGAAAGAAAGAAACTCTACGAGAATGGGCAAGGAGGATCAGCACCGTCTCGAGCGTGCCAGTGTCGTGTTTGGCGTGGTCGGCGAGCGTACAGTGTTGAAAAGGAAGCAGACGCAGAGCTGGCAGGTGCAGGCGCAGCGTTGCACTCGAGGGGGGGGGGCAGTCGGGGATTTTGACAGCCCAGGGCAGGGAAGGGCAGGGCAGGGGCACAGAGTCAACGGGGAGAGTGGTCGCCGTGTGGTTGCAGGGGCATGCAGCCGTGGCTGACCCAGCAGCAAAGGGAGGGCATTGAGAAGAGCCGTGCGGTGAGGGCATTCGGAGGTGCAGCCAGATGGAGTGTCCGTTGGCCACTGCAACTTGCAAGCCCCAAATCCGCGCTGCTCAGCCCTGTCGACCCCGTTTAACGCTTTCGATGCCCTGTGGCCCTCCTCGCTGCTCATGCTTTGCACATCAACACCTTGGGATACACGGTCACCGAGAAGCTTCACGCGCGGATGGGGGTCGAAAGCCTAGGCCTGGAGCGACGGCAGGCTCAACAGTTGCGTAGGGGATTTGGATCTACCGTTGGTGAGGTTGTGAAGCCAGGCTGGCAGTTGGCAACATGCAGCAAAATAAGCATTCGTCGTGGTGTGTTTGGTTTGGGCAGAGATGCTTCGAATGATCACCAGCCGCACCGCAAGCCGCGATGCAGCACTTCGTACTCGGGGTCTCGTGCGTCGTTCGACCAACAGCCAGCTACAGAGAATCCAATTGTCGTCGTCGTCTTGGCCTTCCCTTGCCTGGGCTTGCCTTGCCCGACGATATCACAGTGTGTATTGACTATTGAAGAATGAAACAATGCTCCTCCAAATACAGATGAGATGCATCACTCTTTTTCGAGACGATCTCATCTGGATGCAAACCGCCCGTCAATGCAGCTCTTTTTTTTTTGACGCTTGCAATCTCGCCTGCCTCCGGACAATTATCATCAATCGGTCCTTCCTGTCCCTCTTGCACGGATTATTCCAGTCATTTCTTGGTCATCTGAAGGTTCTGGTGTTGTTGTTGTTGAGCAAGCGTTTCCTCGGCCAACGAGAGAGCAGATCGATCCGCTTTGGGAGATTAATGGTACACTCCGCCCCCATCCGCGATCCCCCTTTCTTGGAGCGCGCGATTGCAGATTGCCTCGAATCTCCCACGGCTATTTTCGTGGTGTCTCTTGTTTCGGGCTCATGTGTTTTTCGTTCTCGTCGGCATCAGTAGCGGCAGCAGCCCCAGAGGCGTGAAGTGAAGTGAAGTGTGTGCCATGGGGGATGTCATCGAGATACAAGTACACACACATAAAGGATTAGCAAGCCCACGGGGGTGCTCTAGGCGCCTTGGGACAGGACACTTGGGACAGAACACTTGGGAGCAACTCTGTTCTCATCCTTTCCGTGGCCGTTCGTCACGAATGCCCTGCTTCGTGGTCCCCTCATGCCCCTCTCCTCTCCCCGCGCCCCCTCTCCCCGCGCCGCCCTCCCCTAATGCTTGCCTCGTGCTAGCCTGGGAGCAGCCTGGCAGCCTGGCAGCCTGGCAGCCTGGCTCCCTTCCTTCGTTTCTCCCAGCAGTCTGACCTCCGTAGTGCAGCGCCGACCCCTGCAGCGTGGGGTCTCCTTTCGACAGGCCTCTCCCAGTGCTGCGGCAAGGCCCCCTTGGCACGTGCTGGGGCCAGCCGCCTGCACCACTCACTCTTCCCCATTTGCACGCCTCTCTTTTCCATCCACTCTCTGCCCTCCTCTCTCCGCTCTCTCTCTCTTTTCCATCCACTCTCTTCCCTCCCTCCCCTTCCCTTTCTCTGCTGTACCCACACATTCGCGGAAGTTTACGACGACCTTTGGGTGGCCCTGGGATTTGGCATCCGGAGCCGTGTGGCGTGCCCAAGCAGCTGGCTCGCGCATTTCCAGGCTCCAAGCCTACTGCTGACCACAGGCAAGGGGGAGCATGAACGCTGGGCTGGAGCTTGGAAGTTGGTGGCTCAAGGAAGAAGAAGTGCGAATCCGAGTCATCACCGTCATATCACATCACATCACATCACCAACCAACGGCACGGCTCGGGAGTCGGGAGCCAGGCGGCGTTCCGCACAGAGCGCCTCCCCAGATATAGCAGATATCCTTCTCACGTAAACCCAGATCCGGAACCCCCCATCTGTCTTCCCCAGCCTGTCATCATCCCGCGCGAGAATAGAAACCAATGTCATTATCGTTGTCGATAATGGGAGGGCTGCCTCTTGGGCATTTCTGACGCCCTGATGTACTCCGTATGCAGCCCCACGTCCTTACTTCACACCTCGACTCTATTTCGAGGTATGCACAAGTGCAGCGCGTGCAGCATAAGGTCAAACCGCATATGCAATAATTATGCAGCAAGGCCAATAAGGTCAGCGGGAGCCCGAAGCCCGGCTCCAAAATGGCCAAATCGGGGCATTTCCTCGTGCTCTGAGCTGCTGCAGGCACATTGCAAACGTTGCCAATGAGCGCAAAGCCCCAAGAGGATCGTCGAGGCCATCTCCAAGTTGATCTTAGATTGAGAACTGCAGAGGTGGGGGGCTCGGCAGTTAATCGTCGCCGAGGAGAAGGAAATGTGAGATTTCCCCTGTCGATGACGATCCCTTGGAATCGTACCGTACGACACCAACAACGGCCATGATCAGCCTTACCTGGGCCGAGGCCAAAAGATCAGCAACAACACCAGTCGCGACATCTTCAACTTTGCCCCGCTATCACGACATTCAAGCTTTACTCTCAAAGGCCAAGCAGCTTCATAATTTCTTTCCTCGTGATACCTCCTCCCAGCAGCTGTTCCCACATCCGATTACTACTATGTATGAGCAGAGGCACGGCCTCTGGCCTCACCTGCGACACCTCCGCACGATCAAGGTCACTTTATCCACCTGCAGCTATCAGACTCGATAACCAAACTGCGAACATCGTCCGATGCGGAGATCAATCAATCCAGCTCCAAACCCGACAGATCCAAGATCCTATCAAACGTTGAGCCCTCTCTCGTGCATTTCAGCGTCTCTCATCCCCTCCGAAAATAAAAATGTGATCACTTCGGGACTTTCAAAGCTGCAACTCATCACATCGTGCAGCAGTTGACACAAGCGGGACCGTTGGTAACAAAGCAAACATGTGACTGGTTACCTCAACCACCAAACTGCAGTCAGATGCACTTCAGTTCCAACACAAAACCACCGTCGCAATCCTACCTCCCGTCTCTCGCTTCTCGCACCGGAATTTGGTCCCCAGCATCCGGGACTCTCTTACCCCCCCTTCTCTTGACAACGAAAAGTCATCTCCACAAATCTCGTCCCAGGCTCCCACTCGCGCGGAAGCGGAAACCAACCCAGAAAGCCATCTACAGTAGCGGAATGCCGCTGTCCCCACAACCCCACCGCTATCGCACCCGGCCGTCAGGATTGGCTCTATCTCAATCCTTCAAACCCAAACGATAAAGCGCAAGCCAGATTCCTTGCCCGGGACCTCAATCCGCTAAATTGCTTATGCTTCTTCTGCGCCTCTGCTCTCGAGCTGAGGACGCCAAAAGGTCTGTGAGCGGTAGGCTCGGCACGCCTGTTTTGTACGTCCGTATCCCGAAGCGAGTCGTCCTCCCCTTCACCTCAACCAACAACAAAAGCAGACTTCAAAAGGAACGTAGCATTGAAGGGGAATGCAAAATGTAAAGAAGCTTTAGCGTCTAATCAGCACCCTCCCCGTCTGCGTCCCTCAAGTCCGGAACCGAAACGCAAGAGCACGCATTAGTTCCGCATAAGTTCGTGGAATTTGCGGGACGGATTCCAATTGCAGCCACCGCGGCCACAGGACGGGCCAGGGACTGCTTGTGGAAAATCCCCCGTCCCCTTGTCTCTGCAGGCAGAACTTCCAGAACCGCCTTTTGTCTTGGATGCCACGATGCTGCAAGCGCAGCTTCAACCCGCCCGCCCGTCTGAAGATCGCCGGACGGACAACGCCTCGCACGCAAAGTAAAATCTTGTCTTACTTTCTATCGTCCCAGGAGACGGAGTATCGGGACTGGAATGTTAGATTTGTCAGAGGATTTATTCGTGCATTTGCATTTATACAAGGCGGGGGACGAAGCTTGCAACAAAAAAGTCCCTCGGCTGGCACGAAAACGAAGGACACCCGCGTCTCCCAGACGCCTCGCTTACAACCTCCCTGCGTTCTGAGAGGTCACTGTCTCGACAAACCATCCCCCACCAAACTTGAAGCAGTATCGACAACATGCCAGTTCACCGGTAGCATCACCCCCGTCCACAATGCTAGCTAACCTTCTCATGACAGCGAGCCTGCATCGCTGGCGCTTCCCTGGCCGAGCAAAGTTTAGGCAAACTCAATTCAAGTCGAGATCTCGACTTTAAAATTTGGCTCCAGAAGAAGCGATCGAAACAAGGCTTGCTCAAGCCTCAAACAGCCTCGTCGAGCTCCCATTGACCGGCTGCCACGCGCTCCGACTGGCGGATCGGATCTAGGGACGTCGTCATTTCTCTTCGTTTCTTCTCAGGTTTCAACGGCTTCCAGCTCATTTCCTCGTGGCTCTTCTGTGATTGACGCGTAATCAGACGAGATAGCGAATCACAAAGACATAGCGGTACCTCCGACTAAGATAAAGTTCAAATACGAACAATCTCCCTAGTCGTCTGCAGCTGTCAGGAATAGCAAAAAAACCTTAAATCAGGGAAGTCCCTGTTTTTCAACGAGGGACCGCAGCGATGTTCTGGTCTCCAGGAGATCTGGATAGCTTGATCACACAGGGAGCTCAAGCAAGCTGCAAACTTTCTCTCGAAGCCCCGAAGGCAAAAGAATGATCAACGCGTCACACCTCGTGTCGTCATGCACATAATCTTTCTTTCCATTTTCGTTCCATTTCCTTTTGCTCGTTGCTGCAAGCCCGACGCTGGCTCGCAATTCGTCATTATTCGCTCCCCCAAATCCTTTCCTTATGCTACAGTAGCTTAATAATTTCGTGCTTTCGCACATATTGTTAATATCATGCAGCCAATTTGCTATTTTCATATTGCTTATTATTGCGAAATATCTCAGGAGCGAGGCAAGCCACAACCGAGCCTTGAAACATGTGCGTTTCTGTCCACGTTCTCATTCCTTGCCGTTCGCCTCCTTTTCCGTACATGTTCATCGAAATTCCCCGAGCACACCTCTCGCAGCCATCAGAAATGCCCCAAAAATAAATGGAGAACTGCCCATGGAAGACTCTTCTCGATCGAGAAACCATCCCGGTTTGCCATGTGGCGAAGAAATATTTTTAGGTGCTTCGCAGCTGCTTCCAGAGTGTTGCAAGATTTCTCGGGAGGGGCGGTCGAGCGGGGTGTGGTTTCAGGAAGGAATCGTTCAAACGGTGATGCAAGCGATCAAACGGGAACGAGTCTGTGCACAAGACGAAATGGGATTTGAGTTACTGGAGAGTTTATGTACTCTACTTCAAGGCGAGAGGTTGCTAGGTACCCCACATGTATCCCGAGTGTTCTCGGGCCTGCTAATGACCACCGCTCCAGTGACCCAACAGCTCAGGCTCCTAACCATAGTTAGTGTATTCGTGTGCAAGTAATTTCCTTCTCGAGTCAGGAACCTCATGCCATCCCTCCCCATCAATCCTATTATTCAAAGCCCCCTGATCCCTCAGATTGATCCCTCAGATCCTTTCCATCCAGCCCATCCCTTCCCTTTCTCTCAACAGACAGTTGGCAAGGGTAGGTGTTGGACTGGATGCAGGCTCAGGCTCCCTCCCTTCCGAATCCCCGCATTGAGCGCAACCTGGAGACGAGAGGCGATCAAACTCCTAACGGCAAGGTTGCCGAGCAAGGCCTGGGAATAACCAAACGTTTCTTTTCCTTTTGGGCTCCCCAGTCGGCAGAGCTGTGTGATCGGCTTCATGGGTTCTTCATTCAGATACCATGCCCTTGATCAGGTCCAGCTTTCTCTTTGGGGCCGGTCCTTCGGCGTGGCCAGTGCGGAGAGTTGTGTGATCGCAGAGGTGTGTGATCGGCTTCATGGCGACTCGAAGTGGAAGTCAGGTGCTGGACTCGGACCCGAATCACAGGTTGGATGGTGGGGCTGAGCAGCTGTGCATATGTGCTGGGCAAGCGAGTTGAGGCGAGTTGGTTACACAGTGACATAACCAACAACAACCTTCACTCAATGCCTGCATTTCGAAATTGTCGGTTCAAATTTCGAATCACGGTGTCAAGAACCGGTAGGCAACCGGGAAGGCTGAATCCTCCTTCTCATCGTCGATGCATCTGCATCATCTCAAACCGGTCTGCGAAGCACAATACAATACAGCATGCGAGATGTTGCGCCTCTCGAACCCTCGATGAACTCACCTCGCTGCACCTCACTCTTTGCCATCGCCAACTCACATCACCAACTCCCACAACTCCAATTCCTTATTCTTCGCACGACAATGACATTCCGCTGCCCACCCAACGATCGCCACCACCTTCCTTCCCCTCTTCCTCCTCCCCTCCTCGCGACAATCTCAATCTCAATCTCCACGCTCTCAGCCTCGGCACCCGGCGTTGATTGACATATATGATATTTCCTTTTAAACGCTCAGTCCCCTCTTGCTCCCCTCTCGAATCACACCACAACACCACGCCGTTAAGCCTTCACGCCTTGGGCTTGGGGTATTCCCGACGCCCTCCTCCCTTTTCGTCGCCGCTCAGTCCCTCCCGTTCCTCCCTCCCTCATGCTCCCACGTTCCCCTTTGCTGCCTCCGCTGCCGACCGGCTCGCGGCGCACGGCACACTCCCAGTATGGCGAGCTACCCTAGCCGGTTCGTTGTTTGCTTTTGCGTTGCCACGTTCTGCTTTGCTTTGCTTTTGCCTTGCCTCATGGCATTTTTCATTTTAGAAAGAAGGGAGGGAAACTCGTGTCGAGACCTGATTAAGGTTAAGTCGAGTTGCGTCGCGTTTGTTTGCTTGCTTTTGTTTCAATGGATGAATGGATGGATGCCCGCGATCGTGCGGCTCCCTCGCGTCATCTTGCTTCCGCTTCAAGTTTACTTGTTTGTGCATGCGAGTCGAGGGGAACCTTGAGCTTGAGCTGAGCTTGAGCACGGTTCTCTAAGCGCAACAGCTGAGCGCAGAGCGTGATCGCAGGCTCACGCTGCAGCCGGCTTCACGATCAGCGTATCGATTCCGGGTTGGTAATAAATGGATAGTGGGTGGAAGAAAAGAGGGGTAAACTTTTAGTGCTGACGGTAGGAAGTGAGGGCCTGAACCTTACAATCACTAGCGATAGACGGGGGAGATGCGATGCTACTTATCTCGGCGATCCGAGGGGTAGTGTGACTTATCAAAGTGCTTACTTTCCCCTCTTTTCGCGCGATACTTGTCCTTGTGCCTGTCCTGGCAATCTCACCAGTCCATATACCTACCAGTCCCAGTCATAATTCGAAAATAGACTCCAAAACATTCATGACCAACATAATATGGAAAAACTAGGACGGGCAGTTCCGGTCGGTCAATAAATAAATAAAGAGAACTTTTTCTAACAACCCCAAAGTGGCGGAAGGAAATACGGTTCTTCCCCGGCAGTTTGAACAGAGTACCCGATATTCTCCCACGCTTTTCCCATCTTTCTCCCTCCCCTCTCCACTCTCTTCAACCAAGTCATAATTTTACTCCAGTTCAAGGAACTCCCCTGAGGATACCTTTGCCTGGTTGCTCGCCTTGGTTGATGGTGGGCCACGGCGCAGCCCCGTCGTCGCACAGAAGCCCCAAGCACCCGGAAGCCGAGGGTGTTCATGCGTGCGACAAGGTTCGCCTCCCCTGGAGCCCACCCACATCTGCACCGAAGTTTGGAACGCCACGCGCTCAGCATCAAGCGTCGTGTTTGAGCCCTGCCTGGCGATACAGTAGTATTCGGAATATTATTGTTTTGAGAATTTTTTGGGACGGGGGGTTGGGATGTATGTGTGTGTGTGTGTGTGTGTTGCAGAGAGCTGGAAAACGAAACTTGTTTCAAGAGCTCCTCCTCCTTTCTTTTGCTCCCACCCGGAAATAAACACCGCTGTCAAATCGAATCGCGGATCGTGACGAAGAGAACGGTAAGGTATCGGTGCTGGTATCCTGTTTGGCAGTACTCCGTTGCCATATTGCAGCCGTCACGCTTGTCAGTTACTGTACGATGCCAGGGGGGCTGCATTCGGTCGCGGTGGAAGGAGCTCTCTTGCGTTTTGTTTCGGTTTTTGCATGACTTGATTTGATTTGAATTGACTTTCGGCTTGTGCCTTCCCGCGTGGCAAGGGGAGTTTGAGTTCCGATCCTAATTTTGGGGCTTTTTCGACGCGGTGGCCGGGTGGCCAAAGTCGTCATCGTGTTTCCGTTATCGAGATGAGAGATGAACACGGTCCTGACTCACGTAACTTCCGGTTTAATTTCGGTGTGGGGTTATTAGAGTTCAATTCTTGCGAGGGTCAGTACGAGGACGACAGTGTCCGAACTCGGAGGTCAAATGGGAGAAGAGTCATGAACGATATCTCTGTTGCTTGCGGTGTTACTCGACGTTCGTTCATGAGGGAACAGATGCGGCTGAGGAAGGCCTTCTATTTCGGGAAGGTTGCTGCCGACGTTGCCAAAGCTTATTTAATTGATTATGGAATCAAGTCCTCTTCTCTGTGCCCATTAGCAGTTCGCATTGCAGAGGCAAAGGGAGGGGATCACATCCAAAACGTGCGACAGAAGGCGCAAAGACTTTGGCCTCTAGGAAATGTTTTGCACCCGTCTTAAGCAAGGGCAACATGGTTTTCATGAGGCAGTGAATGCAATTTGAGAATATTTTGTTGTCAAATTGCTTCTTATTGGCATTTTCTCTGTTCTCATCTCAGGGACTTGGTTCATGCTGGATATATGTCTACCCTAAAGCCTCGATAGTTTTCTCGCCACTGTCAGTCTCCATCTTCATTAATTGTCTCACTATTCATTTCAACTCGATTCCGCTCCTTGATGTCTCTAAAAATTGTCGCTCAAGACTCCTTTGAGGTTAGGCTACAAGTCTTGACTTGAGAAAAGTATACAGGCAGCCAGAAAAGAATAGAACTGAAGGAGCATCTGCGATTACATAATTGGCATGTCCCTTGCTTCTTGTCGGGCATTTTAGAGGAAGGTGTTAAACTAATTGCCTCATTCTTGGACGCTCTTGCCAGGCTCTCACCGAAGATAAAGTAATCTAACGTCAATAACTGTTAGAATTCCTCTTCGCTGCTGGCGAAAGGTCCTCTACTTAAACTGCACGCGAGAGACGCGAGGACTAAGAAACGACTTCGCCGAGGGAACAGTCGCCTCGCGGATGAGCAGTGAGTCTTTGGGTAATTCCTGGAAAGTCTTTGGATAGTAAGGGAGAGCATTTTTCAATTCGGATTGTGGTTGCTGTCAAGTTGCGTCTTGATGCTACCTTTTCATCCGTTGGCCCTGACACCTCTGTGTTTCCTTGCAAACAAGCTTCTTCGTCACCGCACTCAATCCTCAGATATCTTCTTAACACACATTATTTCATTTTCGGTCATTGTTTGTAAGTCTTCTTGAAAGCTTTGCGTCTTGGAGAACGGATTAGTTGCGGCCTTCGGTTCGCGTAAGGTATCTATATATACAAAGCAGGAAAGAGGGTTGGATCAGCTACGACGACTTTACTGCCATCCGTTTCGCTTCCTTCTCTATTTCACGAGGTGCAATAAGTCTTCTCAGTCTTTGAAAATTGCTGCCGGTTGTTGCTAAGCGGTGTATTCTAACAATAAACTGTTGCAAAATCTATTCTTCTGGGGCAAGCTTTCAACACAATGGCTCCTACATATCACGATAGGAAATCGGTGGAATGAGCTTAGCATTTAAAGGTGAATGGCGTTGAGGGTACCTCTTGTTCTTTAGATCAACGTGTAGAACCCCGAGGGTAAATAAAAAGTGGGGCATCTGCTTGTTTTGAAGGAGAGACCTGTTTTGAATTGCGGCGTTCAACAATTCTTGTGGTGAGGGCCAGAGAGTGCTCAGAGTTGGGGAGTTTCAATGTTGGAATGGTTCATGGAAGTTTTTTGGTCAACGCATTTGTTGTTGTCAGAATTTTATACTGATTTATTTCAGAAGTTGTCAACTAAACCCATCCAGGGTTTTAAACTACATCACTCTCAGTACTGACTCAATTTCATCAAACAGTTGTCTTTCTCCAGTGCTGTCCTTAGGGAGAAGTTGAATAGACGAAAAGGGGCAAAAGAGATGTTTGGGGAGCATGGTATGGATAGTACCGCCAGGATTTGGACTGTTTGAAATATTCACAGTGTTTACTTTGACGTGATATGCGTAAACTTGGGGCCAAGCTGATTCCAGACGTCCTCGTGGAGTACACAAAGTCTAAGCCGCTCCCCACAATCCCTATCAGTATTCCAAACAGCAATCATAAGATTAAGCAGACACCATTCTCTAATCTCGAAAGGGCCGTGGTCCAAACATATCCAATCAAAATCAGAAATGTTCAGGCCACTGGATTTCTCATCCTTGGGCAGGGGCGAGAATCGAGATAACAGTAACAGGTCAACAAATGATGCTCGAATTCTCCAGAATACGGTCAAATTTACCAACAGCTCCACTTCTCCGAGTGTTGTATCTTTGCAAAATGTGGACCTGGCCGACTGGAAATCCAGTAATGTTGATTGCAACGGCGTCAAATTCAAGAACAGATCTGGTGTCTCTTCTTCCAATGGGCATTCCTGAAGATTTAAGATGCCGCCATTGTCTGAATTTGAGCGTTCAGTATTGGTAAGGTTTCCATCAATATCTCATTCCAGAGGTTGGCCTGAGAAATGGAAACAAGTAACTGCAGACTTCAAATTGGTGGCATTCATCGTGTACCATGCATTATGGCGATCGTTGAAGCATTCGGGGGAAAGAGAGTCTGGTGATTGCCAGTATTCAACTGGCCCGATCCATCCTGCCCAAGACCAGCTAGGAAAAGGATGATTAGGGGTGAGCTGCTGTCGGCCTCCCGCTGGAACCCAGAGCAATGCCGCATCAAAAATGTTTGATGGAAGATCACAGATGAATCTCCTATCGAATCGATGCTTAAAAAGCTCAAGAAGCCTGGGGAATGCGTTCAAGGCATCCGAAGGGTACGATGATTGCCTTTTTGTTTAGTCGGGACGAGTCTCGCATACCTAGGGAACGCAACCCATATTTCCAATCATATTTCGACAACAGGCCACCTGGAAGAGTATTTAAAGCGGCTTCACAAACTTGCAAACTGCCATCCATCATGTATGCGGACAAGACCTTCTGAGCAGTGGAAGTATGTTTGCCGAGTCTGTGAATACCAAACATCGCTTCGAAAGCAGTCTCTCTTGGAATGTCCATGTACGAGACTCATAATGCGACCTAGAGACGCATTCAAGTAGAGAAGGCGTTCTACCTTCGTCTCTGGCATCTAGTTCATATACGGACCCGGGTGACGATAAATGTAGTAGATTGTTATAACGAGATGGGGTTTTTATCAAATTATCAACCCACAATTCACGCCCTCCTAACGTTGAAACAAGCGTAATTGAGTCCTGGATAATTCTTAGGAGCTCGTCCATAATCTTGGTTAGAGAGCCAGGATCCTCGAGGGATGACCTGTTTGGTATAGTTGTTTTAAATATCGGGACCCCTCCCCAGACGTAACTGAGGGCAAATATATGTCTCGCCAGGATCCTCTAGCAAGCCGACTTTCGGATATATCAATGAGAGGAATCTCAATCAGTGTATAATAGAGCCGATTACCATCAAGACGAGAAGGGTCGTGGTTCTCCTCGCACTGCTTGAGATATCTGGATATTTGAGCAGGTTCTATCTCCGCCCCACCGTTGGCTTAGTTAAGCTAGAATTATTGTCAAGCATTTGAATGGCTCTGTGAAATTCTCTCTCTCTGCGTATGTGTTTGCTTTAGGTAATTTTTATAATTAAAGGAAGGATTGAGTTTGCTTTCGTTTTAAAGTGATTAAAATGTGTGAAAGGCTGCATTTGTTCATTTATGGAACGAAGGTCGGCCGGTTCGAATATGGTATCTATATTGTGTGTTGATGGTTAAGCAGGTTGTGGCATGCGCAAACTTGCATTTTTTTAATGTAAGGCTGTAGGGAGAAAGCTTTTACTTAGGAGCAGAAGTTCATTTCAAACATTTTAAAATTGCAGCCTTTACTGAGATTTAGATTTTTTCACTACAAATTTGTTTGAGTAAAATATATACCTTTTAACTTTCATTAAGTATTAAAATTTATAAATTTAGTGGTTCGTAAGAATTTTTGAAGTGTAAGGTGAATTCTCATTTAAGCAAATTTCAACTTCAGTTTTTCACATACCCCAAAACGGTTATCATGATCATATTACTCCAGGGAATATGCTCATTAAACCATAGAGCGTGGATAATTGTACCATCCGAAGGTAGGCTTTTCTTTACAGTGAAATGTTTTTGCATCACTGTCGAAACCAACATCGTGGCTTGGACAACCTTTCGGCGGCCCTGTCCCGATTTCACACAGCCTCGCCTTAAACGCGACCGCAAGTGCTAAGTTCAATATCGTGCTAGGCAGATAACTAAACTACCAATCAATGTGGCCTTTCGTGTTGTAAGATGCGGAAGGCGACAATTGGACCTCGTTGGTTGGGCGAAATCCATCGGATTCGGCCTTGTGCAGGAATGCAAACGCGCAAGGCGCAGTCGAGTCGCACAAGTCTCCAACGTCGATATAACGACCAATTTTCCTCTTAAATTCTCAGGACTTTAAATTTGGCTCTAAAGACTTCTTTGGAAGCTGTCAATAAGTACATCGATTCTTCTTTCGTGCAGCTGAATCGTTGGGAATGCCGTCGGCCGCCCACCTCCATCAAGAAGGTGCAGCCTTTCCTGTCGCCGGAACCCAAAAGGCTCAACACAACCGCCTTAGAAAGGGAGATGTTTGCGTAGGATGCATTGTCTGGCTACCCCCGAGGAAAAGTCATGACGATCCTGTCTTGTGCAACAGACCTGACTGTTGTGGTCGCGTCGCTCTCGAACCCGAAGGGTATGACCATCCTGTGGTGGTGCTAAAAATCTGGCAGAGTATCAATTCGAATATTCTTGGGGATTTAGTCTGCACTATAGCTTGCGTAGGATAATTTATCTTTGAAAGGTGTTCAAGCTGACCTGATCGCAGGCAACAACTTTCACGAACACCTCTCTGGATGTTTACAGAGCGCAACGGCTTCGAAAACCACATTACCGAGCATCTCTGCCCATCTTGGACGCCACTTCCAAGTCCACCAAGGATGACCCTGGAACTGTGCAAAACCTTGTTCTCGAAAAAGGCAATATGAGAAAGCAATCCTACGTTCGGCTTGACCATACATATGAAGTTCCTTTATCGATGCTCACTCAATATTCTGGTGGTAGGGCATATATAACCAGACTCTCAGAAGCAAGCTACATTACTCTGATTGAAAAGTTGGGACTCGAGCCAGAAATATTCGAGATAACGGCGACTTTGTCGAAGACGACAAAGCAACGGCTTTCAGCCTTGACAAACGCAGCCAGACGCTCTCAAAATGCGACTCGTCTTCCGTGTACGGCAGAAATCCCTCAGCAACTTGTTTTCCCGCCAATGCATCACCACTCTCCGACCCTTGTTTCTCAGCCAACGCTCCCAACTTCTCGCTACGGGGCGACATCCTTATCACAAGCGCCAATATATGTCCCGGGTTCCTATCCTGATGCACTACCGTATTCTAGTTCTGCCGAGCCCTCTGATCCCGATTCAACCTCATTGGTCTTGAAATGCATTCTCGGAGTCGTAGTTGTCGGCTCTCTTGTTTGGTGGAGGTACTCTCCGCGTTAGTGAGGAGCAGAAATTTAGTCTGGCGAGAAACGACGTAGATGGTGCCCCACTCAGGGCATAACTTCCTGTAGCTGAAATATGGAGATACTGGGCGGGCTGCGGCTAAAGGATATCTCTTATACATATCTTTACCTGGGGAAGAGTTTCATATCAAGAGGACTCGGTTTTCCATTTCCTCCTGATTCGTGCTGTTGAGTCTCTGTTATGGCCTGCTGAACGATAACCGATTGCTCGACCGACATTTGATACAGCAATTGCTTCAACAAGGGCTTTCAGTCCATGATTTGTTGTTTCATTAAAAGCTTTACGTCCTCGACTTTTGCTACTTGGTACTCAGGCTTTCCTTTGGTAATCAGTGGATTGAGACAAGCGAAACTTACAAGAGGGAGGAGCTCACAGTTGGGCAAGAGAAACGGACTAGGCTGTTTAATTACTCAACAGAAGTGTTGCAATGCAAATTGACTGGATCCTTGAAACTAATTACATGCTCAGAGCACCCAATGTTCTCAATAAACCCGCTTGGCCATTGGTTTGCTTGTCCCACGCAATTCGTCATATGACTCATATCATCACATGCTGCCAAACAAACGTCATAAGTGGTATTGCAAACATATATCTCTTGGCAACTGTGTTGCTTGCTAATCCTTTGTTCAAACTTCTCAGGCTATAAAACCCTGGTGACGAATCTAGCATTTTTCTGGTCACCAGCTGTCGCTCAAACCATTGGCTCAACTGTTCCCCTCATCTAGATTACTCCTTCTACAGGAAATCTTTAGTATGCCTCATTATCCCCAGGTAGGATTTATCGACAGTGTCCGTAGTACGAAAGTACACACAAACCCTTGAGTGGTCCTGATCACGGATGATGCAAGTGTAGAGAATCCACCAGTTGGCCACCGTCCCTATCGAGTTTACTCCAACACACTGAAGCTCCTCCAAGATTCCCTAATAGTTCAATCTAGAGAAATTATGGGGCTGCCTTTGCAAATCTGTCCAGATTTCTTGTTTCTACCTGGACTTTCGCTTAGCTCGTCAATTAACAGATGAAAACTAGCCCCTTTTTAAGCGATCCTCTTACCATCGGACTACCTGGTTCTGTCCTTAACAGAAGAGTCTCTTCCTCCAATATTCCAGTTATGTCATTTCGGCCTTTATGGAACGGAAACCTCAACTATACCAACCAGCTGATGCTATTATAGGAACGGAAACGAGCGACTGACAGCATATTCCACAATTGATAGCGCATTCGATTAACGAAAGCCACGACACTCCTAAAGAGATAATGCTTGATGCAGTCGGAGAACGAGCAGTCAACTTGCGTCCAGAAAGTCTTAGTTAATATTGTGAGTAAAGACTGCGATTTCGAGAATCAATGACCACTGATCTAGCAAGAAGTGTTCAGTGCTGCATAGGTTTGATGTATATATTCATTTATATTATTTTTGTCAGAATTTCGAGTCCACAAATGTGTTCCACCCACATGAAAAACATAAGCCATTGAAATCCACCAGCGACCGGGTTCCAATGTTGAAGGAGATTCGATACTGCTGGCGTCGGAAGCAAGATCGCCTTTTGTGGTCCCCTGCTCTTGAAAGCCCTGCCGACGAGCTCTTTACGTGACTTCCTTCGATCGCACGAGTCTTGAAAACTATATCAAGCATCAAAACCTAATCAAGTTTCGAATTGCCATCCTAGTCTACCATGAGGAATACTCCCATTTCGGTCATATCCCTCGGCTCTTCCTTGTTTCTGGTCAAATTCCAGAAAAGAGGTACGTGTGGTTTCCACACATCTGGCCAATTCAATCTCTTACCTGATCAACGCCCATTTCATAACTCGACTTCGTATGTGTACCGCATAAATAAGGAGAGCTATCACGGGATAATGGAACTATTTGAACGTGCTCCACAAGAATATTTTCCAATCGATCAAGTATCGGCTTCGGCAAAGGAAAGGTTGACAACCTTGGCTCGCGGTGACAATGGAGATGGTTTTGGAGATCACTGATGACATTTCGAAGATCCAAGGATATCTCAGGGTAGAAATAAGAGTCTGGAAGGGGTATACGCTATTTGGAGAACTTGTTGGGGCGCGAGTTCATGTCTTCCGAGATACGAACTAACTCGGAAAATTTGAACTCAATTGGAATGTCAATCCAAAAAACGCAGACAATGAATGAACACTTTGTAGACTATATATCTAACTACCCTTGCGGAATTTAAAGCATTTGCACATGCTCATTCACCGGTCAAAATTTAGAAAATTTACGCGGTGATGCACCTCTATAAAATCGAGGTTCGATACGATAAACAGTCCAAAATACTTCAACGTCTCCCAACCACCTTTCATATAGCGCATCCTCGCACGATAAGAGTCAACCCCATTTACTCAAACCTTAATAAGAACAAAACCGACCTCTGCGATCCCTTGCAGTTCGATTAATACCTACCTCCAAAATACGGGTTCTTTGGGCTAGCAACGTCGTCCGAGTAAAGCCCACCACCAGAAATGACTCGCAATGGCTACCGCATTTCCATTGCCCACAGATAAGTGGGCTAGTGACAGACCAATGTTGCCGGTAGAAGAGCTCCCCGTGCTGCCAGAGGAAATTTGCATGGGTTCAGTTGTGTGGCTACGACAACGCTTTTACAAGGACGAAGACATAACATGTGTCCGACCCAGACATTGCGACGACTTCAAGCTTGAGAATGAGGGATATAGACATCCACTTGTGATTCTCAAGATCTGGCAACGATCTGGATCTGCAGAACCAGGAGATTTGATGCTGGGTGTTAGAGATGTAAGTTGTTGTCAATCCTTTCTCGCTGTCACTTTCGCGTTGTAACTTTATCACTCTATATATTTTCTCCCAAACAATCCACAGGCGAGTGAACAACCCTTTATTCAGGTGAATTGAATATTAAGCTGTTATTATTAGTAGAAATTAGGATCATAACAAGTGGAGCTAACACCATTTCAGTTGACAAGCTTTAGAGAAACCCCTTCGAGAACTACAACAATAACAAAGATCGGCCTATCAAATTCAAGGAATGCATTCCTATTTCACACCGCGATGACCCTTAAGGTGACAATGCAGGACAACTTTCGCTAGCATTTGGTTGGCTGAGAAGCAAGTCATGGGTCCGTCTCCAACACCTTCTTCTCGTCCATATCAGCAATCTATGGAAGTACGACTGGCACAAGGGCTCCCACGCTTATGACCAACGTCTGAACAAAGAAAGTTACGAGAGACTGATGAGAATGTTTAGGATGGAGGGAGACGAGTATGAGAGCACGGAGACTCTCCTGGTTGCTGCTCGTTTGAGGCTGCGCAACTTGGCGAGACAAGAGGCTGTGAAACTCTAAGAGAAATATCGTTTACAAAGCGAACGTCGAAGTGGCCCAGATGCTTTTTCAGAAGTTGATTTGGAGGATAGCTACACTAAAACTCCGTCCCTTGCCAACACCAATCGGAGTCATGATAACGCGGGTCAAGACCTCGGTCAGGAATCTGTCGCCGCCACGAAACACTGGAAGACCCAAACTTCTAGGGCCAACGGTTCTTGCAGCACAGTTGAGCCTGCTTCTTCTCGGGGTCGTCAGTCCCGCGCTACCTACACCATGACTCCACAGTACCCCCCTTCAGCCCTGGTCAACCGCCAAATCACTCCAGACTCTGAACGAAAACATTGTGCTGCAAGCTCCAGCAACGAGCCTCGAGACCACGATTTCCCTATTCCAGAAGTGTCTCCTCCTGGACCGATCTTGAGCATTGCTCCTGTACCTGGACCAGTACATCGACAGCCTCAACTCCCGCTACATCCCCACCTAGGCTACTTTCCACCATATGTTGCGTCAAGCTTCCACCTAACCGTACAAAATAATTTCCACTTCATCGAATCCAAAGCTCAATTCAATGCGCCGTTAACCACGAACTACGGGATGATGCCTCGCCAAACCACGCAGCCAGCATATCAGAATATAGGACAGCTGTGGGGACAAGGGTTGGTTCAACAACAGCCGCAATGGGATCAACACGTCGGTCAACAAATGACACCGCCAATCGGCCAAAATATGTCCCAATTGATAGGGCAAGCAATGGCACAGCCAATGCCCTACTTGAACCAGATGGTCAATTCATTCAATGCCAACATCCCACGAGCCAATCCTTACCTTCGAAATAATACGAACCAGCGCCCGCAGAATTATCCGGCACACAGGCAAATGAACAACCGGAATCAAGTGCCGTTTATGCAGCTTCCACATAGATCAAATCAAACACCCTATCCACGGGTCCCACCCGCGTCAAGTGGTCCCACGAGAAGAATCTCCCACTCGGTTATGGATAGCGTCTCAGCCATGAATGGTTCCCTGACTGGAAATGGTTACACTCCGCAGTATGGCCAACAGATCTCACTATCCCGAAGGATAGCTCCGTATCCTGGCGCCCAGCTAACGAAGTTCAAGCATCGAGGAACGCGCACTTCTAAGAAGAAGGGCAACTGATTGTACTTCTGGGAGTTGGGAATCTTTGGTATATCAGCTTAGGAGACCGCTCTGACTGTATTGTGAGATTCCGATTCTGGATGGTGCTTTGTAGATATCAACGGATCTGGAAGTGGATTTAGAGTGGTGGTGATTTTTGGGGGTGGGGGGGACTACCCTCGGAGCAGGATTATCGGAGTAGGTTTGTACAGCAAGAAATGAAACTAAATGTTGTTTCCAAATTTGGAGATTCCATTGATTGACGACCAAATGCTACTTGTAGATATATGTATACTTCTTCTCCCTCGGCTTCGGTGTAGGCAAAGGAGTAAGGACACCAGTTAAATACTTCAATTCTAACTCGCTCACTGGACGCGGTGCAAAAACCCCTACTAAACCTCTCAGCTCCGCTTTACTCTTCGGCGGTGCTGAGACCGGAGTATTTGGTCTTTCTGAGAGAGATCTTGATGGTAGTTGAGATGGCGTTTCCCGGTGAGGATTCGATGCTCCAGAATTTGATCTTGAGTGAGATGGCGAGGTTGCTGGGAGTAAATTTGTTGTTTCTCGTGCTTCGCGCATCTCTGATTCGGCAGTTTGGAGATGAGCCGTATTCAGAGGATGAGGTGGCGATTCTTGGATTCCCAGTCCGATATCCGCGTCGGTGACTTCGCTTGAACTCCCACTGAATTTTGACATTTGACTCCGCTTCCTGCCCCCTTCTAGACCTCTCCTTATACTCTCGGCTGGCAACTCGAAGATAGGAACTCCGTCTTCTCCAGGTAGTTCCGCGGTTTCATACTGCCCTGGTCCAGCGGACAATTCTGAAGTTCCGAAGTCTGGCCTGGGAAGTTTGTTCCACCACTTCACCGAAATCCCTTTCCTCGGCGTCCCACCGTTCATTCCAGAACCACCCCCTCTTCGGCGAGATATAACAAAGACAGTGATACAGAAAATCGTGAATATCAAACCGGCAACACCAAGCGTTACAGCCACAACGTTGAACGAAAAATCGCCATCTTCAGGTTGAGATCCCGATTGACCTAATTTGGGCCTCGTCGCCGGAATTGATGTTACAGCAAGAGTGGTTGGTGTCGCCGCATTGAGCCCCACGAGAGCGACGGCGGAGGGGCAGGATTTGGAAGAGCAGCTGAATTCTCTTGCTGTTGGTGGATTGAGGCCTTGGCCTTTTCTAGGTGAGTCGAAGGGGACGGTGAAATTAATGGCCTCCATAGAAAAGCGGTTTGAATAATTGACGATCTGGACGCTGGTGTTGGATTTGAGGGTTGAGGCTACGCCAAGGAAACTTTTACCCGGATGAGGATATGTTTCTTAGGGGATTGAAGAGGAGAGGGAGAGGGAGAGACTGACTATGCGTTGTCCTTTGAATTGGGAACGTTGAATCGATCCCAGGAGATGACGTTTGAGAGGGGTGTGGGAGACGTGAAGGTGCTTGGGGTTGTGCTGGCCATTTCGGTCTGTTGATTGTGAGCTAGTGGTAGGTTATGGAAAGAAGGATGGCAACGAACGTAGTTATCATTGTCTCCCATATAGAGAACTATGGTGTAGGAGTCTAGATTTGAGATCGTAGGGACGATATTTGATTCTATCCAGGTGATAGTGTTATCGTTGACACCCGACAGGGTTTCTCCCCCGGCAGGGTAAGTGATGAGCACATCAGCTGCAACGGCACCAAATAACGATATAGTGAAGAAAGATAGCATCACGATCCTCATGGTACTAATTGGAGCATACCTTCTCTTCATCGAAATTGCAGCGAGCAGAAAAATCAACTCAAGGATTGAATTCAAGAGGCAGTGTCGCTGGGCGGGGTCGGGGTGGCGGGACAAGACATCGGATCTTGGTGCAGAGAGCCAACACCGATCACCTCGAACCAAACACGAAAGGATTCATGCAAAACTAAGCCTTGCAGAATCTTGAGGTTATCCAATCGACGGCCGTCCCAGTAAACAGTGACGCCCTGCCACCAACATTTGACCCCTGCATGAACTGTCGTAGGTGGCTGTGTCAAGTGTCTCGGTGGTGAGTGAGCTTTGTTTGGGCCGCGGAGGCTTCAGCTCGGTATTCCTGTTTGGATTTCACCATCGGAATGTTGGGACGGGCAGTAAAGGTTCAAGTGTAAAGTACGTGGGTTGCTCATGTAACACCAACATCTCAATTCCATGCTCCAAGCCGCAGCAACTCGAAACCAGCTGTTACGCCTCACTTGCAACGACTTTGCGGCGAAGCGATATGAAGGCACTTGCTCTTACAAGCGTAATGTGAGGATGAGTTGTCGATGAAATGATGAAGTTGAGTCGAGAAAGGTTGAGAAGTTCCCGACGTTGGAATTAGGGGTGCTGATCCAGGCTCGTTTATTTGGTTTAGCGCCTATTGGTAACGAAGTAAGCCCCGTCACCCCCGACAGGAGATAATCGCTAAATCCACCGCTGAAGTCCCCGAACTGCCTCGACGCTGTCAACCAAATAATTTTCCCGAGTTTGCAGGACACTAAAACTTCGTTCAAGAAGTCTCTGATATTCCAATTTCTCCGAAGACCTGATACCAATAATAAGATTATGTCTGCAGATCAAGGAGCTCTCTTACTGCCGGTCGGCCACCAATCACGCTGTGGTTCCAGGAGCCGAAACTCTCTTGGAACAGTGCCTTGCCCAAGAGAGGATGCACCAAATCGCCCAATGAACGTCCCTACGAAGTCATTGAGTGGGACGATCTCGTTCCCTATGGCACCCGATGGATGCACTGCCTCCAAATTTCCCGATAAGCAGGAAAGGAATCGGGTAGTAAGTTCAAGGTCTTCGAATAGTCAGCCTTCCAGTTGCTTCTGGCTGACCGGGGTGCCAGAATGGAAGGATTCTGCAACAGATACAGATTTAATTTGCCCTCCAGACTCTTCCTCACAAAATTGATCTTTGAAACAACTGGGAACATCCGAGCGGTTTCTACGCGCGAGTTTGGAGACTTGCTGCCTGGCTCCAAATAGTAGAACCCAAAAGCTTTATTGAAGTCGCATAGATAGGTACGGAGTACAATCATGGCTGACGCGTAAATTAATCCGGGTGGCTAGAGACCTTGTTGAAATACCGCTGGCTGCTATTGACGCTAATCTTTCCCATTCCCGATAAAGTGATAATTGCTTTTCCAACCCGAATTATTGGATTCATTTGTGGCTTTCAGCGTGGCTTTCAGCGTGGCTTTCAGCTTGGCTGATTTTGGAGCATCAGCGGATGGTAAACGAAAGACAGGGCAGCACACCCCAAGCATACTCCTCTGCTGTCTTAAATTGCAAAACTCTCGCCGAATCCACTCGGAATGGTAGTTCAGTCTTCCATTTCTCTCATCTCAATTCGTAATGTCGCTCAACCTCTTCTCTTACTGTCGTTCGAATGATTGCTGCTATTCGTATTATTGGAATAACAATACATGGATTCCAACAGGGCTCCCAGACTCAAGGAACTCAGATTGCCAGTGCCCTTTTAAAGGGGATCCAGATATTGCTGGCCCTGGAGTAAGATTGTTCTGTTCTCCAGACAATGTTATACGGACTGATATCTTTAGGTGATGGCAGCTTTCATAGCGACAGCATGGATAACCTGCTTTGTAGCAGGCATCAACGCATACTGTGGGTTAGCGAAAAGGTTTGACAAATATCTGTCATATCACGCGTCCTGGAATCGCGCCGAAAATCTCAAGAACCTTCTACGAACTATCGTACCCCCCTTGCCTTTTCAAGACTCGGAATTTCCGGCCGCAAGGTGGAGCTTTCTTGCACGCTGCATTCGATGTGTGGGAGGCATATGTCGCTGGGGAGTTGCTTGCGTTCTGTTTCTATTCGAGAAAGAAATGCCAACTACTAGGAGGGCTGCCAAAAGCGCTCTCGCTATCCTTTGCGACATCCAGGTTGTCACCGGGACAGCAATCGTGATTGCCGGAATCGTACAAAAAACATCAGCGACCTTCTACCATCAGCAATTTGTCATGAACTACTGGTTTCTTACATTGAATTCGTTTTGGGCGGCCAGGGCCGGCGGTTTGAATGATAATGAGGATGACGATAATTGGCATTATTGGACGAGGGCTTTTGCCATCTTCGCCACCTGTGTGCTGTCAGTTTACTACCAATGGTTCACGATACCTCGACAACATCGCGATTGGGACCCTTTGAACAGCGGATTCTGCTTTATTTCCCATGACAAAACAGGATATACGCAAAACTACATTTGGATCGCAGGTCTGCTAATATTCGCCGTGTATCTTTTCTTTCTTCTCCTCGCTGGAATCACAAGTCGAAGCCCAACATGGATGGACAGACTCTCAATACAAACGACTTACTTAGAGAACAGATATCGCGAGAAGTACGAACGTTGGATACAATCAACACTGAACAGACCTGTTCCCCAGGGCGTCGGATCAGCGGCCGTTTCGGGTGCTCAGCACACTTCACTCGATCCTAACAATCATCAATCGGCTGTTTCCTCAACTCCAACAACAGAACGACGCTTCAAGAGTTACAAAATTCTTCACTACATAGCGTGGTGGGTTCTCAACTTTCCTATCTTTATTGAGTGGGGTTTCCTCCGATACATGGAGCTCGTAGCTTGGGGCGACCCTCAATCGATCATTATTGTCCTTGCGTTCTTTGGCTTCGCGGCATGGAACACCTATGATCTGATTGATCTTAAGCTATCGAATACCTACCTAGCAGCAGATGAGTCTGCTTGGGGGTTTGGTCAAGTACTTCCGGTTGTACTGTTGGGATTGATTTTGCTGAATGTCTTGGATAGTGTGCAGAGTGAGTGCCTAGCGTCGATGACCAGTGACTTGAGGGAAGATGCTGAGCTTGAATAGAAGCCGTAAAGGAGAACAAAAAAACTATTAAACGAAATACCCCTGGAACAATCACACTGAGGGGCCATCTTGCGTAATTGGATAAGCGGTTGACGCAACGTCACACAGGGTCACGAAACCGTGGCGAACCTCACTGATCGAACTGGCACAAAAGGGTACTCATGGCTTCAACTAATTGATAATGGTCATGCAGCTACACTCTTACATCAATTCATGAATCATGAAAAGAGGCCATAAGCGGGAGGCTGTCAGAAAACTGGGGATGACCCAGAGCTGGTACCACACGTGACTTGTCAAGACCACAAACGAGGCGTGCCTTCCCCTTTTCGACGACCGGCGTCCGAGCCATCTTTAATCCGCTCTGAACCGATCAACAAAACAACAGGATCATTTCTCGACGCAGTTAGAGCTACCAATCCTTCATATACATAAAAATCCTCGCCTCGCGATAGCTGTCTCCGCGTAAGTGCTCCAATTGCAATCTTCCACAGCCTCCCAGGAGAATCATTTCCATTCTCCCCACAACCTCCTGGAAGAATCACCGCGGAGAGCACCAAGGCTGACTGGCATGGACTCGCAGACAACCAGATCCCATGGCACCAAGCGCGAAGGGTACAAGCGCGAAGTCGCTTCTCCTTCGACCATGGAGACTAGGGGGAAGGAGAAGCGAACCTGTGTTTCAATGGCGTGCATGCCATGCCGAAATCGCAGATCCAAGGTCAGATACTCTTCACCCTTCATGGAATGGCCCAGGCTGATACATCCCAGTGCGATGCAGTGATGCCGACGTGCGGCTCTTGTCGAGTCCATAACACAGAGGCGGCGTGCCATTACAATCCCGATAAAGACCTCAGAACAAAGGGTGCATTGAGGAAACTACTCGTAGACTACGGAAAGGAGAAGCGCACCAGCGACTTTATCCTCCGATCGATCAGTCAAGGTTCCGAAGCCGATGCTGCAGCAGTCGTGCAATTGCTCCGCAACAACAATAAACCGGAAAACTACTCTGACATTCAGGATCAAGTCGTTCGGATGCTACACTCTGGTGGAAATATAGAAGTCGTTTCCGGACCAATACCCAGCGGAGAAAGCGAGCCTATGTCTGTTCTCACTCTTGACGCGTCACAGACCACGAGCAGTCAAAGTCGCCACTACGGCGCGACGTCGAACCTGGCTTTCCAGGGTGATGAGCTTGGTCTCTCAACGAACGAACCTGCTGGTGAGGTCCCAAATTGGACGACTGTCACCTCCGACACTGAATTGATTGATCATCTTCTGAAAGTTTATTTTACCTGGTCGCACCCGTTTCACGTACTCTTCTCAGAGGAATGCTTTCATCACGGCATGGGTGAAAAGCAGCGCAAGTATAAGTACTGCACACCTCTTCTGATGAATGCTATTCTCGCCGTTGGTTGTTGCTACTCAGATAGACCAGAGGCCAGAAAGAATCCAAACGATGCAGACACCATCGGTGACCATTTCTTTGAGGAAGCACAGCGGCTCTTTGCTGAAGTCCCAGATGAAGCCTCTCTCCCGATTGTACAAGCACTTGGGCTGATGTCTCTTCGCGAGACAATGCACAATCGGGTATCAAGTGGTCGGAAATACATTTCTCTGATGTCCAGCATGGTAGCAGAACTCGGTCTCGAGCGCCCGCCAACTCCAGACAGAAGAATTTCCGATGCTGAAGTTGAAGTTCGCAAGATCACATTCTGGGGAAGCTTTGCTCTCGAAACAGCATCCGCTATGTGGCTGGGAAGAACGCCGTCACCTTTGAAGCCAACAGGACTTGGTCACCCCAAGCTGTCACCTGACCTCGAAAATGTACTATGGAAACCCTTTGGTACCCCCAACTACGACGGCGGCGAGACTGAGTTGGCCCAACCAAGCAGGAAATACGGCGTTCTACTCCAGCTGTGTTTTCTCTCGGGGATTGTTAATGACTTTCTTAATGATTTCTACTCCTCACGGAGCGGCCTCACGTTTGAACAATCGTGTTTGCATCACGAAAAGCTGCAGAAATGGCGTGTTGATCTTCCTACAGCTCTACAAATCAAAGATGATGGAATTACGTTGCCTCAGATTATCACACTTCAGTGCGTCAAATCTGCTCCGTTTGGCTTGAGTGTGTGCTGATCCGATTCCAGCTGTTACTATCACAACTGCATTATCGTGCTACTCCGCCCTTTACTCAACGCTTTACCCCCCCATGGTTTGAAATCTGCACGCGGACTGTGCGGCGAAGCTGCCGGCGAGATCTCTCAGCTGATGGATATCTATTCGCGAACCTACGGTCTGGACAAATCGTCCTTCATCAACTCGAACTCCCTCACATCAGCAGCAATTATTCATGTCTTCTCTGTATCGAAGCCAATTGGAAGTTTGGAGAAGAAGCAGCAGACAGAGGTGTACCTCGCAGAAGCCATTCAAAAGCTGCACGAGATGAAAGCCGATCGATTTTTGAGAATGGTCCAAAATGTTCTCTTCAAGTGGCGCGCTAATGTGCCAGCCAGCGTTCAACCAGCCTTGGACGAAGCTCAGCTGGATTCTACCACTACCACGGGAGGATATGCGTTTGATTCTACCAATTTCGCTGAAGACGGCGGGGATATGTGGGCCATGGAATGGGAGCGTTCAATGTTCTATCAAGAGTAAAGACATTGAAGGATGGGACAGATTAATTTTTTTCTTCTACTTCTTAACGCTTAATCGTAATGACCTAACCGTACATAGGATAATCAAAACTCACTACCGCCATGCCTTCAATCAATCCGCCCCCCAACTCCCGCTTCTCAGCCGGCAACACTCGCCATCCCACTCCTACCAGGCCCTCAGCAAACATTAATGCATTCCTCGCCCAATTAAACAGTTTCCACTCCAAACCAACTCTTGATCTGAAATCCTGTCTTCCCACCCCGTCTCTCACATTATAATCCCTTCTCGTTTCCCAATCTCTCCTCTTCTTCCTTCTTCTCTCACTCATCCCTCTTCCCCCTTTTAAACGTCGTCTCCTTAGCGTGGCCCGTCATCGCTGTCGTAACTAGCCACAGTAACATCCCATTCCATGTAAATATCCACGATTCCACAATCCAGGCAGCGGTGTACAATTGCCACTGAAGTCTCAACTCCTCTTCCTGCGGATATGGTTGTCATAGCAACCTGCTCCCGGGCCAATCTGTGATCTCCTGGTCTCGACGCAAATATTTACCGCATTGCTGAGACGGTGAGAGGAGCCTGCTGGGTATATATAGGAAGATAGACTGGAGATGGCGAGGGCGGTGAGCTGGAACTGGGCATGCCCGGTGAGGCGGAGGACATTCCTGAGGAGGAGGGGGTGGCTGGTGGAGGGTCAGGAGAGGAGAGAGCAAATATGGTAGGTGGTAAGGCGGAATATTGGGAGGTATATGGTGGCAGAGAGTGGAGCGAGAACTTCGATGAGTTTGGTGAAAAGGGGTGGGTGGGTTGAGAATGGCATCGAGGTTAAGCGAGAGTGAATAGGGGGATGCAAAGGGCGAGGGAACACGTGAGAAGTGGGTATGAAGAAGAAAGTGGGAATTGACGTCAGAGTGAAGCTCGATTTGAGTGTTGACATCATGGGATTTGCGGGGCACAAGTCGCTTTGATTCGAGGTCTGGACTTAGCGGTCTTGAGATGATGCCCGGACGTTTTCTTCACTTTGCTCCAAAAGCGGTCTGATTGGTTGAATCGGCCTTGATGGTATATCGAGCCGACTTCAAGTCAATTATTGGTAAGCTGTGACCATGATGGGCCGAAGTTGATGGGAGAAGTGTGAGGTGTTCGGCGTTTAGAAGGCGGGGGTTCATGGAGAGGCGCCATCTCCGATGGGGAACAATTCGTGCAGGCTCCACTGACGCCATGCTTTGAACTTCACCTCCAAGCTTCGGACTAAGTCCTTTCTCGCTCCTCAACTTTTTCACATCTCTATTCTCCATCTTTCTCTCATCCCATTGTCATATTTTCCACCCACCATTTCCACAGAATCTCACAAACAGCAGCAAAAACCAGCAATCCCCAAAATGCCACCCCAACTACCCACCCGCAAGCTCGGCAAGAACGGCCCCCTCGTCCCAGCAATGGGATTCGGCCTCATGGGCCTCTCCGCCTTCTACGGAACTCCCGAGCCTGACTCCTCACGCCTTGCCGTTCTGGACCGGGCCTACGAGCTCGGCGAGACCTTCTGGGACAGCGCGGACATCTATCAAGACTCCGAAGACCTGGTCGGGAAATGGTTTGCCGCCAATCCCGAAAAGAGAAAAGATATTTTCTTGGCTACGAAATTCGCGAATAGGCATATTGGGGAGGGGAAGGGACGGATGGTGGACTCTAGCCCGGAGTACTGTAGGGAGGCGTGCGAGAAGAGTTTGAAGCGGTTGGGTGTGGAGAGTATTGACTTGTATTATTGCCATCGTGTGGATATGACGACGCCGATTGAGAAGACGGTCGAGGCGCTGGCGCAGTTGAAGAAGTACGTTACCATTTACCTCCTTTCCAATTTCATCCTTCCCGCTCTGAATTGATGCTAAAGACCGAAATAGGGAGGGTAAGATAAAGTACATCGGGCTCTCAGAGATTTCATCTGATACCCTCCGACGAGCATGTAAGGTCCATCACATAGGTATGTCCTCACACCCATCCAGAAACCAAAACTCACCTACTAATTCCCTCAGATGCCGTTCAAATCGAATTCTCTCCCTTTGCAATCGACATCGAAACTCCCCAGATTAACCTCCTGAAAACATGCCGCGAGCTCGGCGTAGCAGTCGTCGCCTACTCTCCCCTGGGTCGCGGCATGTTGACAGGAGCCTACACCTCACCCGCCGATTTCGAAGAAGGCGATTTCCGCAAATACGCACCGCGGTTCTCGAAGGAGAATTTCCCGAAGAACCTAAAGCTTGTCGAAGAGCTGCAGAAGATTGCAAAGAAGAAGAATTGCACGGCTGGTCAATTGACGTTGGCTTGGTTACTGGCGCAGGGAGAAGATATTATTCCGATTCCGGGGACAAAGAAGATTAAATATCTTGAGGAGAATCTTGGGGCTCTGGAAGTGCAGTTGAGTGGGGGGGAGGAGAAGGAGATTAGAGCCTTGGTTGAAGGGGCTGAGGTTCATGGGTTGAGGTATCCGGAGGTTATGGTTGGGCATTTGTTTGCTGCTACGCCGGCGTTGAAGGCCTAGTCTAGGCTGAGATATGCGGCTCAGAGGGACAGCAATGAGAGTACGAAAACTATATGATAATCTTGGCCTGGCCTGTGTGTGAAGTTTCGAAAGGAGGGGCTGCAGGCTGATGGGTTGACGACCAATTTTCATCTCGGGGAACCTTTCATCTCATTGCAACTAAGAAGTGAATGATGAAGTATCCCAAGCACACATTTTCAAAGTGGCGATGACATCCTCGCTTGTACATTGTTGTGACGTCAGCGTCACATGATCTGGCCCTAGCGTGGCACCCTGTACTTAGCTCAAGCTTCCCGCTCCTCTCTTCTCTCTTTAGACGTTACATACATACCCAACAGAGCTGTTTGCCTTCAGGTCTTCAGCCCAGGGACGTGATATACATGGACTTGGGCACTTCCCTAAAACATTCTGCGTCCACTGCACTTAGAATCTGGGGAGCCGACCAGGATGCAACACTTCTCCCTGAACTCTCGCGTCTCGTAAAAATTTGACATTCTAGACCTACATTATTTATAGTTTAAAAGGTGTTAACCGAAAACAACAGAAAATGAAAAATGGTAAAGGTATAGTGAACTGCGGAATTGCGTTTTACACCCTATGTTTTAAATGTTAGGCCAAGGAACCAGTTATATTTTCGAAGACCAAATACAGCCCTCTGTTTGCTCCCCCGACCTTCCTCTACATTGTGGTCCAATCTTTAAGCAGACTGCGGAGGAGGAAGTTCTGTCAATTAGTATGCAGTAATAGGTGCAGATTGTTCGCAGCACTTATTTATACCCTTATTATTAGGGATATTAGTAATTAAACAAAATTCATTACGGCACCTGTCTTACCACCATATCCAGTCTCTGCAACAATTAGCTCTACAATTGCAAAAATAAAACACATGTGAAATATTCTCGAACAGGGCAACACAAACTACAACCATTTACCAGAGGTGTATATTATAGGGTTAGGTTTAGGGATATCAGTTGGCGGGATTAGATAGAATATCAGTGTGCCCCTACTAACCCCTATATACCCCCCTGTTCTGCTCGCGTAGCATTCCCAAACCAGGGGTATCCGCCCAAGTAGTAGATTTCACTCTTAACTCTCTTTAGGGTACATGTAAGCACCCTTTTAGAGCAGCCCTAGAAGGGTGCTTATATAAAGAGAGAGTTATTTAGCCCCTCCTGACCTCTCCCGTTTAAAAATCGACGATTCTGTGAGATTTAGTATTAATTACCCTATTTCTTATATATTATCTCGTATCCCTACGCGCGTACTTGCCTCCTTGGATATAACGCACGTTTACTGCTCCTGCCTAGGGTGTGCCTTTCGCCAAGCTTTGCAAATAGCTTTATTTTTCTCGTATATAGATCCGCATATGAATACGCTTCGCACGTGAATGCACTCCAAATATAATATGCTCTAAATATAAATGCGCTTCGCACGACTGCGTGCCCCCAGCCTATAAGGTCCCAGTATTAGTAGAGATAAGCTTTAGAACTTCCAGAATTAGTATAATGGCTAGTTATGTGCAATAAACAGTGTTCGGTTATCTGACGTGTTTTCCCTTATTCCCTCTTGTAACCGCAGGCAGGCTCCTGAGCTTGTAATTATAGATAACCGTGATAACAACTCCTTGAACAATAAGAACCCTGTCGAGCTGAGCTTTCAGCTCATTCAGGACCAGCTGAATTTCCAACCCATCGACTGCTAATAGTTGTCCCTTGACCGGCTAAACCTGTTAAAGGTGACCTATTCTGACAGCTCCAATACTAAAAGTTAGGTAGGATGATACTCATAATAGATAAATCAATTACGTGACTCACCACGTGGCTCACACCAATTAACAAGGGACTACCCCAGCCCAATAACACCCCTTAACGACATCGTCCATATCATCCAGCCCTTTGCAGTTGGGAGAGTAGTAATCCTCGACACTTCCCGTCGGGAACATAGGAATAAAACAAAACTGCCAAGAACTGGCACAACGGCCACATCCCTTCCAGGTCGTCCATTGTAACTGATCCATCAGGGTACCCGCAATTGTTCGACTCTTGAGCAGGGCAGATTCCTCGCCGACTCGAGCAGAACTGAGAAGAGTCCGAATCTGAAACAAACTTGAGCAAATCTTGTCTGCTACTACCTTAACGGCGATAAAATTTGCTGTATCCTCAAGTGTCCAAATGTCCCTTCTCATCATCGCAGCATTGAGGTAGTGATTCGTGCACAGCGTGACTCCTATGGGTGAAGGTGTCGAGGCATTCCTATCCTCCGGAAAGTTCAGGAACGGGTTGAGTAGCGTACTGACCTCACCCCACAGCATTTCTACTGACAGATTGCCGTGGGTGATGAAATTTAGCCGGTCAGAGAAGCGGGTAACAATATCGTCGACGATGTTCTGCCAGTCTATCATCGGATTCACTCCGTGTTTCCGTGACGCAACAACCTCCCCAAATCGCGCCCCAATATCCTCTTTTTCTTCCTTCGTGACCTCAATAAGACGCGGGAGGTCTTGCCTCTCTAAATCTGGATTCGTGGTATTCACATCATACGCAAACGCAGTTACCATACTGGACCAATCAATCCTAATCCTCCCGCTACTAAACCCATCATGTCTCTTCGCCGCAGCTCGCAGTAGCTCAAACAATAGTGTCTTAACCTCCCACTGCGAATTTTCAGTCTCGTTAGGAAACGCACTGCCGTGCTGGCTTACAAACTCCAGTCCACCACCAGAAGCAAAATCGCAGTAGATGATTTCGAACCCGGTTTCCATGCGTACCCAGCCGTCGACTCCCCATTCTTTAGCCAGTTCACAGAGGAGTCTGCCGTAAACTGTATCCCCGAGACGGGGTCCGTCTGTGAAGTTCCGGGAAAGTCCTAAGAGCAGTAAATCTTGTGAGTCCGTGGTTCCCCAGCAGCCTTCGGCGGCGCCCATCCCGTCGATGTAGATTAATTTGAGAGGACGCGAGGCGCGGTAAGTTTGGAAGTAGCCGCGAGAGGTTGGTGGGGGACTGTGCTTCCCTCTGTCATCGTCCTCAATGAGGCGGTTCTGGGCGCTCGAGTCTTCTGTGACATGCGATTCCTGCGTCGGTGACATCTGGGTCCCGCTGATCTCTGAATATGACGGCTGCCAGCTGAATGTATCTGGTTTATTGGTTGGACGCGGTAGACCAGGCGGTGGCATCCTTGGATCCCCTGATAGCGCAAACCCGGACGCGTGTTCCACTTCGAAGGCCAGCCACTCGAAGCTGTCGGGGCGGTCAGGGGAAGAACTTCCGTGATAGAAGAGATTGCCTTCGGGGACTGTAGCGAGGAAGAAAGAGACTCCGTTGTGATTCACCGAGGAGCCCCATTGTCTCATCGCGCAGTGGATTACATTAAATATGTGGAAGGCATTTCGGCGGGCAGCATCGAGGTCTGGTCCATAGCTAGAGCCTGGGGCCACAAGTGCAGACGTGGATGTTAGGGGAATTGAGAACACAAGCAGCCAGAACGAGAGAAGATGGCGGACAGAGAGCAGCATCTTCAGCCGTTGTAGCAGGGAGGGGCAGCCTTAGGGTATGGTAACTTGGGAAACAGCATCGATTAATGGAGGAAAACAAGACGTAGGATACAAGGCAGATTTCATGGTCGGCCACAAGAGAGGATATCGCGGAAAGTTGTCGTGATAGAGTTACGAATGGTGAGGTGCGGGGTAACCATCTCCCGGCTTACACGCGCCTACGTAGTTGTAGACAGGAGACAGACCTATTTGAGCCACACAATCCTCCCAATCCAGATTTCAGGCTCAGGTTCTCGAGCTCAAATTTGGAAGTTGTTGATTGCTAGCGACCGAATCAATCATGCGCGCTTCACCGATAAACCACCTTGCTATACTTTATTATTAACTCATTATTTTTATAACCAAACTAGAAGAGGGGTGTAGAGAGGCCTACGCCTATATACTTTGTGGTCTAGAGATTATCATTTGTAATTACTCCTTCGCCTGCTTTCTAGAATTTCAAATGTAAAATATATATTTCATGATGCCAGAGGGGTTTCCTGAAACAATAATGACCATAAATAATCATCGCTCATCACTTCTTATTTTGTATTCTTTCAGGGGTATATCATATATCTGATTTAGGCTTATCCCTTCGTCCGGTGAGACATGTCCAGCGCTAGCAAGGGGGGTGTGGCTACACGCAAGCCTCATCTCGTTTTATTTCATCTTCGTTTTATTACGCTTCAAGAGGCTTGCGTGCAGCCAGCACCCCCCTTGCTAGCGCTGGACATGTCTCACCGGACGAAGGGATGCAAATCGAAGCGACGCTACAATGAACAGAGCTACTTCCCGTCAAACATGCAAGACCATCAAGAGCACAGCAAGTTAAAGAAAGGACACGTTCGTACGTATAAATTTTTTTTTTTTTTTTTTTTTTTTTAAAATAATAAAAAATAATAAAATAATATTTAGATTTATTAATCTTGATAAAAATAATATTTAGATTTATTAATCTTGATAAAATTAAATTTATTAATCTTATCTAAATTCAAAATTATTAATCATAATTAATATTTAAATTTATTAATTTCAGATAAAAATTTGAGTTTATAATTTCGTTTAAAACTTAAGATTATTAATCTTAATAAAAATATGAATTTATTTATATTAAATAAAAATTCCGAATTTATAATCTCGATTAATATTCAAGATTATTAATTTTGTCTAAAATTTAGGATTATTAATCTTATCTAAATATCTTATCTTAATAATCTTATCTTAATAATCTTATCTTAATATCTTATCTTAATAATCTTATCTTAATAATCTTATCTTAATTAATCTTATCTTAATAATCTTATCTTAATAATCTTATCTTAATAATCTTAATTAATATTCAAGATTATTAATTCCGATTAATATTCGAGATTATTAATCTAGATTAATATTCAAGATTATTAATTCCGATTAATATTCGAGATTTTAATCTTAATTAAAATTCGGATTAATAATCTCGATTAATATTCAAGATTATTAACTCCGATTAATATTCAAGGATTATTAATCTCGATTAATATTTAGGGTTATTAACCCCGATTAATACTCGAGATTATTAATCTCGATTAATATTTAGGGTTATTAACCCCGATTAATACTCGAGATTATTAATTCTTAATTAAAATTCCGGGGATTATTAATCTCTCGATTAATATTCAAAGATTATTAACTCCGATTAATATTCAAGTTATTAATCTCCGATTAATATTTAGGGTTATTACCCCGATTAATACTCGGGGTTATTAACTTCCGTCCAAAACTCGGGATTATTAACCCCAACTAAAAACTCGGGATTATTAACCCGATTAATATTTGGGTTTATTAACCCCGTCTAAAAGTCGGGATTATTAACCACATTTGAAAAACCACGCCAAGGAATACGTCAAGGAATCGGTCCCTCCACGGGAATGCCCCCGCCCCTGCCATACATTCCTTGACCGGGGCATTCCCCATTCGACTGGATTAGGGGCGTACAGACACCACGCGGTGATCAAAATTCCAATAAAGTCGTTTCAGAGTCTCGAGGAGGCATCCAGAAGAGAGCTTAGTAGATAAAAGGGAAAAGGCACTTAGGAAACACAGAATAGTGACCCCTGAATGTCCGTACGGTCTTAGTTGAGTAGGGCGGTGGTGGAATCACCTTCCGCGTAGGCAGCTCTTCAGTCGCTCGTCGGAGCTTTGGCAAAAAGTGTGGCGGGTGGATGTGGTACTTCCTTTAGGTGCTGCGGTAGGTGGAGTGACAAAGGTTGCTTTGTGCGAGGAGAGTAAAGAAGATGTAGGAGGCTCTGAAGGGAGAAGTAGCCGTATGAGAAGCCGGAACGGTGCGTCTAAGAGCAAGGACGGCTGGGTAGGAGAGGCGCAGTCGCGTACCCATCGTATAAGTTATTAGGTTCCGGAGGAGAAGTGTCCCGCAGACCCTTAAACGGGTGCTCACGCCCGTGCCGCGGAAGAGTGGAGGTTTCGTAGTTGTTGTGGCGCCCCGAAAAGTAGGTGAGCGACGACGACCAGGCGGATGGTAAGAAACCGCGAAGTGCGTGAGGGTGCGCTGTGGTGTTTAGCCGTGTTTATTGTAGCTTCGCCCTCGCACCGGAAGCAGGACTGTTCGCTTTCTGCAGACCCGAACGACGGCGCGCTCCGGGGCGCGGGGGCTTAAGGACAACATCGCAATGACCCTACGACTAGCTTCTCGTAGCACGGAACCAGTTGGAGGACTACGGAGTAAACCCTGTGGTTGATAGCGGAACCGGCGAGATGGAGTAGGACTTGTTGAAGCGGCGACGGCGTCCTTTACCGCCGCGCCAGCTCACCACCTTCTCCTCGTGAAGATAAAGCCACCGCTACCTGCGCTTGAAGTTCGCGCCTCTTGTCCCTATATAGGTAAGACTCGCTAGACCGCAGGCCCGAGCACCCCGACACAACACCCGCGCACGGCAATAAAGCCCCCGGCTCGTTACAGACGAATAAGGATACCACGCGGCACCGACACCTGATTGGTGACCTTATACACGCATAATAAAAATAATAAAAATAATAAAAATAATAAAAATTAAAAAGCTTTTAAAAACTTATTAATAATTAGCTTATATAATAACAAAAAATAAAAAGCTTTTATTTTTTATTATTTTTTAAATTAATTATTAAAAGATTAGTTTATAAAAACTTTTAATAAAAATTATTTTTTATTTAATATTTAATATTTAATAATATTATAACTTATATTAATACTAATTTTTTTATTACTTTTATAAGTTTTTATTTTTAATATATTTAATAAAATAAAATTAAATCTTTAAAATAAATTATTTAATTTAATTTAAATAATTTTAAATTTATTACTAGTTTACTAGAAATATATAATATTATTATATAATTATAAAATATTATTTATATAAATTAATAGAATAGTTTATTATTTAGAAATAAGAATTATAATATTATAATATTAATATATAATTTCTAAATTTACTAGTTTAATTATTTATAAAATATAAGATTATATAATTTATATTTTATTATTTATATTTTATATTTTAAATCTCGTAATTATATATATAACTTTTAAAGAAATAATTATATTAATATTAGAACTTTACTAAAAATATAAAAAATAATATTTCTTTTTAATTATATACTAATTCCTTAATCTAGTCTAATATTAGATTTCCTAAATATTTTATATATTTATATTATTTTTAAAGATTTAATTATATATTAAAAACTATAATCTTTTATATATAACTTTTTTTTATATAATATTTTTTATTTTATATATTTATTTTCTATTTTATTTATATTTAATTATATATTATTTATATTAATTAGATATTTAAAAAATATTTAATAATTTCGATTTTATTATAGAATTAATAGAATTTAATTCTTTTTTTAATTTTTATAATTTTTATAATCTTTTATTATTTATATATTTAATAAAAATATATTATATTAATTATTAGATATTTCTTTTAAATAGTATTTATATTAATAAAAGATTTATATAATAATTTCGAATTTATATAAATAACTAATAATAATTCTATTTCTAATATTTTATTAATTATAAATTTAATTAAAATATTTATATTAAAATTATAAGTTATTATTAGTATAATAATTCTTTTAAAAGTTATATATATAATTATAGGATATAAAGTACGGGATATAAGTAATAGAATATAAAATATAAAATATAGTTATATAATCTTATATTTTATAAGTAACTCGACTAATAGACTAGATCTTATTAGGCTTAGTAAATTTAGGAATTATATATTAATACTATAATCTATAATTCCTATTTCGAAATAATAATAACTTTACTAATTTATATAAATAATATTCTATAATTATATTATAAAGTTTTAAAACTAAAATACTTTTAGTAATTCTTTTATATTTAATAAAGAAATAATAAATAATATTAATATATCTAGTTTTATTTACTAGAATTAAAATATATTTAATTTAAAAGAAAAAAACTCTATTATTTATAAATAAAGTATTTATAAAAATAATAAAATATAAAAACATTTTTACTAGTATTATAAATTTTAGTTTTTTTAATAATATTCTTAATTTATTATTAAATATATTTATTAAATATCTTTATATTAGTTTTTAGAAATTTAATAACTTAAATAATAATTAATAAATTATATAAAGCTTTTAGTTAATAAACTAATATAATATATATTTCTTTAATATATTAGATAATATATTAGCTTTTAATAAAGAGATTTTAATAAATAGTATTTTTATTATTTATAATAATAATATTTTTTATAAAAATAATTTAGACATTTTTATATTAATATTTTTATTAAACTCAAAATTATAATTAAAAATAAAATATTTATATTTTTTAATTAAGAAATTGGTTTTTTAGAACTTTAATTATTTTATTTTTATAAAATTATTAGTTCTAATAAATAAAATATTATTAGTTTAAAAACTAATAATTTTAAAGAATTATTTCTTATAAAAGAGGTAATAATTATAAATTAATTATTTTATAAAAAGCTTATTAATATAATACTTTTATAATTTTTATAATAAATTTTTTTTTTAAATTTAGTTTTCTAATAAACTTATAAAATGAGTTAATACAAAAATTATAGTTAAATAAAGTTATTAATTAGATATAAGCTTATAAGATATTATATAAATATAACTTTATAATATTTATTATTATTATTATAATAATAATATTAAGAATAATTCTTTAGCTAATATTATAATTCCCAGATATCTAATATTTGAACTATTTAATTAGATATTAAATATCTCCTAAATATATATAATACGACTGCTTTATTAAAGAAATATATTTAAAATATACTAGAAATATTTAGAAAGCTAAGTTTCTTTAGAACTAGTATATTATAAAATATATATATTTTTTTATAATTTCCTATATTCTAGCTTTCTCTTTTTTAGCTTTGAATTATTTTTATAAGAAATCTTTTATTTTACTTTTCAAGCCCTAAATATTATATCTATAATAGCTAATATATTAAATAATAAATAATTATATTAATACTCTTATTATTATTATAAGCTTAAATAACTAGTCTCGATTTTTTAAGCTTTTTTATTATTTTTTTATTCTTAATCTTATTAATAAACCAGAAATTAAAAATATATATTTCTTTTAATATCTAAAATCTGGGAAAAAATCTTAAATATATTTTTTTCTAGAAAACTAATAATTTTAATTTAACGGAAATTCTTATATAAATTATTATTTTATAATAATATTCTTTATTATATTTTAGTAAAATAATAGAAATTATAAGAGAAATTATATTTATATTATTTTTGGCTTTATTATCCCTTCGTCCGGTGAGACATGTCCAGCGCTAGCAAGGGGGGTGTGGCTACACGCAAGCCTCATCTCGTTTTATTACGCTTCAAGAGGCTTGTGCAGCCACACCCCCCTTGCTAGCGCTGGACATGTCTCACCGGACGAAGGGATAGCAAATCGAAGCGAGCTACAATGAACAGAGCTACTCCCGTCAAACATGCAAGACCATCAAAGAGCACAGCAAGTAAAGAAATGACACGGTTCGTACGTAGAATAAACTTAGTAAAACCGCGATTTAATAGTGAAAATACTATTGCCAGAAGAAGAAACGCTTGGAGCATCAGCAAAAAGCCTACAACTACGCCAGCTAGCTGTCTCCATGAAAGAGTGTGAAGAAGATGAGGACGTCTGAGTATGGGAGACAGATGGGGAACGGGGCTTTCTACGAAGACAACGGCATAAAGTATCGGGAATACAGGGCATTGGGAGACTTTCAGGCTCTCCAGCGTACAGATCAAGGTAGCAAACTCGCTACAAGGCCCTATATTTCCAGGCCCTTCCCCTAAAAGCACATTTACGCTTTTGACAAGGGCTACCACACCTTTTCAGGGCTTCTTCCCTGTACTTACAAGGGAGCCTTCGCTAAAGGGGCCTATAATAGTTGCTTGTTTAGCGTCCGAGCGCTGTGGTTGCTCTACCAATAGCGCTATAACCCTAGAAGATCTACTTACCCCATGCGAATGTCTTATAGCGCCTCTTTACGTAGATTTAGGGAGCACTACCTAGAGTTATAGGGGCTTGTAGCGAGCTTCTGCCCTAAATTCACACCCTGTAGAGCGCTGAGGGTCAAAATGCCCTGTATTCCCAATACTTTATGCCGTTGTCTTCGTAGATGGATTCGGTGCTGGGTTAGAAAGAGCACGAAGGATTGGAATCCTAGCGATAGGAGTGAGATGGTGAAGAACATCGCCATCAGCCTGAGGCGTCGAGTCAGTATGGATAATGAAATGTGATACCTGGAGGGGGATACGAACCCTGGGCTAAGACCGGCTGACCTAGACGCAGCGAGTGCATCGAAAATAATAACAAGGATAGATAGAAGAGCCAATAGCCAGTATGTGACCCATAGAGAAGCGTCAGTCCACTTCTTGGAGGAAAGTCTGGACGGGAATATAAGGCTGTCGACTCCTTCGCCTGCATCGGGGTCCTGGGATCGTGGCTGTCAGTCACGATCTTGGTTTCGGCTGGTAGCTACTTAGCCAATACAGAAATACTGACAATGTCAAAGTTCAAGCAATTCGGGGCTTCGCTTGGCGTGTCCCCGAGTTCCTTGGGTTCTGGGTTATCTCCAGGACGGTCTTCATTGACCACTTCAGTGGGGGGCGAGCTCTAAATGGAATTAGTTGTTTGTTCTAACAAGGACTTTGGTTCGATCAGTAGTGTGATCTCACTCAACATACAGAAAGTTGTGACAGTCCCACACCAGGCTCATGGCTTTCTTCCAGAAATCCAGAACCATGCAGTTGGCGTTGCTGGTCTTGAAATGACTCGGCGAGTGGCCCGTTTGGCACATCCACGTTCATATCATTGAGTGATACTGAGCCTCCTATTTGGTTTCGAGATCGATCAACAGTAGGCTCGTAACGTGCATCGACTGTGTCAATCCTAGCCCGCAAATCTTCAAACTGAGGCCTCAATCGATCCATACGGAAGCAGTAATACAAATTAAAGGCCGCAATGAGGCACTGGATAATGCCGAACCAGTAGTCTGGGATGATGACTGATAACGCCACCGTCGAGAAAATTTGAACGCTGGTTGCGGATAAGTATATGAGCCACAACTGCCTTATACGGACCCCGCTTTTCGGTCTGAAGATTTCCTTCCGGAAGATGCGCCCTGGTATCCAATCGAGCAGAAACAGCAACAAATGAATTGCCTGCAACACATTGGATGTGTACCATTTCGATAAAGCGGCTGCGCTGTGGGGTTTGGGGACATTCAACGTCTCGATTATGCAAAGAAACTTCACGAAACGGAGTACCATATGCAGTCGCCATAATACCGGCACTTTCACAAACCCAGTCCAAATACTTGCAAGTGTCGAGTGCCAGGGCTCATCTGGGCTTGGCTGGCCTGCATCGACCCAGAATCCACGTAGAATCGCGCTGGGAGGTTCCAACAAAATTGATAAGAGGAGATTGGTTGACATTCTGGCGAGAGACCATGCTGGCTGGAGAAGAGCCAAATACGATATCAGATGTGAACAAACGTTAGACTCAGCGCGATCCTTTTATGATATCACTCGACTGGAATCAGCCCGGGCAACTTGCGCCCCGTGTGACCTTTATCCCAAGCATACTGGGCGCAATATCACCGGAATATTATTTAAACCAGTCAAGGACAGCCACGCCTATCGAATTCTGCACGAAACAGCACCTTTACCCGCACGAGGCGCCGCAAAGGCCAAAATGGGGAGGATAGGGGGCCAAAATATGCACTACGACGCTAACGCGTTCATTCGGCTCACAAGCAAGCTAGAAAGCTTCGTATATCATATACGACCCCCCAAACACCGCTTCCCCCACAATAATGGAACTCCATCGATTCAGACGCGTACGGCAAGATGGTTTTGTGCGAGGAATGCGAAGCATTCGATATACAGAAGCTCGGTAGTGGCCCCTGTGGTTACCGCTACGAAGAGACATTGCAGCGGGCGCAAAGCTGTGACTTCTGCCGGACGCTCGCCGAACATGGGGAAGTTCGACAGCTCGCGCGTCGGCACCGTCTACCTGAGGAAGCATGGTTTCACTTCCAACTCTTCTCGGATTCCAACGATGGCGAGGGTGGGGGTGAGGGCGAGGGCGGCATCAGGGCAAATCGACTCCACGTCACACTTGCGCCTCGATATTTTGTTCAGTTATTACAGTTCGAAAGCGATGAAACTCGTGAATTCCTCGCGATCGACTTCTATCTTCAGGCTGACCCCAGTGCGTCGACCATTGAGGGTTTCTTGACTGCTGTTGATATCTGACTGACTTGATACTAGGGACTCCAGCTGCCGAAAACAACGATGTCCTCTGGCGATTTCCTCGAAATGACCTATTTTCTGAAGGTCACTGTACCGCCGTGAAGCGTTGGCTCCATGAATGCACCCAGAGTGCGGACCATTCAAGATGCAGTCAGACTGTTTCCGGGCATGGAGCCGACCTAAAAGCCTGGGAAGCAGTCCTTCCGTCCAGATGTGTGGAAGTACTGGGACCAGATCGCGTCCGCCTTTGCCTTACGGACAACAAAAAGGGAGCATACATAACCCTCAGTCATCGCTGGGAAGGTGACACTAAAGGTTGCAGCACAACCACTAATAACTACGACGCTAGGCTGGTTGATATCGCTGTTTCGAAACTGACAAGGAACTTCCAAGATGCGATTCTTATTGTGCATCTGACTGGAATCCCGTACCTTTGGATAGACTCCATCTGCATTATTCAGAAAGGGGACCGGAAAGAAGACTGGAAGCGTGGCTGTGTGAAGATGGCCCAGTATTACCAAAATTACATTTTCACCCTAACCGCAATCAGAGGGCCCGGACAGGTTGGGGTGCTTCCTTCTAGGAACCAGATGGGCGATCGCAATCTTATCCAACTCTCCTACCGAGACCAACGAGGCAATAAGAGGGGATACGTGTATCTGTTCGTCATTGATCATAGTCTACGCACATCATACGGAAAGCTTGTACGGAGCGATGAGCTTCTTGGACGCGGATGGGTCTTCCAGGAGCAAATGCTTAGCCGCCGATTGTTATATTACACGGAAGCTGGCGTTATCTTTGAGTGCCGGACAGGGAACCCTCGAAACACTTTGGGGGATAGATGGATGAAGAGTGGCGTGCAAGGCGATGACTTTGGGACCATTTTCAGGTGGATTAAGAGAGTACGAGAGGGTGGCGGGGAACCGAGCCGTTTGACTTCTGTTCTTGTAAAAGGGAAGTTCGACCTTGTGAAACGCTCGTTCGATACCTGGTGCAAGCTTGTTGAGGAGTATTCAGTCAAGGAACTTACATACTGGTCGGACCGTATTCCGCTCTGTCTGGTATCACCACAGAGTATCGGCGATTCATGCAGCTGTGGAACATTCCGCCTTACCTTTCTGGGCTGTGGACAGGAGATGTCTACTTCAGGTTACTCTGGGCGCAACAAGGAGAGCCAAAACCGATCGCGCAAGGGCCGCAGGAGGAAACACGGACATCACAAAAGAAGATTGAGAGGATTGAGCGCATTGCGTCCTGGTCCTGGGCATCTCTGCCGGCTGAGATCTCGTGGAGCCATTTATATCCACACCGAAAGAAGCTGGTCCCGGCTTGCAGAGTCACCAGTGTCGCCGAAATCAACGGAGAATAGGTGGTAGAATGGAGTTTGTCTTCAAAGAAGGACAAGATGCCGGCGACTGCCAACTCTGGCATTGCAACCTCGACCACACCCGAGTTCCCACTAGATAGGGTTATAAACCAGCTCAAAATCCAAGGCAAGCTCCAAAGAGTCATTATAAGAGAGCAACGCCCATCGGAAGACAACTCGAACTTCATCTTCTGGGAGAGGTGCCAAAGCTTTGGGCATGTGGGCATGAGGGCCTGAGGAGGTTTGCGTATTCACCACCGAGACCAGATCTTGTCGCCGGATGGGCTTCTTTCGAGCACCCCGGCTACGGTGTCATAGCCGATAATAGTTAAGAAAATGGGTTGACAGTGGTCTCTGCCTTTCTGATTATGACGGAGATGTGGGCTGAGCGGTTTGGGGTATCGCTAGGGTACTGGCTGCCATGGAACGACCTTCTCTATGTGCTCTTTCTGAGAAGGCTTGGGAATAACTTGTATCAACGGGCTGGGGTTGGAGTGCTTTTTGGAAAGGATGTTGATCCTGAATTTCACTTGGGCGATGAAGGTGAAATCGCGCTGGTCTAGGCTGTATTGAACTCATTAGGGAAGCCTGGAACCTGGCGGCTGAATTATGCAGATAGAGAGCCGAATGTTCCATGCCGCTGGACTTACACGTGCCACCCTCTAGAGGGCCCTCAATAGCTTCAGGGGCGTGGAGCTGACCAGCGAGGACCTAGTAGATTTGGCGCAAGCGAATTGGGAATGCGTGATTAGGGATATGGGATTTGGGGTTCCCTCGCCGGAATATTTACTCTTCCTATAATCCTTTACTACGATTTTATACTTAATCAAATATACGTGAAATCACATAAGCTTGTTTGGGACCAAATTAATAATAAAACTCGAATAAACACAAATAGAAACATTATATCTTTTTTGCCCTGCCCAATCACATTCCCGATCCTATGTCTCATGTGAGCAGCGCCGCCTTCGCTCAGATCTGACTGAGGCCAGGTTCATCTTCCGCTCAGGTCTGTTACCCCTATTACGCGACGCGGCCCAGTCAAGACAGAACCTCACTAGAAATCATCAACTTTTAACGAGGGCCCAAAAAGACCTTCACCAAGCCAGGGATGCTTTCAAGCCACCAGAAGTCGCCCGATCCCCATCAACCGCCTTCTAACAGGACCGCCAAAACATCCCTGCAGGAGAGAGTCCTCAGCCTTTCACTTCGATAGTAGGAAATCAAAAGAACTACGAAAACACTATTATTCAGTCTAAATGTTACCCTGCGGGTATCTGAAGATATAAATCGATTGTGAGCGAGCCCATAAATTATAGATAGGAGACATAAGGAATGTGAAAAAGGGGTATATTCCGTGATTGGCAGTCAACACGTTGAATAGTTGAGCAAGGCTTGCTCGCTGGTCTTCGTAGCGTTGTCAGGATTTGAATTGTTGTCATTGACTTCCTACTCTCATCTTGAAAGCCTATATCTGCACTGCTTGGGGATCTTGGGCGGGAAATAGGTGCATGCTTCAGACTCCTAGCTCTATCAAATTCATTTGATTGATGAAGTTAACAACGTTCTCATCCTTGGGTCATAGGTCATCATCAGGTATCCGTTGCGCTGCGGCCCGCTTTTACACTACAGATCAATTATACGCACAAAATCGCAGCAAATCAGAAGGCTCAAGTTCCGATCTTGGCTCTCCGATTTGCTGGATTTACTCGCTTAAGAATGCAGGGTCCATTATACCATGGGGTAATTAATGAACAGGGGCAGTACGCCCATATCTGCCGCGTTTTTAAGGGAGCGACGTTGCTAGGTGAACATGAGCCCCACTCTCAATTCTTTTGGCCCTGTATGAAAGTACTGCAGCGGTACCTGCGACTCCGATGAAGGATCAACACCACTTCTTCCTTCAGTTTTTTCTTCCACCTGCAAGTCTCCAAGCGGGCTAAGCCAAGCAAAGTTATGCTGTCCCTCTTCAAGTTTCTCATCCTGGGAGCCATCTCCTTCACCTCTGTCAACGCGAAGTGCAAGGTTATACCTGGATCTGCAGGTTGGCCATCAAGTGCGGACTGGGACGCCTTGAACCGGACTCTAGGGGGTCAATTGATCAAACCTACTCCTCCTGGTGCTGTATGCCATTCTGATCAGCCCACATACAATAATGCAACTTGCGCTGTAATTACAAAGCAGTGGTCGAACTACACTTTTCACGCAGATAATCCGGTCAGCACCGATTGGGACAATACCAACAACGACACTTGTCTTCCTGATCCAGCACAACCCTGCAGTCCAATAGGATATCCAGTGTACGTTGTGAACGCAACCACTCCTGAGAATGTCGCTGTGGGGGTCAATTTTGCGGCAGCGAACAATATACGCTTGATTGTGAAGGGTACAGGACATGATTATATGGGAAGGTGAGTGTTTCCGAAGCCTGTCAGCCATTGGCATAAATCTGACCCTCTTCTAGATCAGTCAGTCCAAATTCTCTCTCAATCTGGACCCACAACATGAGAGGTATCAACCTTCACGACGCTTTCCAGCCCCAAGGCTGCAAACACAGCATTCCAGCCACAGCCGTCACCGCAGCAGCGGGCCACAACCTAATAGATCTCTACGCTGCGACGGACTCCTATAACTTGACTATTGTCGGGGGTCTGGAAGCTACCGTCGGACTGGGTGGCTATCTGACCGGTGGCGGCCACTCTCCTCTAAGTACGGCCTATGGCATGGCAGCTGACAATATACTCGAACTCACTGTCATCACCCCGTCGGGTTCGAAGCTCACAGTCAATGAATGCCAACACCCGGACCTCTTCTATGCTTTCCGAGGAGGCGGAGGCAGCACATTTGGCGTCATGACCAGCGTAACGCTCAAAACATATCCCACACCTCGTGTCGCTGTCCTCTCCCTCCAACTCACGATGTCATCCGCCACAGATAACATCTGGGACATGGTAGCATACATCTTATCACAATATCCTAGTCTGAGCAACAAGACTATCAGCGCTGACCCACAAATTGCAGCCATTCCCTCTGGAAACGCCACAACACTATATTTCATAGGCAACTTCCGCAGTATCTCCCCACAGGGCGTCCCCTACTTGTCAGCAGCGATGCAGCCCATCTTCTCACACATACAGAGCACCTGGCCGGCAGCCAGCATCAATTATACCACAACCTTATATCCAACATTCTACTCACATTTCCTCGCAACAGCTTATTCCGTGGGCCCTGGATACAACTTCAGGCTTGGGTCTAGACTGCTGGATGCGCCAACCTTGACTGGTAATCTTACTGCCTTGACAAGCGCTGTTAAAGGCTTCTGTGGCCAGCTTGGCTGTGGGCCCTTATTACGCGGCGGCAAGGGGATATGGGATGCTGTTCCCAGTGGTGGGAGTGACGCCGTCCTTCCCGCGTGGAGGAAAACAGTAGTGCATTTCGGTAAGTTTCTCCAACAGGAGGCGAAGAAAAAGTTTGGCTAACGAGAGAACAGTTACCGGTGCAATTTGGGCAGCAAACAATGCAACAGCAGAGGCATCGGCGGTAGCAGCTATGGAGCAGAGGGTTACGATTCTGAGGAATTTGCTCCCAAACTCGGGAGCATATATCAACGAGGTATGTATACTTGCTGTTTTTGATAGTGGGGGGTCTAATCATGTGAAGGCCAATCGGGATGAACCTGACTTTCAACAAGCGTTCTGGGGCACGAACTATCCTAAGCTGGCTGCTATCAAGAAGGCGTACGATCCGACCGATGTATTCTGGTGCCACCCTTGTGTGGGCAACGAGGGCTGGAAGGAGGTTGGAGACAAGTTGTGCACGGTTTGAGGGACTTGTCTGATCGTCGATTATTATTCTTGGCAAATATTTTGCTCGATATTGCATGAACCAAGCCAAGACCACAACACGAATACTCCTCGAGTTGGCTCATGGATTTTTAATGTGCGTAAACTAGATAATGAAAATAATATGCTACAATTTTGCTGTCTTTCTAGAATGTCTTTAATACTTCGCTCGTGATGACCTAGTGGGAAGGAAGAACTGAAAGATATACCCTACTGCATCTCCCTAGGAACATAAAGCATTCTTTTGACCTTATGTAGTTCCTGAGTGCTAGGAGTTATCCCTCATACAGATATGCTTCAGTATAGCGGTGTCTCTGAGTTGGGATTACTTAAGTAACTGATTTAATCCGCTAAAGTTCCAGGACTTCAGGCGCAACACTGCCTGCCACAAGACACGCTGCCTATCGCTTACCAAAAAAGCAAGCACAGGAGTGCCCGCGTGCGCAAAGTAGCGTATGGTGCAGCTCCCCCATCGTCCAGCCTATCTTCGAGGACATACATTTGCACCTCGAACTTGACGTACCTTTAAGGGGATCCTGTTTGGGATACGCAGGGGGGTCCTCTTCTAGCCCCCTCGCGAATTAGCTATGGTTTCTATGCTATATATATATATAGAATTTGCAGATCCCGTTACCTGTAATATAGCCACCTCTGTAAAACAATTATTTATATACTACTTTCGAGTATACTCTTTATAACTAACACACACTGAAGAGGGGCATGTGTGGACACTATAATATATAAATAACTAGATTACTCAGGATACGATGAATAAGAGAGATGGAGAGGAGGAGAGAGCTATACAGGGGAAGATACATAGCCGAGAGCACGTGTACAGCCACGTGACAGCCCCCTGATTCCCCACTACAATACTAACTAAGAACAGCCTCACATTCGTGACTGGCATATACTAGTCACGAATTGACTTATAGTCCTTATTAATATAACAAATACTCTTTATAGATAATATATACTAATCGGGAATAATATGGCCTTTTTTACTAGTATATACCTTTTATAAATAGAAGTGCATTCGTAACTAGACTAGAACAAATACTATTATAATAGCTTCGTATTTGAGTTATTCTCTTTTACTATTATCTTAACTTCGAATTAGCTAATTATATAATCTCTATTATAATTTCAGTATAAAAAGATGAAAAGTGAGCCTGCACTGGGTAATAGAAATAAGGCTTAGACCTCCCAGAATCAACGTAAGGGCTAGTTTGCACAGAATAAAAGACAGCAAAGGAATGAGCTTAATACCTCGCCGTTCTTCTTTCCGTCTGGATGTCAAAGATTTGTCAATACATGTCAATGACTGCCGCTATGCTTCGCATCCATCCGAAGTTATCGCCATAGGTTTCGGAGGCGGCCATTGGATTTCAGATGATGCCTATGCTGGAGTTGAGTAGTCTTCCTTCCGGTTGCCACGAGATGACCGTAGACTTATATTCTTAATGAATTGATATATCCGGAGAGCGATACGCTTCGTGTGTCTCTTGTTTGGGCCTGCTTCGTAAATGCTATATTATGAGTATGCTCCGGTTAGTCCTCGATAATAAAGAGTGACTGTAGAGCTAAGGTTTGCTGATATTATCATGCGGCGAAAATGACAGTAGAAAGCAGATGGCGTTGGATTGTGTTGGGTTGCGAGGTATAGGGGCTTAGCAGATTAGTCTTATATTCTCGTATATCATAAGATTGAATTGGCGATGTGTTCTTCATCAAAATCGGTTCTAGCAGTAATATCAGCCGAATCTTTACCTCCCTTCGTTCCAACGCGGTGAGTCACCATCGTGGCTTGCGTCTTAGGAGCGGAGCGGTAGTAATCCAGGTCAAAATCACGTGCTCCTCTAACTTCTAGCTTGCAGGAGTCAGCACAGGATCTCTAGCGTTGGGGGTCCGTTTTTGGCCCCTCTCAATCGTTTGGGCGCCCATTTCGGCTCCTGTTAGGGAGCCTATCTTGACGGGCCCGAGGATCTGCCAGGGGTGGTGACTTGCTTCGCTCTGATGGTACGATGCACTCTGTTCGGCTCCCAGCGCTTCAAAATCAGGCACCGAGCTGAGCTGTCCGACTCAGTTGCTCGCCAAAAAAAAAACATAAGTTTCCAGCTCGAACTCTCAAACATCTCACGAATTTGACAGCAAGGCCCAAAAGACATGAGCATCCCCAACAATTCATCACCAAACTCAGTCAGCATGGCACCAAAAGCGCCACCAGCAGCACTCGCCTCCTTCACATTCCCTCCCAGCTTGTCGCCCTTCACCACCCAAGTCAATGACTATCTCCTTTCTCACCCTCCAAAGCGCCGAGTGGGAGTCAGCTGCGCGCTCGTCTTCTCTCCTTCAAACCAGCTCCTCATACTCCAGCGCTCGGCCACAGATTCCATGCCCAATCTCTGGGAGGTACCGGGCGGGTCGTGCGACTCCCACGAGACCATCTTAGAGGGCGCCGTGCGGGAGTTATGGGAAGAGAGTGGACTGGTTGCCACCGAGGTGCTGAGACAGGTCGGGGGTGTGCCTGAGTGGCTGGATAGGGAGAAGGTGTGGTGTAAGTTTAGTTTTGAGGTGAAGGTTAAGGAGGGGATGGAGGTAGTGTTGGATAATGAGGAGCATCAGAAGTTTCTGTGGGTCAGCGAGGAGGAGTATAGAAGCGGGGCGGCGGTGAGGGGAGGAGAGAGGACAGAGATTGAGTTTACAACTGAGGTGCAGGTAAAGACGATTTTGGAGGGGTTTCGGTTGAGGAAGGAGGGGAATAATAGGGGTTTGTGAGTGAGATTCGGTTTCTCCTTTTGCGGGTTACATCCAAGCCCTATTTTGAGAGACAGAAGCTGTGAACTTTTGAGATAGATGAGAATGGGATATAGACGTAGAATTTCGAAGAGCAACGATAGATAAACGGTTGCTTTTTGGGTTGTCCTGATGGGACCGAGGGACAGTCAGAATGGGCCCAAACTATGGTGCAGATGCAAGCTGAATTTAATTCATACAACTGAGCATGCAGTCTCGTTAAAATCAAGCCTCTATTGCCCTGAAAACGGGACTGAATTGCGAGCGGGGAAAGGCAGGATTTGTCACACCGGATACTGAGGATAGAAAAGTCAGTGGAACTTCCAAGCAGGATTTGGGCCTGCTATCGGTGTATAGAACATGGGTAATTCCTGAGGAGGAACATTACAAAACGGGAAGCATTTTGGTAGCCTTATTGCACATCATACCTCAAGCTCCGATGTCCGACTTGGATTCCAAATAACCGCCTGCTCGGAAGAGCGGGACAGCGTGACACCGAGTGACCGGGTATCCGAACCTGAATGCCTGAATGAACGAGAACCGGCATGACAAATGTACTTGAGTTCTTTTGTTGCATTTCGCATCTCAAACTCCGATCTCCGGGATGCATTTGCCAATGAAATTCTCATAAAAACTGAACTGGTTCACATCTCCTGTCAGGACATTTCAGATAATCAATCTATGGAACTGAAACCCTTTTATAAAATTCTTAAAGCACTCAACAAAGGCAGTGTAATAAGTTGTGAGTTGTGAAATACAGGTCTTGAATCCCATAAGTTCAAAATGAGAGGCTCGAAGTCACGAGATGGAGTTAATATCACGTGATTCGACCCCTCGAATGATTCCTACACCTCACGCTCACCCCTTGCAATATCGAACTTTCGATCAAGGACTGAACTGATGACTGTAGATAGAAATTGAATGATGCCAAGCCGTACAGCAACCATTGACGGCTCATCGCACGAAGGTTTGATGAAGAAGAAGAAGAATGACGTGGATGTCTTGAATCTTCACATGAATATTCCCCACTCCCTTGAAGGGGATGAAGGGCTGAAGGGCCCGCCAAACCTGGTGAGGCTGCTCCCTGGCGACATCATTGGCGGAATAATAGCGCCGTCCCACAGGGCAAGGCGCACCCAGCCGCGGTCGTCGATTTCCCAGGATACCTGCATGTTGCTGCAACATCAACAATTGCTTTTGCCCACATCCGATCTTCTCTTCCCTCCCTCCCTCCCTCCCTCCTCCCATTTTGTCGCCCTCCGCTCTCTCTGTGCAATTGCACAGTACGAGCTCACCAATCGTATAAATTCTCTTTCGGGCCGGCAACATCGGCAAGTCAATAGTGATCCTTGGCCTCGTCAAAAGCCGGATTGATCTGCATTAGCTTTAGCATCATCGAGCTTCTCGCTCCCCACCCAAGCTCCTCTCCGCATTCTCCGCACCTCAACCTCGACTCACTTCCTCCCTTCCCCCTCTTCCCTCTCCTCCCTCTTCAATACACACACAATGGCCTTCCGACAGCGCCTCGCAAAGCCGCTCCTCTACACGACTGGAGCAGCCGCCCTCGGCGGCGGCGTCCTCTACTACACCTACCGGCCCCGCAACATACCAGGCCAAGACCCCGCGGTCGTCGGACCACCCGGCTACGGCGCAGAAGGCAGATTCCGGCCTCCTCGATTCCCAAAAGTCAGGAGCAGAGATGACCAAATTAGGGATCTGAAGCGGAGTGGAGGGAGCAAGGGCGCGACGACGGGCTTGTTCAAGTCCAGCGAAGAGGCAGCGCCGCAGAACGACGAGGATGTGTATGATCTGCTGGTCATTGGCGCCGGGGCTACAGGCGCGGGGATTGCGTTGGATGCGGTGACGAGGGGGTTGAGGGTTGCGATTGTGGAGAGGGATGATTTTGCAAGTGGGACGAGTAGTAAGAGTACGAAATTGGTGCATGGCGGGGTCAGATATTTGGAGAAGGCGGTTTGGGAGCTGGATTATAACCAATATGCGCTGGTGAAGGAGGCATTGAGGGAGAGGAAATACTTTTTGGACACGGCCCCGCACTTGTCGAGTTGGTTGCCCATTATGCTGCCGTTGGACAAGTGGTGGAAGGCTCCTTATTACTGGGCGGGAACGAAGGCATATGATTTCTTGGCCGGGTCAGAGGGAATTGAGAGTTCATACTTTTTGACAAGGAGTAAAGCTTTGGATGCTTTCCCTATGCTGAAGAAGGACAACTTGGTTGGTGCCCTGGTATACTATGATGGTGCACACAACGATTCGAGGATGAACGTGTCCTTGGCAATGACAGCCGCTTTATACGGCGCAACGGTTGTCAATCACATCGAAGTCACAGGCCTAGAAAAGGGCGCAAACGGGCAGCTATGCGGAGCACGTGTCAAGGACTTGGTCCAAGAAAAGAACGGCAAGAAAGCTGACGAATTCGTCATCCGAGCCAAAGGCATCATCAACGCCACTGGACCCTTCACCGACTCAATTCGCAAAATGGATGACCAAAACGTCAAGGAAATCGTTGCCCCCAGCTCCGGCGTGCATGTCGTTCTCCCCGGCTACTACAGCCCGCAAAAGATGGGTCTCATTGATCCCAAAACCTCTGATGGCAGAGTAATCTTCTTCCTCCCCTGGCAAGGCAATACCATTGCCGGCACGACCGATGCCCCCACGAAAATCTCCTACAATCCTGTAGCAGGCGAGGAAGAAATCGACTGGATCCTCTCTGAAATTAGTCACTACCTATCTCCCGACATCAACGTGCGTCGTGGCGACGTTCTCGCTGCATGGTCGGGCATCCGTCCCCTGGTCAAAGACCCGAATGCAAAGAACACCGAGTCCCTCGTCCGCAATCACCTGATCAACGTCTCTCCATCCGGGCTCTTGACTTGTGCGGGTGGCAAATGGACGACTTACAGACAGATGGCCGAAGAAGCCGTCGACGAAGCTGTCAAAACCTTCTCTCTCACCACAAAACCCGTGCTTAACGCTCCAGACGTTAGCGGAACAGAGATGGTCGACGACGGCGCGCGTCTCGACGGAAGCTGCCAAACGCACCAAGTGAAGCTTGTCGGTGCTCATGGCTTCTCCAAAACTCTCTTTATCAACTTAATCCAACATTTCGGCGTCGAGACCGATGTCGCGAAACACCTGACCGAATCGTACGGCGATAGGGCGTGGACGGTCGCTGCGTTGTCAGTGCCCACCGAGAAGAGGTTCCCGGTCAGAGGAGAGAAAATCAGTGCGTTGTATCCTTTTATTGATGGCGAGGTGAGGTATGCGGTTAGACATGAGTATGCACAGACTGCGGTCGATGTCTTGGCGAGGAGGACGAGACTCGCGTTTTTGAATGCACAGGCGGCGTTGGAGGCGTTGCCAAAGGTTATTGATATTATGGCTGGGGAGTTGAAGTGGGATAACAAGCGGAAGGAGGTGGAGTGGAGAGACAGTAAGATTTTCCCTCCCAATAACCCCTCCTGCCTGTCTCATTCATTCCCCATCTCTCTCTCCTTACTTCTGTCAGCGTTCAATTACTGAAGTGATTGAACAGCTGTCGCATTCCTCGAATCCATGGGCCTCCCTAAATCCAAGCTCTCGGCAACGAGAAAACAAGTCGAGAACGGAACCCTCAGTTTCAGAGATAGCATCGAGTATAAGATGTACTCGAGGCATGACCAGCCAAATGATGAGCTGGAATCTGACAGCAGACTTGGGAAGGGGAATCCGGGGTTGAAGGAAGGAGCTGCTGCTGAGAAGTAGGGAGTGCTGCTACGAGGTAGGAAAGGAGTACCAGCTGAGTAACGAAAGGCATGAGCTGTGAGAGAGAACACCCCGTGAGTTAGAAGGAGAGTATAAAATTTGTAAATAAGGGTTAGATGCATACTGTGAATATTGATACGGGTTTGGTGTTTGAAAATTGTCCTTCCTCTGGCTTCTTGAGGTTTCGTGTCAGGCGGCAGCTTTCCTAGGTAGGAATTCCCTCCGGGTTTTTGTTTTTCAACTTTGAGGTGCGCAATAAATTTCGTAATTATTGCTGTTCCCCTCACTTCACAGTTGAATCATCCGAACCACCTTTCCCAGCTGGTGAGACTTCCCAGTGGACACTCCTTTCTCGTTAAAACAGCGACTGGGCACGATTTCAATTATGAGTGCGCGATTTCTCTGTCCTCTATGTCTCCTCGCGCAGGCTATTGGAATCCCGCTGGCTGGCTGGAAATTCCACCACGCATCCCTCCAGACAGCGAGTGCTCCCAAAGCCCGACTCCTCACGACATGTGGAGTAAGGTAACTCCGATCCATTTCCCCTGGAGTTTCGGGCGCTTTTACATCATCACGGAACATCGGAGCTTGAGTGCGACGTGCAACACGACAGGTTTTTGCTTATGGATATCGGGGCTCGGGGTGTGTGTTCGGCGGTTGGGTGGAAGCTCCGTTCCGACTTTGTATTTTGTACCTTACTAAAAGAAAAGCCAACGTAAGGAAACCCCACTGGTTATTGCATCCGGGGTGTCGGTGCATAGAAAGTTGCTCTTTGCTTTTCGATCGTGGAGTGAAAATAAGTAGAACTTAACTGAACCTCGTAGAGTCTCGAGCTTCGGCCGCTTAATCGTGGGAGGAATCTAGTCCTTCTAGAAACTCGCTTCAGATGATTATCCGGCTGGGATTCGAGGTGCGAATTTTTGTTGTCTTTCAAGAAGGAGTCGGATCACCTCAAGGATTTAGTGGGTCGTTGGGAGGTAGTGACGGGAACATTTAGGCAAAACGAGCTCTGTTGAAACTCTCCAATGGATCGACACGGCTAGATTTGTACGGGCATACTTCACACAGGCTTAATGTTTAGTTTTATTCAAAATAGGGTAGTTTCATAATCATATCATTCCTCCGTTCTTTCGGACCCCCTCCCATCGAGGTTTCCTATACCTATCTTGACTATTTGAGCCGATTATTTCCCTTTCTCACTTTCTTTCTTTCTTCTCTTTTTCTTATGATTTTTTTATATTTTTATATAAGGCTTAACCCTCCTTTGCTTTCTCAACAACGAGGAAGATGATTGAAACTAGAAACCCCATCTGCGTGAACGCGGCTTTCTGCCAATACAAACATACAAAGGGAAATATGCCTATAATCCTGTTAAGAAGATATTGGCAAAGATTGTGAGGAACTACCGTACCTTAAAAGTAAGATTATCAGCTTCTGCACATGCTTGGTCAATAAGATGATGCGCATCTTGACTCGTCATACTAAATTTTTCTTATTAGAGACCTTGCTTGTTTAGCTCATAGATTAAATTGACTCACCCAAGCCGCTCCGTAAAGGGAAATATTGCAAAAGAATAAAGCATTCGTTGCACATTATCTCGATTCGCAGCTCCAATTTCCTTGTCACGCGCATCTAAGATTTTGAACACGTTCCTTAGCATTTACTATAATCAGTGGAGCATGAATTTCACTTACTTGATGGCCAGGCACAAGTAGGGAGTGATATCATCCTGCTCTCGACATCAACGAATCCCGCATCTCTCATCAGATTCGGAAGTCGAGTAGCAGCACGAAGATCCTTTAAACCGTTCATGCTCTCGAGGTATTTTGCACTCCACTGGTATAAGGCATGATCTATCCAGAGAGTGAGATTAAGTTCATCGGGGCTTTCAGCTTTAGTGCTGTCTAGTACTGACCAGGCGTGAGACTCCCGTTATCTGACTGGACATTGAAATATATTTCTACCATCTGACACCAGCCTCCTGGCCTTATCACTCGTAACAGATCTCGCACGTACTGTGTCCATCGGTTCACATGAATGCCTTGGGCAATCAGCCACGAATTAACAAGGTCGAAGTGGTGAGAATCAAAGGAAAGCCTTTAAACCGTTATCGATCATATTGTTGTACTTTATCAGGTTATTAGCTTACCTTCGATTCAAATCATCTACTTGTAGATAGAGATTAGCCGGCATTTCCTCTGGCCCCATCGTAGGGTTTATATCGATCCCTATAACCTGTCACGCTCAATGTCAGCTATGCACCCAACGACGAGAATTACACCGATCTGATAACGTCGAATATAGAACCTTGGGAGTAGAGGCATTGTTTTTTCATCGCATGTTGCTCGCAATGACCTGTGTGATGGAAAAGAGAATATAAATATCACGCATTATCATTGAGCAGAAAGGCGGCTAACTTCACATCGAGGGTGTAATTGTGCAACCTCCATAGCCCAGGAAGCGGTCCCGTAGCCGCAATCTAGTATTCTTCTGGGGCGGTGTATAGGTGCAAAGATCAGTCGTCCATCGAAGATGCGAAACAGGACATTGTGCATGATGTGAAGCCGTTCAACCTCTTCCTATACTCAAGTATGAGAAAAATATGAGGCAGCTCTTCAGGGAATAAGTACCTCATCGATTGGCACAAGGTATGTGAGATTATTGATGGCATAAGATTGATACGTGCGATCCAGGTACACTACAGTTTCCAAGAAGGTTTGATCTAGTTCAATAGTTTCCGGTTCGTGAGAACTGTCATACGGCATGTTAGCAGTCATTTTTACTAGGGCATCCGTCCACATGGACTTACTGTGAAGCTATTCCTGATTGCGCATTCAGGGGTCCCGATCTGCTAGAACCAACAAGCTCAGGGTCTGATTGACCAAGCAAAGTTGGCTGCACTCGCGACATTGTGTCTGGCGTTGGTTTCAGCAGTCTCTGTATCCGTGAACCAACAGCCTCAAGGTCTGAACCGCCAACAGAGGTTGCCTGCGTTTGCGAGAGCATGTCTGCGTCTTTGATGGAACCATCAAAGACACTGGGGGGTTGCGATACACTACCCCATTCCCAGGGAAGGTAAGACGCTGTAATATCAGGATCACCATCACACGGAATCTTGTTCATTGACGTGATGGGGCCTAACGATATTACAGCATCGTTGCGAGGGAGGTAGCTGGAAATAGCTATCGGTAAAGAGACTATTAGCAGGGTTGAAAAGCTGTCAAACCCAGCTTCAATTTGAACCTCCTCTGCAATAGCGGGTATATTCCGTAGCCAATCCAAAAAGAGGTGTTGTAATTGTTCGCCTGGGCGAAATGTGTCTCTTAGACGAATGGCGAAAGCTAGTCGGGGAACCCTTGCAGCACGTGGAATCGATTCATATTTTCCGGGAATTGGCTCTAGTTGAGAAGGCAGAAAGGGGCCGGGTTCAGATACATCATCAACCGCCGTTCCACTTTCCTTATTAGACGGCAGTGATTGCGAGTTGTCGAAACCATCGTCGGCACCTAATGCACGTTGAATATCATAACTTGGCTGCGCTCGAACAGAAAGTAAAATACTTCTCGTAGCCTGGCTATCTTGTGTAAGGATAAGGTGGATGGGGGCTGGATGACGCTCCGCTTCTCGGCCTTCTTCTGGCATGTCTTCTGGCATTCGACTTTGCGTCCTGATGAATATATTCCTGTATAATTCTCCAACGCTGAACAAGGTTTTTTTGCTAAGTCGTGTAAGTTCAATCACTAGAGCGCTCGTAAACGAGTACGCTCCAACACCGTTCGCGATTGCGTTGTAGGCACAGGCTGAAATGACCTCATTCACGCCGTTCCCCTCGCATGTGTTTGCAACACCTGAAGCACAACAGTCAAGGAGTATGAGGACATCGCATAGAGCTTCTTCTAGGACGGTTTGAATCCCACTCCATTTTACAATGGGGCATCTAGAATTCTTGTTGTTCCGAAAGCTGTAGAATGGAAAGAGTTATCAAACTGGAACCATTTCAGTTGACAACGGAGGCCACTCTATTTTTTTACCGGCTTATAGAAAGAATTAGACACACCTGGTCCAGGCCAAAGAACGAGTTTCCATGAGTCTAGCATGGCCAGCGTAGTACACAATCTTCAAGTGATGGTCGATGGCATCAGTAGGCGAAGCAAAATCCATAATCTTTTCCATGAGGCGATAATGGCAGTTATGATTGGGAATCTTCCAATGCTCAGTCTCAAAATGGTAAACATGCTGAAAGACCTCGTATAGTTTGTCAATCTCGTATGACACCGGCAGTTGTGGGTCTTCCTCCTCCCAACTGAGCATTAACACAGAGACACAGCTGTATCTCGACCGGGTTTCATTCGGGAACACCGCTTTTGCTGCGACTTGAAGACCTTTAGCGAATTGTTGTAGGGAAACATGGTAATTCCAATGGTCAATCTCTCTTGGGGTGGGAGGAGGGAGGCCTGGATTGAGGTAGGCGCCGGTCATTTCATCCTCCTCGGAGCTTTCGCCGAAACTCAGGCGCTCATCGTTCATGGCGGTGTCCTAACTGCGGTATATCGCTCATATCTGAGCTTGGGCGTGAGGATACTAGCTCAACTAAAAGAATCTTCCCCCGTGTCACACACCCGTGTTCGTGGATTTCGAGTAGAAAAAGTCGCGCACGCAACTTAACAGACACAGCCTCATAGGGATTCAGCTTTCGGTGAGTGAATGTGGCATCTACATCCGAGACCGCCAGTTTCAGCTTAGCGTAGCAGTATTCATCCATCGCCTATGCATGAGCCCTCCAACTGCGAGTATGCAAGATTAAGTTCGATCGCGATTGGGCGAGGGTGGGCGAGGGGCCGATCATGTCATTGGATGAATTCCGCCCCCCACATATTCGGTGAGGACTCTCAATCTCAGAAAAGCATTGTGATTCGTTTGGTCCATGTATTCCATTAGTCTACCTGATCCTAAAGATGGGATAGAAAGTGGTTTCGGAGATGGTGGTCTCTAATTAATCCTTCACTTTCCTCGAATGCAATCGTGCCTGGCAACAAAGCTGCAGCGGGAGACATAAGAGTTGATTCTTACTCTCCATGGGCCGCATAATACAGTTAAGAGCAGTATATTTTGACTGTTTGATAGCCAGTCCTTGAGAGCAAATATCAGTGCTGCCACCAAAGCTGCTTAGAAAACCCTACAATGTTATGAATTCACGACCTCACGCAGATCGTAGTCCCAACAGCCTTTTCATTTATTCTACGCTCAAGTCTGCTTGGTTCTGACACGTTTTTCTTGGCTGCCGTCCAAGAAACCCCTCTCTTTCTACCCGATCCCACCATTGTTCTCGTCCTTTTACTTTATCGCATAACAAAAAGTGTCTATTTAGATCAATACCACTCACCAAAGATCGACTTTATGCTAATGAGTAGGGGCACAAATTCATGGCTCATCTTATTCAAGGAATCAACTATAGCCCAAAATTTGTATGTTCCGTAAAATAACGCTCAGCGCTGTATTAATACCTTGCAATAGACAGCCCACATCCGAGCAAGAGAATTATCAAATTTGAGTTAAGTATTCCTTTGAGTAGAAAGCCGGGCGTATTGTGTGTCATCTATGAACTTGTTGATGTTGAGATATCTTGTCTCATGCAGAGACTTGCTTGCTGTCTATCAATTACTTGTATTGTTGCTTGCCGTTGAATCTAAATATGCCATGTCAGTGCAAGTCGCCGATTGAAAATAGGGTGTCTACCAAAGACATTGGAAGGATCAACAAGGCGAAGCGACAACGTTCACAGAGGAATGACTCCGCTTCGCAACTCAATCATGATGTAAGCCAGCAAAGCTCGTATGGGAGCAACACCGGCATCGAAGCTTCTTTATCGCACAGTGAATTAGATTCAATGGCAAACATAGAAGTATTGTGTCCGCCCAAATTCTTTTCCTCTGAAGCAAAGACACCATCAAAACTTGCCACACTGAACCGACCCAAGCCAAGGTATCGGAGGGGGCGAGAGAGCTGAACGCAAAAGTTTTTGCTGCTATTGGAAGTAAGACTCATGAAGTAATTTTTTGCACCGTCAGGTACTTGCTAACGGAGTCTGCGTAGAAGATATCTATCCTTTGAAGATCAAACTTCGCGCTGCCAGCACCTTTCACAAGGAACTCCTGTAATCTTCTACAGGATCAAGATACAGAACTTGACGTACACTTCTCAACTTGTACTACCCGATTTCAAAACAAATATGTCGAGCCAACCCAGACCAGCCAAGTTTGGACGCTTGAAGCCCAATGGCAAGAAGCCTTCAATCACCCAAGGCCCCCGAAACCCTCCTTCGAACCCCCGTGAGGTCACCCGCGACCTCGAGACTCATTCGAATGCCGAGTCTGAGCCCAAGACTATGGTGAGCCAAGACATTCCACGCTTCGAGTTTCACAAGATCAGGGCGGAGGAAAGATGGCCCAGAAGCCTAGGCCCACGCCTCGCGCCCGGCGAGACAATACTCGACATCGACATCCGGCCTGGTCTCGCAAGACCAGATGGCTGGGACATGTACTATCTTGGCACCGCACGAAATCTCGATTTCAACGCCAGCCCCGCAGTTTTGGGTATGCCTTCGTCGCGCATGGGCTATTACAATATCAATGAGGGGATTTCGAGCGTAGTTTGTCCGATGTGTTTTCAGAGCTTTACGACGACTGTGGTGCTGGAGACAGGACATTGCGATCTCGGAGGACCTTGTGAGAATTTTAAGAAGAGGTTAGGGATATTCAAGAGAGTTGCGCCGAAAAAGGAGAAGGTGGTTGACGATGATGAGTGGAAGAGATTTTTGGTTTGACTAAGGTGGATTAGCTGATGTTGGGAGGGAATCTTTAGTACGGCCAAGGAGAGGTATGGGTTCTGTGAGGATGACCTGTCAAGGCTTGTAAGCAGTCTGTTATGGACAGAGGAAAAGCAGTCTTTGTTGGTGGATGAAAGAGCATCTGCCAGGATTGTTGATGTGGGCATCTACGCTGGCGTGGATTATTGGAGAGCCCACTTTGCAATGGAAACATACCCTGAAAGAGCTGCTGGATACAGCTCCGGTTGAATGATCGTTCTCTGCTCTGAATCAATTATAGGTAATAGCAAGGTCCTTTAAAAAGATGACAACGCTTTTCTTCTCGCGTAGTCAAATCTGAGGTTCATGAATACCTGCATCACAAATAGAAACACCCCCTCAATTCTTCAGAACAGCATTTCCTTTCCCCGAGTAAAGCTCCCAGCAAATATTCACTCAATTGCATCGGACGATACAAGACGCTGCCGCCCTCATTGTTCAACCAGAACGTTCAGAGTTGTTACCGACGCGTCAATGACCACTCTTCTTTCTCCACCCTGCTAATCTCGAACCTCAAGCCTTGAACTACGGCCCGGAAATCAGTAGTATTTCGTCCCCCCCAGAAATACAATACCTTCCTCGATTCCAAACTTTTCCTGTACTCCAGATTCAAGAATTGCGAATCCCGCCGAACGAAAGCCAGAAACCGTCCCAACATCACTTCTCTTCACGCCAAAGCTACGACCACCACCGGAGTCACGGGAAAGAAGGACTTAAAAAAATCCGCTTTATGAGGCGAGGACTTCTCTACGGCGATTCTGAATGATCATATGAGGATCATACATGAGTCCCAGAGCATTAAATCCACCGAGGAACCCGCAAATTGAGACGTAAGTAGCAAGCAGGGAGATGGAGAGAAGGAGAGGGAAGAACGGTAAAGAAACCAAAATGGCTCGCCGATGATCAACATCCCATTTGCAAAGGGTAAGTGTGGGGGCAGGTTGGGAAGGGTCGATGACATTCTTGTCTAAAGGCATTATGCAAGCCTCACAAGGACAATTTTGGGTTCAGAGTCAAGAGCAATTTTGCAAGTTCATGGCATAGGCATAGAGGCTTCTTTGGAAATTGTGACCGCATTTACAGACAGTGCGGTGGGATACTATCGGGGTCGTGGGATTGCAGCGAGTCTCCCAACGAGTTCTTTCGAAGTTCTCTTGGGACAAGGCACAATCTGAGCAATCTGCATGGAGTTTGACTGTTTGACATGAAACCTAACTCTGCACAACTCCTGATACAAGCAAGCAATATGGAAAAGACCAACCCGCCAACAATAGATCTGAACTTAATCCTGCTCAGAAATGGTATCTAGCTCTCACTAACGAGGAAAGCTCTGACACAATCTAAACATAAGTAAGCAAACTAAGCATTGCAAATCTCCTCCCGTCATGTTTTCTAAAGTATAGTGCCCCGCATATTGAAGAAAAATAAGGGTGTAAACGCAATTTGCCAGAAATCTCCGGGTCAGAACCCCTTTGTGGGTGCTACTCACAACAGATACGGACGATCCAACGCAACACCGGCGGCAAATTCCTGACCCACTGCGGTTCAACCCATTCTACTGCGGCGTCTATTTGTTTTAATTAGTTTTGATTCACGGTGAAAAAATAGAGCAGAATGCTTACCTGCTGGCCTTCGCGATTGCATATGGTTGAGGGATTGATTCTTGATCTACTGGCTCGTTGCTCCTATTGCAGCCTCAGGGTTCGCAGCCGCGGTTGTACAGTACTCGTAATAGAATCCCCATGGTCGCGATCGTAGGCTAGTTCTTCAACTGCCAGTGGAATGAGAGCTGAGCACCTCGAAAATCCGGCGTACGTGTACGGCATTCGTGAGTTGTGTTTTTACACACAGAGGAGAAGTTGGATTACTAATTCGACAGAACCTTCGCAACTTGCTCCCCTTTGTTACTCGCTTAATTTCCCAAAAACGTTTCTCCTTGCCTCAACCCCCTACAACATTTCATGCAGCTTCTCACCATGTTTGTTTGCCACGACCCTTTCCAATATCCCATTCCTGGATATGCCTGGAGTTGTGCGAAGTCTATGACTTTCGGAATCCTACGCTAGCCGCAAGATTGCAATACCCAGGCAAAAAGGGCGGGGTGAACGGGGTTTGAGAGGATCGATGGAAGGTTTCAGATCGGCCGGCGATTATGTCGGTTGGCATTGAAAGTAACTCTAGTTAGTTTTTTGCCGGTTCGTAAGCTTGATTGGTGGTTAGAGATCTCGCTTGTGACAAATAATTTGTGTGGTGATCCTTAGTGGTTGTGTGGTTGTGTGGTTGTGTGGTTGTGTGGTTGTGTGGTTGTGTGGTTGTGTGGTGAGTGAGTGGTGAGCTTTGTGAAAAGTGTTCAGTCATCCAAAACAGTCCCTTCCGACGAATAAATTCCTTGCCATTTCGCGTTGAACCCACTTGTCTAACTTAATGGTGTCCCGGGTTCGCATGCAAGCAATGGCATTAAAGCCGCGGCTGATTAAGCAGTATGCATGATGTAGGTGGGATTAGTCACGTGCTTGCGTGCAGGAATCTCAACTCGACTCCCGGATTCACTCCTTCTCCCTTCTTCCTATAACATCATGAAGCTTCTCAACCTCTTCGCGCTATCCGAATTGATCTGAGCTCCATTGACCACGCTCTCCAGCAATGGCATTCATGCAAGGATACCCCAAGGCGCACCAGAACCGTATCCACGGCTCCGACAAATCTATCCGTAAAACCCGAGTCAACCTCCTGAAAGCCGCAGGCCTTAATTTTATTTTATTGCAGATTCTGTTCCTTGGGTTGTTTTGTTATATCTTTGGTGCAATATGGCAACAGTCCAGCCACATCCACAATATGAACGTCCTATTCGTCGATTACGATGGAAGTGTCCTTGGAACCGCAGTTCGCGACGCATACAAGACGCTACAGGGCAAAACCTTTCCGACACTACAAGAAATGCCTTCAGAGAGATTTCCGACTCTAGGTGATGTGAAGGAGGCTGTTTGCAGAACAAATTACTGGGGCGCGATCTACACTTCAATGGGGGCATCGGAACGACTCGCGAATGCTCTACCAGGAGGCGTTGCTGCAGACACGTACAATCGATCGGATGTGTTGACATTCGTTTGGAACGAAGCTCGATACTCTACAATTGTGGATCCGGATATTCAGGGTACGCTTATAACTCTTTCATCCACAGCGCGTGTCGCATACTCGGCCATCAATGGCACTGGAGCTCTCCAAATTCTCAACTCCACCGACCCTGCAGCCATCTCAGTGTTCACAAATCCATGGCAGCTTACAAGCGTCAACCTTCAAGAGACCTCGCAAGGATCTCGTTTGATTTACAATACTCTCGTCATCATCTTGATCCTCATCCAGGAGTTCTTCTACCTCGGAACGATCAACGGTCTCTACGCTGCCTTCAAGATCTACGCCAAGCTCTACCCTCACCGCATCATCGCATATCGAAATTGCATATCCCTAGCATACACATTCTGCGGCTCGCTCTGCGTCACTGGTGCTATTTGGGCATTCCGTGGAGATTGGGACGTCAATTCAAACCAATTCGGCTTGACCTGGGCTGTGCTCTGGCTGTTCGCACACGTGAACTTCCTCTGGCTCGACGTATTTACCATCTGGACCCCACCCCAGTATGTGCCTATGCTTCTGATCACATGGATTGTGTTCAATGTTTCTTCGATCTTGGTCCCATTCGAACTCTCCCCAGGGTTCTATCGCTGGTCGTATGCAATGCCAGCACATGAAGTCTTCCAGACACTGATTCATATATGGTCCAAAGGCTGCAATCCTCAGCTCTACTACGCACTCCCAACTCTCTTTGTCCTAGAACTGGTTGGGCTGCTGCTGGGTGTCGTTGGGGTATACCGTCGTTGCCACTACGCTGTGGTTGTCGAAGAGGCTGCAGACGCTGCCTTCCGTGACAGGGTTGCCGTTGCATTGGCAACTGAAAAGAGACTGGCTGTAGAGAGAAAGCAGCGCATCGCTGAAGGGGGGAGTGAGGACGTTATCGAGGAGGAGAAGAGAGAAGAAGAGGAGCTCGAGGACGTCATTCGGGAGGAGGATAAATCTCTGCAGAGAAAGCATACAAAGGTAGCACAGGATTGCCGATATGGGCCTGCATTCCCTTTGGCATTTAACAATGACCCTTCAGATTCAAGTGTCAATTCAACGTCACAGGGGGTTTGAAGGCTGTTGAGATGTTCTTCTTTAACGAGTGAGTGGGAGTCGATGAGGGGTAAATAATGAGGGGAGATGTGCCCGTTGGGGTGTGCGATGGCGTTCCTATGGCTTCTGGTAGTATATATTCAAAAGCAAAATTGAAGTTAGATTTGCATTCAAATCAGGAAGAGCAAGAAAACATCCTCACAGGATCTCCGAAATGGTGTATATGAGTAAATGTGCATGGTTGTCACGTGACTACCTTTTTTTTTTGCCAAGCCAGTATCTTGCCACGAAATTCGGCGCTTCATCTTAAACATCACCAACCTCATCTGATCTCAACGCCCATCAGGTATCTTAGAACCTGTTCATGTAGCCCGCTGGTGCTAATTTTGTGCCGCACTGCTGCACAGAATTGATGACTTGCTCACCAACGGAGATGCAACTGGTCGCGTGATGCTTCACAGCCACAGTAGTCAACTACTTGAGCCATTTCGATACACAATGAGATCTTATCATTCGAGTCCACCTCAACACTTATGATGGATAAACAGCATCCACCGTCAAAAGCAGTGGAAGCCGGTCACTTCCGGGTTCCCAACTCAATAGACGACGGCGTGCCTTCATACGCAGACCACATCGCCGATGACCTCTATACAGAAGGTATCCCGAACTATGGAACCGGACTGCCGTCTCTTCTAGACTCCGAAGACGAAGCTCCAGAAAATCTGGATCCATATGATGAACTCCAGCGTGGTCTAGCTCCCCAACAAGAGGAGATCATTCCTCCACCCTTCCCATCTGCCACATCATCAGGACCCCTCTCCCTGACTCTCGATAAAGCGCTCATTTTCCCGAACACCGTTCCAGCAACGGCACTCTACTCACTAAACTATACTCTGAATACAATGGGCAATTCCGTCACCCTTTCCCGCTCCGTGCCCGGCGCCATTCGAATGGACGGTACAAGCGGGAAGATTATGGACAAAGACCTGTACGATATCTCTCGCCCACCTCTCTCCTTCCTGGAATTCCACATCAAAGGGAAAAGAAAGAGTACCTATCCCGGAACCGGCAACCTCCAACTAAAAAATGGCCTGACAGGCAAGTACTGGGAGTGTAAATTCAAGGAGAAGGTGGTGTTGAAGGGCAAGAATGGGACATGGAGTGATGGGCAAGGGAAACTGGTTGCGAAAGAGGTGCATGAGGTTGTCGCGAAGAATGTTAGTAAGAAGGGGAAGGAGGTTGATAGTGGGGTGAGGGAGAACCCGGGGTTGGCGTTTGAGGGACGGGAGGGGGAGGTGGTGGATGCGTTGCTGGTAGACTTGATGGTTGCGGTTTGGTGTGCGAAGACTTGGTATGCTGAGACATTTGAGGCGAGGATGGGGAAGCCTGCGATGGCTGAGAGTGAGTTTATCAGAATAGTTAACGAGAAGAGACTAATAACTAATACATTTTGGGTAGCTCCGCATCGAATCACTTTGTCAAGGCAATAGGCGAAGACTGAGACCTGGGTCAGAATATCCTTCCACCTAGGTTTCCTCCACTACAGTCGGTGCTCCTCACCGTGATTGCAGCGCCCTATGGGGCAGACCATACAGCTCGCAGACAGCAGATATGGAAAGAGGATGGGGTGGATACGATAGAATCTCAACCTGCTGCTCTTCCAATATAATCCGTTATTCAAAGATATGTTAGGCATTGGTATATAGCGATGTGGCAGTCGGCGAATGCTTTTTTCTGGAAGTGTCAGACGACTTTTCTTCACATTCGTTTCCAACGCGGTTAGTCAGTATCGCTGCTCTGCTCAGGCACTACTCACCCCACCATCCTCTGATCCTTCCTTCTCCAATCCCGCCAAAGTCAGCGGCTTCGTGTTAGCAAACATGGCGCCGCAACTAATGCTATATAGTATATTTTGATTAAAGCTTTACTCAAAGAAGGGCTCGAAACTAAGCTAATAGCCTATGGATGATTCAGTTACCATTGGCCTAGAAGGCCTCTAACTGCGGCAATTATTCGAGCCAGAATCTCGGTGAGAACGAAATGCGGCGATGGTTTTATATAGTGGCATGAAGAATCGGTGCCCTGCTTTTTTGCACACACAGATTTTCTGCGCACTATAAAACTTACTTGGCATTTTATCGGGCTCCTTTGGCGGATTACAGCCATACCATGCCCAGTAAGGCTGCAGTATGCTGAGCGCGAACGAATGCTCTTTTTTATAACACCTCCGTTCTAGCTACCATCTTTTCTAATTCAATCATTCATTGTTGAATTCAAAAGATGCTTGTTGACACATGCATCTCTCGTGATAGTCTAATCGGCAAGGCTGTAAGACATCTGCAATGACGATGCTGAGGACTGCGGACACATCACCACGTTGCTGCTTGAACCTCACTCTATTCCTTAGGAAGCTCTATTCTGTTTAGTCTATTCATGCTCCCAAGACATTGCCCCTCATAGGGAATCCTTCAAGAACTTGGCCATCGCCGTTGACTAGCTGGCGACACTATCATTCAATGAACCAGTCGCCCAAACATATGCCTGAGCGGGATTAGCGAGAACTCGGTTCTTCCACAGCCGGTAGGCGATGTGCTTTCTAATACTGAGCGACTTCCAAGACCAATATGCAACGCCGCCATCTTTCCTATGACATTTGCGGCGGCATGACATCGATTTCTTTCCATTTCCACACGAGCTTCCGTCCGTGTGGTTGACGAAGGAAGCGTGGGTAAATGAGTTACCCATCTGGACCAGATATGTACCGTTGCGGTCAAACGGTGCTCGTGTTTGGGTCCACTCATCCGGGAATTGGCAGTAAGAGCAGACGGGGAGACTTTGCTCGGGCTGAGATGGTTCGTCACTAACAACCTGCCACCTTGGCGGCAGAGCTTCAAGCCATTCGCTATATTTTCGGTCCAGTAAAGCGTTGTCCAGCATTACATTATGGATCCGGTCGTCATCTCTCAGTACGCCATCGGGCGCTAATCCTGCTGCTTCCAATGCATCGCACCAAAGAAGCCATGCGCTCGAAGAAAGCGCCAGATCAGATGGTGTGTGATCGTTCTCATCCACAGCATTTGGGTTGCAGCCTCGCAAGAGAAGCTTTACAACTATGTCTTTGATGGATTGGAAGATTGCTTGCCGAGTATGATCTCTGTTGCAGGCGCTGGTTGTACGGAGAATATAGGGTAATATGCCAGTGTCTCCATTATCGACCGCATGCAGATTTGCTCCGAATTGAAGGAGTAAGCCTACCATTTCTGCAAGGTGACTCCTTTTCACCCCTTCAACGGACGCCAGGAGCGCTGATCTCCCGAAGCCGTCAACTTCCTCGAGGTCGCACTCACTAGTGAGAAGGCGGCGGACGGGTTGGAATAGGAGTGTCTGTACACCTGAATCAGGGAAGATGTTCAGAGCGCATTGGATTGCTGGAACGAAGGACTCTCCGACACTTTGGCCGAGGTCAGTGTAGTGCTTTAGTGCGACTCCAGTATCTGGTCCACAATATTGAACAAAGAGACGAAGGGCGAAGTTGGTAGCTTCCGTGTCGAAGTTGGTGGGCGGGTCCTCTGAAACCATACCCGCAAAACCAAATATCTCGTCCAAAAAGCAACATAGTGCCGAGTTCCCGGTGCTTCAAAGGCTATCAGCTAGTATTTCCCTAACTTCAAGGTCACACTACCTGTCACAATCCAAAATATTTGCGCCTTCTTCGAGCAGTAATTTACTGACCTCATAGCGGTGCTTTAAGAGAGAGACCTGTTCATCCTTCTTAGAATTGACCATTTACTAAGCAGAGCCACTTATCATAAGAAGGCTATCACCATCCTCGTCTCGATCGTTTGGAAGAAACCTTCGCATTGATAAAAGTTGATGAACAACTTCCAAATTACCGCTTTGTATCGATTGCACAACTTCTGAGTCTTCTGAACGTACTTGAAATGTTGAAAGACATCGAGCTATTGGCTGTGGCCACTGGTATTTCATACATGCTATGACGATTCCTTTAACATCCAATCGCAGGTTTCGGGCTGGTGTATACACGAGGCGCAAACCGAGTAGCTTCTCGGAATGCTGGTCTGACACGATGTGTAGCTTCACCTGTCCAATTGGCAGACTGACCTCAAATGGGCTGCTCTCCATGGGTAGCTTTCGTTTTCGAATAATAGAGGCGAGGTTCTTCCCTACGTTCCTCTGCAACTCCTGGTGCATGATTCTTGGAACATTGGTAGCTTCTGCACTCAGACTGGGATTTGATTTCCTCTTTCTTGACAATAATTTTCTTCTCTTGCTATTCCTGAGTTCAGTTGCTGACTGCTCCTGGACATCCGCCCAGATTCTTTTGAACTGATCCTGAAGCCACTGTGCATTGTATGACCGAGACGCTTCTATCGTATGGTGAACCGAGTAGGCCCTGTGCAGCTCACTCATGAATCGCGAGATGGACGATAGGGTTAGGGAAGCCTCCGTAGCAGAGCCTACGATCACGGTAACATCTCCGCTATCATCCGTGTCGATTGCTAATCCTTGAGTCCTCAAAGTGTTGACAATTTCTGCTACTTGGGTTTGGATTCTCTGTTGACTGGCAACTAAGGACGCCACATCCTCATTAACCATGCCCTGATGTCGTTTCGCATTGCCTACAACGATTACTTATTAGCGAAGTAAAGCAATAGAGTTTCGATGGGGATTGATTCATGGTACTTTATAAATAATTTGCCTAGAATCACCTCCCAGGAACATACCTATATTAAAGCTGGTAACCTTGTCGACCTCCTCTTGAAGTCGGCGAAATGCGTTTTCTATACCCTCGCCGTAGATGAGCGGCACACAGATTCCAAAAATACCTAGTAATGAGTACGCCTTGTCTTCCGCGCGTCTAGTGTCCGTTTCTCCGCCCATGCCATACGTTCCGTTATGGTAAACATTGATAAGGCGCTGCCTCGGAGAGCCGAGACTGGATTCACAGGCTTGGCAAAAATACTTTTGGTATCGATAAGGTATTGATACTGGATGGTATTACTTAGGTATCGCAAGGATCGATACGTATCGATACCGAATCAATACTTAGCCTTAAATTATCTCTTCCATTTATTATTTAATTTATATAATAATATATTTATATATAATCTCTTTATTTTCTAGTCTTTCTATTAAAGGAATTACTTAAAATTATTAATAAAAGTTAATATTATCTTAATTTTAAAATAGCTCTCGTATTCGGAAAATTTAGTATCGTATTCGTATCTCTTATCGGAACGCTTATCATAAGCGAGCCTCACGAAAATCTCAAAAGCTATTATTTGCTTAAAATAGCCGCATTGAGACGAGTTTTAGTCTAAACTATAAGATAAGTAGCTAAATAGAAAGCCTAAATTAAGTAGAATATTTGCGCTACCAAAAACTTTCTTATAAGGGAAATGGTTCTAAAGTTAATTGCAATTAAAGGGGGGAATTGGGTTCGGGAATCGATAGGAATCGATACCTTACGATTCTGGCATCGATACCTATCGATACCAGAAATTAGGTATTTCTGCCAAGCCTGGACTGGAATTCCCGTTATTCGATGAATCTCACGCTCTAAACTCCTTTTATCACCAAGTCTCCCATCCGGAGAGAAAAACTCAACTGACGAAGGTGCAATTAGCTCCTGAAGAGTCCACCCGCGGGTGAACCACCTGCTCCTTCGAAATGCCTCTTCCCATGGTGGTATAGGTGTTCTGGGGACATCCGCAAGCCATACATAGCATCGAGTTGCATTCTAATACCAACGAAACATGGAGTTAATAGCTTCCGCCAGCTCCGTATTGTTTGACTTGTCGATACAACAGGTATCCACCCAAAAACAGTGTAGGCCGTCGCGAGCAGCCTGCTCTCCGCAGAAGCGAATCTTCTCAAACCCTGCTTTTGTCCTTCCAACACCTGCCCTCAGATCGCTGAAGGTGACTTCTTCCTCGTCACTCCCCCAGGTGTATGACAGAATCGCGTACGGAGGGACATGTTCGATCAGGTCTCTAGCCAGGCTGATTTCGCCGTCCGCCTGCAGTTGCAAAAGTCGCATTTTCGTGAGACTTTAGAGACGCAGAAGCGGAGGCCGCGGTGGTGGAATATTGATTGTCTTCGCTGATTTCGTGGTGGACGTTAGTAATATATCGCAATAAATCAATTCGCGGAGGATGTTGGAGGCAGCTGGAAAGTGTGCTTCGCGTTCCACAAATTCGTAGCTCTTGAGCTGGCGTTCGCACAAGGTGCGGCTGAGAGTCGCTGCACACTGTAACGAGCCTGATCGCATAAGTCTGTGTTTTTCAGGCTATCTACGGTAGGATTTTAGACGGCAAGTGGTCAAAACACTCGAGCACTCGAGTACCAGTACACCAAAATCATGGAATTCAAAGCTACGAATCGCATGCTACTTAAAATTGCGCTTGAAATTGCACTAAAATTATACTTAGACTCGTACTCACTATTAATGGGAGCTCTTTACGGAAGGCAGTAAGCTGCCCCCCAGGAAGCTCTTTATATATTATAGTGAGCTGCCTCCCAGAGAAAAGTTATAGGCGAAAGATTATATAAAATAGATAAGGTATACCTCAAGTTTTGAGGCTCAAGAGAATATAAGGTTTTATAGTTGCCTGAGGCATCCAAGCTTTTACTCAGGAAGCTGCCCCTTACCAAAAGCTGTCCCTTAGAGAGCTCTTTATATATTATAATGAGCTATTTCTAGGGAGCTCTTTATATGCGATATATAAAGAGTTCCTTAGGGGATAGCTTATTGCGATATATAAAAAACTTCTTAAGGAATAGCTTCCTGAGGGGCAGCTTCTTGGGGGGCAGTTCCCTTGGGACAGCTCACTGTAATATATAAAGGGCTTCTTGGGGGCAGCTCACTATAATATATAAAGAGCTTCCTGGAGGGCAGCTTCTGGAAAGGGGGGCTTCCTGGGGCGCAGCTCATTGCAATACGTAAATAGCTCCCATTAATAGTAAGTACGAGTCTCAGTATAATTTTAGTGCAATTTCAAGCGCAATTTTAAGTAGCATGCGATTCGTAGCTTTGAATTCCATGATTTTGGTGTTCTGGTGCTCGAGTGTTTTGGCCACTTACCGTCTAAAATCCTACCGTAGCCGTGGAAACCCAGGGTGAGACGCGAATTTAGCGACGCGCACCCTCAGCCGTGCGCACGCTCTCTGACTCACTTGATTTTATAAAATTACTTTAATAACTTCTAAACTACGTAATTAAATAGAGCCAAATTACATCTTCTCTTGAACGAGAAAAACTTCACAACCAGAGAGAATGAAATTGTTGAACTTAAGCAACGAAAATCACATCTAGCAGCCCTCCTTTTGGTCAGTTGAGAAGCCTCAGGCACATTGCCTGGGGGGATAGGCGTCATTGCCTGACAGGGGAGCGAGAACGGATATCGCCTAGGTCAAAGAGGTGGCTGGGTTCCAGATAACAGGCATTTACAAAATTTATTTATAGACGAAGGTGGACATAATACGCGATTCTTTAGGGGGTGGCAAAAGGATCCCCTACGCTGCTACGCAGACTCCAGCTAACTTAGCGGCATGTCCAAGGGCACATGCTGATGACCATCAGCGGCGATTGGCTTCATATTATGTTTAGTGTGCTAGAACGCCTGCCTGCTACTTTTGAACCGTATTTTCACCCCCTGACAAATATTATCTCGTTTCCTCATTGCAACCTCCACATCAAAAGCTGGAGTTGCCAACCCTGCGACTGTGTCTTTACTTTCGTGTGGTAGCGTATGCGATCCATTCAAAGGCGTCATATCAAATGCCAACAAGAGCCGCACTGTGAGTGCCATCGCCATATGAACTGCCAAATACCTCCCTGGACATAACGTGCCAAACACACCATAAACGCGAAGTTTCCTCCTCTGAATTTCGTCTAGGCTTCCATCCTCCTTCAAGAATCTCCCAGGAAGGAAATCGGCTGCAGCAGGGCCCCAGACCTGGCGGTCAAAGTGATGTGGCCGCAGTGGCGCGAGAGCGTACGAACCTTTCTTGAGCAAGTACTTGCTGGCCAGAGTCGTGTCCTCGTGGACATAGCGGCCAAGCGAAAATCCTCCATGAAATCGGAGGACCTCATACCAGGTCGCTAGCAGTAGTGGGCATGCCTCTGACATATCCGCGACGTCGACTGAGCCCTCCGACTCCTTGACGAACTCATCTAGCTCTTTCCTAACTTTCACCAGTAATTCCGGATCAGCGAGCAGATGGTGAAACATCCACGTCGAAGCCGCCGTGACGTTTGGCCCTAGGCCAGCTATTAGCAGGAGCTGGTAGTCTGTCCAGCCCTCTACTGCAGCTCCGTGGGTCAAGCATAATGCGCGAACTCGACCGAGGAAGCTCTCTTCAACTGCATCGGTGTTTCCACTCACGCATTTATCTACATACTCCTCGAAACTGAATTTCTCTAAGCGCTCGCGAACGAAACGCCGCGATGTGAGCAGTTTATTGTCGATCATAAAGTCGAAGGGTGCATTCAGGCGCTTCATGTTCATCAGGAACGTGCTAATGCAACACATGTCAGTTGGCCGATGATTCACGAGAGCTTGTAAAATTTTGAAGGCCATACCGCAGGTGCGTTACGAATTCTGGGTCACCAAAAGGTCCATTATCACCTCCCCACAACGACTTTCCTAGCCCACTCACAAGTGTCTTGAAAATCCACGCTTCGATAAAGATCTTCTGACCACCTTCTATCGCCATCCTGTGAACATTTCCAAAGTCAGCATCTATCCCAAACACACCGGGAAGGGATTTCCTTGCTGAGGACGCTTACACTTCACGATGGACGTATCCGTCGATTTCCTCAACATACTTGCGAAGATTCCGGTTAGGAATGAACTCTTCGCGAAAGAGGCGCGATACCTCCCGAGCGAACTTTCGACTCAGCTCGTCATCTTCCTTTAGCAGCGAGCACGAAAACTCCCCCAGCTCCAGGCTTCTCCGGAATATCTGCAGCACTAGCGGGCCCAAACTGAGATGTCGAACTTTTGGCAGGTCTCTCGTGAGTTCTGGTTTCACGAGGGACATCCTTACTTTAGCCATTCGGATCGTGAATACGGGTAGCGACGTTCTCGTACTAAATCCTCAAATGTCAGCGGAATGAACATTGCGGTAGGGCAGGCAAGTGCTGCCGTGTATGGGTGGTCCTACCAGAGAGAGCTGAAATAGCTGTGCCCACCTCGAACGTAACCCAGCACATGGCCAATATAAGGAATGTTTGATGAGATCGACTGTGGAAGTTGCGGTGTTTCTAGATCTAGTCCAACTTTTCCCATCGCTACAATTTCCGGAGCAGCAATGCGATGTATGTACGCCGCAGCGACGAGTAGCAACAAAATCCCAAGGGCCACAGGCACAGGCCCTATGGCCTGTAAGGCTTCGTCTAACATCATGTACTTGATTTCAAGAAGCTTCTGATGAAATATAAGCCGAAGATATCAGGAGCACAATTTGGGACATTGACGGGTGGGATCTGGATAATAAGGTACCACCACTTCAAAGCTTCGTTCGTTCCAAATGCGCACATCTTCATGATGAACTCCATGCGGAATATTTGATCGGAGACGGCGAGTGCCAAGCCCAAGACTACGTTGAGCGATCATTTTCAGCCCCGCGAACTATTGACACAAGTATTGATGCACTAGCACCAAACGGAAGCCCTCTGCAGGTTCTGGAGTACTGCGGGGCAGACTATCAACATACAGAAAAATTAAGAAAGTCCGTCACCCCAATGCATAGGATACAGCTGGCTTGCTGCAAGAAGGCTGAAATCTAGATGCCCTCCTTGTCCAGAAGCGTCTTGGCATCTCCTATTTGGGTCCGCGCCAAATAGGGGTTCTGGTCTGTGCCACCCTTGGTAAGCGAGTTGAGAACTCCGTAAGCGAATGGAGCCCCTGTCTAAAGCTTGGTCCGGTAGGAAGTTAAGGAGAAACGTGGCTGGCTGGGAAATGGAAATGGCCTAGGTACAAAGACAACTTGAAGTTTGTCGGAGCTTCCGAGGCGAGCTCAGCTTGTAAATGACCAAAATGGGACGGCTCTAGGTCGCTACTGTTCCCAAAACAGTCCTCTTTCGCGATATTGGGATCTTGGCTCAGTCTCCAAGCCCAATTTGAGCTGTCAAGGCCTAACTCCAACCTTTCAGCAAGGATAATCTAGCGGCTAATGCAGGGGTACAGAGGCGGTCGATCACCGAAAGTTGCCCTATGAGAAAGAAACATATATACCCCTATATCTCACTGCCTCAGAAGTACACACTCAGTCCCATACACCATACAACAAGGGCACTTTCTCACTTTACACTCTTCCGTCCTCTATCCGCCTTTTTCAGTCATAGACGCTCCACTCATTCTCTGAAGTACTTGATTCAGCAACATGAAGTTCTCACTCATGCTCCTCTTGCCTACGGCATTAACTGCCAGCGCACAATTAATTGAGGTCCGCGCAACCGCCTGTGGAGCAGGAAATAACTGCCAGCGCGGCGTCGGTGGTGCCGCCGGCGTGAATCCACCTTTGAGCAGTCGCCTGGCTGACTGCTCGAGCCTGTTCACCGTGACTGTGACGCCGGCTGTCTAGTAAGCTTCCAAATTTCCCTTCCTAAATCCAGCGCAGGCGTTTCCTTTTGCAAACTTGTCCTCTTCGCTGACCGGAAGAAACAGTACAACGACAACAACTTCATCGGCGCTAGATATGCCTGTTTTTACCGTCGTTAAGCGCGATGAACCCGCCAGTGCAGTCACCGTCAGCCCTACCGTCGTACCCACCTATGCAAAGTACTGCTCCAGCGCATCAGCCTGTAAGCTTAAGAAAGATCTTTGCTCCCTTCACTTCTGTCCTCTCTCATGCTCCATTTGCTTCAATTTCTTTCCACACTAGGGAATCCTCCTCACTTCCATCCTCTAACCCTAACCCACCCCGAACAGTCTCAAATCGAAACTTGCTAACTCTCTGTTCTGTAGACTACAGCGCTTGCTCCTGCGCGGGCGTTACTGGCGTTACAACCACGGCGCCAACGCCTACGGTGACGGAGACGGAGACGACGACTGTGACGTGCGCGCTGGAGAGGAAGGTGAAACGAGGTCTAGAGGCGGCGGGGGGTATGCTGAACTTTGGAAGGATGTGATGGGACGTTGGATAACCTGTAACTGAGGTGAACGGAGGAAGGAGTGTTGATCTTGATCATTCTCTCGCTGATCTGGAGTCGACGCGTTGTCTGTCTTGATTGGGGTTGGAGCTTAGAAGAAGTGGAAGAATGGATATGAATGTGTGCTACAGCTTTGCGATTGTGACTTTGATCTTTGGATGTGATAGGGAAATGTGGAGGTTGGGTAAGGTAGAACCTTGGTGTGATGGTCCGAAGAAATGAGCAGTACACTTCAGGGTTCATCTCGCTAGAAAAGGCTTCCCCTTGTCGCAACTCTCAAAACTTTGACTCTTGACCTCAGCATTAGATGGATTGCCAGAGGGCGGGCGGCGGCGCGGCGCAGGAAGAAGATTTCCTTGAAGAGTCTTGAGGCTCTTCGCCTGCATCTCCACACCTACCTTTATAGACAGTGTGTCAAAAAATTAATCAACGTTAATCAAATTAATTATGAATATTCATCTGAGTACTACGTCACGCAATTCACGTCCAACTTCGGTAAGCTGACCGATGAAAAGGCCAGGGCCAGCCACGTCGAAGTCACAAGCCGCAGGGTATGGAAAATTAGTTGAAGAAGGGATTGATTTCTTGAGGGTACAGGGTATGTGCAGGGTAGGGAATAGTGTGACCTCAGTCCAGTGCCACCGCGATGCCACCGCAGTGGTACGGTGTAATATAGCCCTAGTCTAGTTTGGTGGAGGATATACTGCACCGCGGTGGGTGCGGTGCAACCGCAGTTTAAGGGGTAGTCTCGCTTAAAATTACCCAAGGATGTCAAGTAACTTATAGTAAATAGAAAATAGCCAAACTTCAATATAATTAATTAATTCTTTTATTATTAGAAAGGGCGGATATAGGGCTTTTAAAGGTATTAAAATCTTAATTATTTTAGGTGTCGTGGTTATGGAAATATACTTAAGTGCTTAATCAGGAATTCTTGAAGCTATTTACCAAGTTCTCGCTCCGGTGTCCGGAGAGAATTTTTTTCTAATTCTGGCCTCTCTTGAATTCCTCTCAATCAAAAAGGGTCCTATTAATCAACCACGACATAATTATGCCTCCAAAGGCCCAATCGAGACTCCAAAAGGATGGGAAGCTGAGCCAGAGTAGTTAGAGAAAATTATTATAGTGTTAAAGCTGGTATAATCGGCTAAAGTCACGTGAATCTGTTAAACTGCAGTTTAACTGCAGTTTTGAAGATATAATCGTAGTTTAGTTTAGTGGAGAGATGCCTCAGTTTAGTGTACTTGAATCGCACCGTAGTCTGAAACCGCAGTTTGCACTATACCCTACCCTGGGTATGTGAGGGTAGACCCTAAAAAAATTGGGAAGAGGACTCGCTACTGGAAGAGAGGACAATGAAAGTGTAAGGACCTCAAAAGAGCCGAAACAAACCCTTTTATATACTGAAATAGCTTTTCAATGCAGGCTCAGGTTTACTTAGGGTATGTAGAGGCTGTGATTTGGAAAGCACAGCCCTGACTTAAGCTTGCTCACTCATAGGCTCATAGCTCATGCTAAAGCAGCAGCAATTCAGATCTAGAGATAGAAATGGAAACCGCAACGAGAACGTTCTAAGGTGAGATTCGCTGCTATGCCATCAGAAGCGTCGAATCGACCACCTCTGCCTGGCTTCCGAAATCTGCCACTGCCTATATAAATTCAAAGCCTCTCCTAAGCTTAAACCCCTCTTTGGAATTACCCTTCTTTGCACGTTTTTACGCATAATAAATAAATGCAAAGAGGAAGTTACAACAAAAAGACGCTCTCTAAGCTCTAGACTCGTTTCGCTAAGACCATTGCGATTTGGAGAATATGAAGGAGGATTTGACTAGCATGGGGACGGTGAGGTCGTGCTTCCTACTAAAAGTGTGAGCGAGCTAGAGTGGAGACTGAAGCTAAATATAAGAAAGTAAGGAGAATCACACGACAAATAAACAATGGAGCCTACTAAGCCGAGGAGGGTGGCAATAAGAGCTTGAAACAAGTGACGCCACAATCACAATCTTACCATCTGACAATTCCCGTGGCCTCGGCTCACTTTTTGCGCCACTAGCATCAAGATTCAAAGTGACATAGGCACGCTATCCCATTCAAAGCATTAGTTCTCTCACTCAAAAAGAAGGAGAAAAGAACTGACAGGAAAAACAACCTGATCAACTTCCTCCCAAGTATTCCCCGCCCAATTCGGATCCCTCTAAACGGCCCCTCGCAACCGACGCCAAAAGCGCAATCGTAACATCCATCCGGGTTACATTTAAGGGAGTGGGTTTGTTGAGGCAGGAACCCGGGTGGTTGGTGTAGCCTGGCTGGATGGCGCCGGCTTTGATCGTGTACTGTACGAGTATGCGTCGCTGATGGTTAGCTCCCTATGAATTCAGTACTGTAGCTATGAGACCAGTACAGCTCCGCTAACCAAATATTCGTTGATTGGACGAAGCTCACAGTAAGGTATCGTCGAACATCACGTTATTATCGTAGCCGTGGAAGCGAGGAATGTAGGGAGACTGTCTAGACTGTCAGGCGATCTACTCCGCTCGGACCATGCGCCTTTCCTCTTTCGCCAACTACCCCGCCGATTCCTCGGTGCAGGGGCTCTCTGGCTCCTGATTGGCTGGCAAGTTCCCGACAGGAATGGATAGGCGCTCGAGCGGTGAACGCAAAACGCCGCGGGTCTGCACGGCCAAGCAACCATCGAAATTGACTTACAAAAGCTTCCCAAGTCCCAGACTCCTGGGATTGCCTCGTCGTCACCTTGCCTTACCTCGTCCCAGCGGACAGGTTCAAACGCACCGCACGTACGATACTGCCTTCATGTCCGCACACCCCTGGTCTTCATGACGCTCGCCATGCCGCACCTGGCCTGAGAAGCTCTGGCACACATGGACGACGCCGGATCAACCCCGTCAGGCGGGGACACGCCAATTGAGGCTGATGTATGTATTGCATTCGCAGTCGCTGTCGCAGAAGGACTTCATTCGCTGACTTCGGGCGGCAGTCATATAAGGGCTCCGATGCGTGAGTACCGATATCCCAGCGGCGCGCCGGCTAGAAGGCTGAGGCCGGCTTCCACCCCTCCTACTACCGGTAGTCCTTGGCTAACAGACTGCAAGCTGCTCTAGCTTATCCGTGACAAGCAACGTCTGGCGCTTCGACAAGGAGAACGGCCGGACATATCATGGCTATCGACCTGGTGGTGAGAGACTCTGCGACTCTCTTGTACCCCTCACCTTGCCCCCACTCTCTGACATTTCTCTGCAGTCTACTACTACCCCAACGATCCCACCGAAGCCGAGCGCCTCGAATATCAACACTGCGTCATTGACTTTGCCTTGGACAGCCGTCTACACTATGCCCCTCTCTTCGCTCCTCGCTACGTCTTGGACATCGGCACCGGCACCGGCGACTGGGCGATCGAAATGGGTGACGCCTACCCAAATGCCACCATCGAAGGCACAGATCTCTCCCCCATCCAGCCCACGGACGTCCCCGCCAACGTGCAATTCGTGATTGACGATGCCGAGCAGGAAGACTGGGCCGTCCCCGAAAACCACTACGACTATATCCACACACGCTTTATGATGGGCTGCTTCGCGGACTTTCGCGAAATCATCAAACAAGGCTTCAAGCACACGAAACCTGGCGGGTGGATGGAAAGCCAGGATCTCATGCACCCGCCGTTTTGTGACGATGGGACGATGCCTGATGACTGGCCGTTCAAGGACTGGTCTGAGACTATGGATGATGCTTCGGAGAAGGCGAATCGCCGTTTGACTATTGCGCACAAATTGAAGAGGTGGTATATCGAAGCCGGGTTTGTGGACGTGCATGAGAAGATCATCAAGATGCCCATCAATTCCTGGCCCCGCAACAAGCACCTGAAGACCTTGGGGAAGTTTTGGGCGGAGAATCTGTTGGCGGGCTTGCAAGGTTTCAGCCTAGCATTATTCTCGAGGGAGTTCTTGTGGAGCAAAACAGAGATTGAGGTATGTGTTCTTAAGGGTTTCTCTTTTTAGCGGCAATTCTGACTCGGATTCCAGGTCTATCTCGTCAACGTTCGCAAATCCATCACAGACCATCGCGTCCACGCCTATCACAAATACTACATCGTCTACGGCCGCAAACCAGAGCTCTCTCCCGAAGAAGGACTGGGCGCCTTAACCATCACAAATCCAAGTCCTATCGCTCCAACTCCTTCTGATACCACACCTTTCCCTCCACACTCGCCATCACCCATAGTAGAAAAACTTTCAGGCCTCAGCTCCGATTCCCAAAATCACGGCACGGCAGAGAAAGGGCCTGTAGCATCCGAGAAAGCTGTTCCGGATGCTACGGACTCGGTACCCTTCATGCCATCGCTCCCGCAACAAGCGGTCCAGATATAGCTAGCATAGCTACACGCGACAGCTAAAACTTGGAGCCTTCCCATCACCCGTTTTTCGAAATTTTCTATTCAAGGGCATGTCCTTACTGTGAATACTGCCCACGATACCACGCACCTTCTCCTCGCTTTTCCACCTACCTAGCTACCTCCGCGCAAACGCCCTCCGTCTTTTGCTTCGACATTCGGCCTCAACTTGACTTGACTTGAAAATTGTGCGTGTGCGTGTGCGTGTGTCTGTCTGCGAGCTATCTAGGCGGGAGTTCCGACGGAGTTCTTTTTATGGATGGGAGGTGGCTTTCTGGGCATTTTGTTTGATTTCGATATCTATCTATCTAGCTACCTATATAATCAATATGTAATGGGAGGCCGGAGCCCTTTACTGACATCTTCCGGCGTTCTGAGATTCGGATTCGAAAGTCTATGCTTGCTTGCTTGTTTGTTTGTTTGCTTGCTTGCTAGTTTGTTTATAATGCATGATGTGATTACTAGCTGCTATAGTTGGTAAATAGTTTATGGGATTCTGTCTTGTTCAATCGCTGTCGAAGTGAGTGAGAGAAGATGCAAGAGTCTTAATTTGTGAGATGTGGACTGGCTCCTCGCTAAATACTGGACCCAAGATAAAGCCCTCCTTTGAGCCATCACTCCTTCTGGGGTATTCCATAGCCACGCGCAATGTTGCTGGAGACACTGTTATATGTTTGGCTATAACGATGAGATAGAGTACGCAGAGCCTGCCCTATTTCTAGACTCTATATTGAGAGGAAGTTGACAGGATAAGTTTTGCTTGCAAAGACGGACAGGGTCATGAGAGGCTGTATGAAACGCTCGCGTGTGTCTGTATTATCGATATAAAGAGAGATATGAAATATAGAACGCCTAGATGACAAAACTGGATTCGTTACCCGCCGGAGACGATTATCATTATGAGTACCATTATCATCGTCATCGTCATCATCGTCATCATCATCATCGTCATCATCATCATCGTCATCATCATCATCATCATCATCATCATCATCATCATCATCATCATCATCATCATCATCATCAAAGACTCAACTCTCCTTCGCCCCCTCCCCTTCCTTCCCCTTCCCTCCAATCTTACTCAAAATCCTGCCCGCAAGACTAAACAAACTACTCGCGCCCATGATCTCCAACGTCGTCAGCTCGGCATTGAGTTCCATGCGGCACCAATTCCTAAACTCCACGGCGGAGAGGGAATCGAGGCCGTAGGAGGAGAGCGGCTTCGCGGCTTCCATGGGGGAGGAGAGGCGCAGGGAGGAGGAGAATTGGGTGCTGAGGATAGCGACGAGGGATGCGAGCAGGGAAGGGTCTTGGGAAGGGGAGGAGGCGAGCGAGAGCAGGAAGGCGCGGATGGCTTTCGAGTCTTCGTTGTCGTTTGAGGACGAACCTGAGTTGCCGGATAGAGGGTTGGTGGAGGAAGGGTGATAGAGGGTGCTGAAGCGGGGGTCGCGCTTTAGCAGGGGGGAGGAAGCGGGCTGTGGGAATGCAATGCCGGTTATCATTTGGGACGTCGAAGTGGAGGTGCTAGCGCCATGGCTTGTCTGCTGTAGAATGGAGAAACGCAAGATTTGATGGAGCAGGCTCTCGTTGATAGGTGTCCATATCTCCTTGTCAAATGCAGATTGGAGCGAGGCTGCGTTTTCAGCGACGTAGCCGACGTCTTCGACGACGCCGAGATCGACCGACGAGGTGGGGAGGGAGAGAGCGTGACGGTAGGAGGCAAAGCTGTCGAGGAAGGCGTTGGCGGCTGCGTAGTTGGCCTGCCCTTTCTGCCCGATGACGCCGGAGATGCTAGAGAGGAGGGTGAAGAAGTCGAGTTGGGTGGGTTGCGCAAGGGAGGCGAAGTGCAGGTTCCACGTGCCTTTCACTTTGGAGGTGATGGTTTCGTGGAACTCGCGGACTGTCATGGACGTGTAGACTTTGTCCTGTTAAATGTTAGTGGATGCTTACGTAAGTGTGTATATGTCTGAGAGTCTTACCCTGAGCACCATCGCTCCTTGAATCACTCCCCTGATAGGAAAGCTAGCTCCTCTGAAAGCTCGGTTTACATCTTCTGCATTCGATACGTCGCCTTCGAAGAGTTCAACCTCACACCCTTCGGTAGAGATATCTTTCAACACCGCTTGCGATTTCTCGTCCTTGTAGCCACTTCTGCACAATATGACTAGGTGTTTAGCACCTAGTCGTGCCAGATATACTGCCAAGCTCCCACATAACCCTCTGAGGCCCCCTACAATGAGGTAGGAGGCATCGGGTCTAAGGAGAAGTGATCTCGCTGCGGGATGCACCTAGTCAAAAAAGTTAATATTTCTCACATACAAGTGAACGTGGTAACCGTACTGGTAGCTCGACGTGACTATTTGTGCCATTGGAGATGACGACCTTGCCGATATGCGTACCGGCCCGGAGAAAGCGAAAAGCAGACACGATATCTTCAAAGGGAAAGACCGTCATGGGCGAAATCGGTTTGACGTGTCCCTTCTCGATCAAATCCATAAGTTCAGATAACAATCTACACTCGCAATTAGCAAATCCTCCCTTGGGGCATGATTGGTGGAGGAGAAACATACGAAGCAATCAATGGGTCTGATATCGACTTGTGTGACATGTCAACACCTCGGTACGTAGCATTGCGATTGAACGGCTCCATGGAAAGGCTATTCCGTGCAAGAACATCTTTCTTTCCAATCTCTATCATCGCCCCGCCATCAGAAATACAACGCCATGATTCGTCGAGAATGTTTCCTGTGAGAGAGTTCAAGATGACGTCGACACCTTTACCGTCTGTTATTTCCATGATCTGGGAAGCGAACACTGTGGATCGAGAGGAGAAGATGTGTTCTGGTGGGATCCCGAAGGTCGAGCTTAGGAAGTCTCGTTTTTTGTCCGTGCCTACCGTTGCGTATATCTGAAAGTGGTTATTAGATGGCAGTTGAAGAGATTGAATTGAGGGTTGAATCTTACTTTTGCTCCAATGTATTGGCACAATTGGATAGCGGCGATTCCCACCCCCCCAGAGGCGGAATGAATCAAAACGCTCTGGTAGATTGAGTTAGAAGCCGTCAAACTAGGGACAGGCGGGGTAATTCTCACCTGGTTTTTTTGAATATTCGCCAGGCGGAGGAGACCATATATTGTGACGAGATAAACACTTGGCATGGTAGCCGCATCCTAGGTTCTGGATTAGGAATGAAACTGCAACTGACGATTCAACAGCTACTTACCTCAAATGACATTGACGCAGGCAAGGGGTAGACTCGCTCGGGAGTAACCTGAATTCTATTTGCGAAGGTACCTTTCTCATATACGAGGACTCGCTGCCCAACTTTGAGAGACGAGACCAAGCTGCCAACCCGTCGGATGACGCCTGCGCCCTCGAGTCCTGGGAGGTGCTCGTTCTCGGGAACGATGCCCATGGTAACGGCCAGATCCTATTCGCACCTAAGTTATTCGTCACAAGGCATGGTTGAGAGTCAAATACGTACCTTGAAATTCAATCCTGCGGCGAAGATCTCGACCTCAACCAGATGATCTTCTAGTGGAAGCTCCCTGTCTGATACCTCTGCATAGCGGAGCGAGTCTAGAGTGCCCAGTCGCTCGCATCGAAGCCGGATACATGTTTCCGATTCGTGCAAGTTCTTGCTTTGAAGCTCTGCGCCATTTCTCTCGTCCTTCTCGGATTGATTGGTTCTCTCGTCTGGCCGTATTCTGCTAATATACAAGACTCCACCTCTCTCAACAAACTCATTCTCCATCGGCATCTTGTGTGTTGGCTTTTCGAGATACTTCAGTGTTTGATCGATTGCTGCGACGGTCTCGGCGCCGGAACTAGATTGCGTGTCTAAAGTCACTAAGCTGAGGAGTGGGTCCTCTGCACGAATTGTCCGCGTAAGTCCATGAATGAGTGAGTTGTCAGGCTTGGTGACTTCGAATTGAGAACCTGTTGTCACCCAAAGGAGTTTGTTCCCCTTGGATGTCAATTCCTGGATTGCTTTCCACTCGTCACTGACGACAGTGGTGAGTATGGGAGATGAGAGTTCGTCCAGTACAAGGATAGTGCTCTTAGAACGAAGGTTTAGGAAGGGGAAGAAGTGCTCTTCTATCTGCCATCCGAGCTGAACAAGTGCTTCTTTTGATTTTGAGCTGATTTCGGTTGCATTTCTTAAATGCACCAGGTCGACTCGATGGACAGAGTCCAAGCCGCTCGCATTCTTAGACACGACTTCAGCCAGATGTATGGATACTTTCTCGCATTGGATTTTGATTTTGCTCGCGAATCCGTTTGATTCCAGCATGGTATCCGCGGGGAGACTATCCTTGAGGTCCTGATATTATTGAAGATGTTAGGATTTCTATATCATTGAGGTGCTTGGGAATTCATTGGTAAATCCGTCTAAACTTACAAATCCGTTCTCATGCATGATATCTCCAAGGCCGAAATTTGGAGCTAGACATGTTTAGCAGCCTACTTCTCAAAATCTTGACAACTAAATACTCACTGGATAACTCGTCTTCGATGAATAAGACATAGCCCCCATCACGCAACTGACCATACACATTCTGAGCCACATATGCAAAGGCTGCTTCGCGCTCTTTCCTCGCCTTCCTGAGGATCCGAAGTCTGGTACTGGTAAGCTTTCTCTTCTGTCCCGGTTGTACGTCTGAATCGTAGCTGCTGTCGTCATCATCGGTTGTTGAATGTTCTGTTTGGCCACTTGACGTGACAGGTTCTGATGATGCTGAAGTCTGAGAACCGCCCATGATAATGTCCTCCATGACGTCGTCACTTTCGCCGGGATATTTTCCATCTGGCAATGAATTCTGGAGCACATTGATTAATTTGATGAACCTTTTCTTTCGGGAGGGGTAAAGGGTGCTTCGGCACACGTACAACTTTGACAATAACAAGGTCGAAGCCAGCGGTGCCCAAAGGAAGGTCATTTGGCGGTCTCGTAAGATCGAGGAGGCTAAACTTCGTGTCTCCTTGTGCCGCGTACTTTTCTTGTGCACTCATGAGAGTTTTTGCGTCTCGTGTTGCGAGGTTATACTCAAGTAATGCTGCTCTAGAGTCCTTATCGAAGTTCCCTTCATCCAACCATACGCTTGTCAGGTCTCCAGGAGTCATATTGACCTCCAGGACTTTCAGGTTTGCTCTCTTATGTGCAATAAAGTCAATCAGCTGACTGACTCGTGTTAGCCAAGTTTCTCCGTGGTTCGGACTGCCGTAGGGCGTTTCGATCGGAAGCTCCAAAAGCTTGTGGTTGGTGAGGTGTGTAATATCAGGCTTCCAACACACCTGACTGTAGCTGTGATTGGCGTGCTGATGCTCAAGAACATCAAGTTGGTGGTAACGAAGTCCTGAAACCTGGAATAACAAGGCACCAGTATCTGGATCATAGACTGAGGCGTTAGACATGTAATTCTTGGTCTTTTCTCGTCGTCCTACTCCAACATATTCAGAAGAAGTCACAGAGAGACCAAATTCAGGTTGCACTGCTGTGGGCTTGATAACGATACTGTCGATGATCGCTGGAATCAGAACTGCATCAACACTGCTTCGATTCCCTTTCCATAGAGATGGACCGACGGTCTGCAGGCATCCGTCAATACATACTGGATGCATTGGATAAAACGATTGTTGGTAGTCCTCTGCAGGTTCCGAAAGAGATACAACGGAGCGACTTTTTCGTGTGTTGGAGAGTGATTCAACCTTGAGGTGCTTCTGGAAGACTGGCCCGAAGCTGTAACCAGCATCATGCATGGCTTTATACCACAAACGGCCAGGCACAGGATGCGAGAGCGGCGCTAGAGCTGACTTGGGAGCAACTAGTACTTGATCAACTTTTACGGCTCATATAGTATGCGGAGAACAATTACCTTGCCCGGGGTCTTCTTCGAGGCAAACAAACCCACAACTATGCTCGACCCAAGTGTCTTCTGTTGTCAACGAGGAGATCTTAAATTCATGCCACGAGTCTTGGCGTGACGCCAGAGTCACCATGATTTTGTGGCCCACTCCTTTCTCTTGGAGTACCAATGCCTTCGGGAATGTAACATTGCGAAGCCTGTAGCGATACTTTTCGATCAACGTACTCGGTTCCATGAAATCGATAGCTTGACGAGCCTGGTAAAGAGCTTCTACTCCCATTGCTACAAATGCAGCGGCGGGAAAGACAATATCCTGTCCCATCTGTCCACAGATTGTGATTAGCTCATACCATGCCTGTCTATGCAGTACCGCTTACCCGATGGTCCTTCAACCAGTGCAGATTCTCTACTCGTAGGGTCTTCTTCCACGACGGCGCATTCCATGAGGTACCAAGTATCTTGCTCCCAAGCAGGTCGTGATGCGGGAATTTTCGGAAGCGCCAGTCTTTGCTGGCCTCGCTCTCATACCAGTATTTCGTCGAGTGATTCCACATGTAGTTGGGAAGGTCAACAATGACTGACGGAGTTGGTTTGTCAGGTCCTTGGGCTTCGTTGACTTTTGAGAGATTGACGGAACCACCGGAGATGAACAGTCGCCCTGCGACATCAAATAATGACTTGATGGCATCTCTACCTCTGCTTAAAGCAGCACAATACTGGATGCTGGAGCCGTGGTCTCCCAAGGCCTTCTGTATCTGTTTGATAGGACCTGCTAGGGCACCACTTGGACCTATCTCGATGAGGAAATTTGCCCCATCTCGGCCAGAAACCATCTCCCTGACCGCTTCATCAAACCGGACTGGAGAGGTCATGTTGGTGGTCCAATAAGTGGCGTCGCAGACCTGGCCCAACCGCTTGCTAGTGACTGAGGAGAACATCGACACGTGTTCCTTTCCTTGTAAAGGTGGCCCACAGTTCTGGAGAATCATATCTTCATATGAAGTAGCGCTGTCAGCCATGAACATGGAATGGTAGGCAAAATCGACTTGCAACATCCGGGCGAAATGGCCATCTCTTTGTAGTTGGCTCTTCATTTTCTCCAGTGCTTGGCGATCACCTGAGAGCGTGACACTACTTGGACTGTTGAAACAACCGACTTGAACCGAGGTTTTCATGTCACCGATGTATGCTTGTACTTGATCCGGGCCAAGCCCAACCGCAAGCATACCAAGGGCAGGTCTGGCTTGATCAGAAACGCAGGCTTGCCCTCTGAAAAAGGCAATCTTGATTGCTTCTTCTGCCGTCAATAAGCCAGCCGCGCACGCTGCTGCAATCTCGCCGGAGGAATGACCAACAACTGCCATAGGAGAGACGCCCCAGCTTTCAAGGATGACAAGAATAGCAAGTTGGAGGGCAGTTGCCAGCGGCTGGGAGAACTCAGGCATGCGGAGTCGATCCGGTGAGCTTGGTTTCACTAGCTCATCTGCAAAATTGTTAGAAAAGAGTACTGCTAGATGTAGAGGAGCTTACTGAGAAGAGTCCAAGAAGGTGCGTTTGGTAGTGATTGAAGCACCTGATCAAGACGCTTGATCAACGACTTAGCGACAGGGAAGGTCTCAATAACCCCCTTGCCCATCTGCGGCCACTGGGCACCCTGGCCGGTAAATACAAACCCAATATTTGGAGGATCAGTACTCTTCTTCCCGAATATGAAGGCACCCTCATCAAGACTGATCTTATCAGTGACTACATAAGCCCTGTGGAACAGACGGCTTCTTCTCTCAGAGAGAGTATAAGCCAAGTCGGGCAATTTGAGAACCACGCTTGGGTTAATCAAATGTTTGCACACGGCCTTGCAATGTGCTCGGAGGGACTGCTCGTCATTTGCTGAGAAGACGAGTGTAGATGGTTGGGTCTCTTCATCATCTGCAAAAAGCTCATCGTAGTCTGACGTGAAGGACGAAACGTGAGGTCGTGGAGATTGTTGGGGGAAGGTTTTCGCGTCGTCCAGGATTACATGGGCGTTCGAGCCCCCGTACCCGAAGGAGTTGACACCCGCCCGTCTGAACGGTACAGCAGGCCATGGTATCGTGGTTCTCGACACACGGACTTTGAGCTTTTCGAAATCAACTGCACCAGCGGATTAGCAGGGGAAACGACAAGCCTCCGGGACGTACTCTTGGGATTCGGCGTTACAAATGTGGGATTGCCGGGGATGAAGCCCTTTTCGATGGAGAGGATGGCCTTGAGCAGACCTGAGATACCCGCGGCGGGCTCCGAGTGTCCAACATTGCTCTTGATCTGCCACGCGGAGGTGTGTTAGCAAGCACAAGGTCCGGATGAGGAGACATGCTGGTCGCGAGGCAGGCAATGAAGACATACAGATCCAATAAGCATGGGGCGGTCGGCGGGGCGCGACTCTCGAAACACCGACGAGAGTCCCGCGACCTCCATCGGATCCCCTGCGGGGGTCCCGGTGCCGTGGCACTCGACATAGCTGGTGGCGGCGAGATCGTGAATACCTGCATTTGCATAAGCGGCGCGGATGGCGGTGGCCTGGGCCGCGGCGCTGGGGCTCGCAATGCCAGGTGTGCGGCCGTCGCTGTTGGTGGCTGTGCCGCGAATCACGGCTCGGATCGGATCGCCGTCGCGGATGGCGTCGTCCAGCCGCTTCAAGACGACCGCGTTCACGCCTTCGGCCTTGATATAACCATCAGCCTTGACATCGAACGTGTGGCATTTTCCCGACGGCGATGCCGCGCCCTTCATCGCGCCCTCGTCCATGTTGTGCTCGGGGCTGAGGTACAGATTACTCGCGGCGACGATGGCTTCGCTGATCTCCCCGGTGCTGAGGTACCGGCACGCCACGTCGACCGCGACCAAGCTGCCAGAGCACGCGGTGTCGATGGTGAAACTGGAAGCAGTGCGTGAGTATGGGACTTTCGAACTACTTGACGGTTGTGAGCTCCTACCTTGGTCCTCTGATATCCAGAAAATGGCTAATTCTGTTGCTCAGGATGGCCCGACCTACACCAACTGTGACAGAAGGAGGCCGATCTTCTGGGTCCCTGCCGTGCATATCGGCGTAATCTAGTTATAAGTTAAGTCATGGGAGAAACAAATTGCATCCGCATCGGAGGGATTTCATACCAACAGCGTAGGACCCCACAAAGCAACCAACCGGCTTCCCGGCGAGAGCCTCGAGACTGATACCCGCATTCTCGAGGCACTCATAAACCACTTCCAAGAGCTGCCGTTGCTGAGGGTCCATGGCAATCGCATCCACTCGTGGAATACCAAAGAACTGAGCGTCGAAATCTTGTGGGTCTATGTCCTCGAGGAACATACCGCCGGGGGATCTCATCGTTTTTGGTTTCCTGGAGCCGTCATGGTGCGTTTTCAAGTTGAAACGTGACTCTGGTGCCTCATTGTGGGCGACTCCTCCTCGCTCGAGAAAGTTCCAGAGAGCATCTGGAGAGTTGCAGTTGCCAGGGAGACGGCAGGCCAAGCCAATAACTGCAATTGGCTCTTGCGAATATGCTGCTTTTGAGGGTCGCATGTTGCCGGGAGGGACATCTCCCAGAACCACAGAACCCATCCGGCCGAGGAAAGTGAACGAGCCACTTCCCAAAAGTCTGAACTCGGAAGCCGATTTCACGTACTTTGTTGATTCCGAGAGAGTACAGGCCCTGAGAGGGCAAAAGATCCTTGCAAGAAGAAGGTGGAATGAATCCTCAGGTTGGCAGGGCCGAATTCAAGTGAATGGACATGAGTCCCAAGTCCCTAAGAATGAATTCGATGAATCTCAGGTTGTTGGGTTGGATTAAAGTGAATGGGCGTGAAACTCAGTCACTGAAAACGAAAGCTACCGCTGCATATTGGCAAAGGGGGAATCCAAGTTCCCCCCTGCGAAATTTAATCAACATGGTGCCGAGGGAGCCGCCAGTATGACCCGGAAGTCGCAAGCTGGGATAACCCACATTTGCAGTCCCGATCCGTCTATGGGGTCACATGAGACCCGGTGATGTTTCCTTGCTGAGGTTCTTATCTCGAAGTTGAGGTCTTACACCGACACCTCGGTTCCATGGGGGCGAAATTCCGAAGGGATTGGTTTCCAAGACGCAATGGCGCGCAAACCTTGCTCAAACCATCGCCGGGTAATGTGGGACGACATACGCACGATGGAAGTCGGTTCTTCCCTGTCCTGCAGTGCAACGTGGTCCAATGCTGAGGTACTGGGATCGGAAAGGTGGGAGCTACCGTACACTCGCGAGATCTTTCACTCCGGCTTCCGGCAGTAAAGCTCCGCGCAGAGTTACATGACATGTCAATCACTGATCAACGGCGCACCTGCCAAAAACACTAATTCGGCTATAGCTTCAAATATTGAGAGGCGAATTCCCAAGAAGCAGTATTTACGCTGGTTTACGACTGGGAATTTCGAGATACATATTGCTGTTCGAATTTCCACGCTCTCTCTTCAATCTCGAGTTGAAGATGGCAAACCACGACGAGGTCGAGTTCAAAACTCTGGACGGCCTCACCTTGAGGGGGTGGCTGTACCCAGCAAGCAAACGAGGCCCTGGTATCGTCATCACTCCTGGGGTAAGTCCGTCCGAGCTGTGGGCTCCTTTCGTTGGTTTCATTCCACGTGATCCAGATAACCAAGGCTCTTCTTGATACTTGTTGCAATCAAAAGTCCCAGAGCCTCAATTTGCAACTCTTTTTCAGTTCCTCAACTGACGAACTTTTAGTTCAATTGTGTCAAGGAGATGTTCGTACCAGAGGTCGCGGAACAATTCCAGCTCCTGGGCATCACATCGCTCATCTATGACCCACGAAGCACCGGCGTGAGCGATGGCACTCCTCGAAACGAGATCGACCCAATGAAGCAAGTCGAAGACTACTCCGACGCCCTCACCTTCCTCAGCACACTGCCTATTGTGGACTCAGACCGCATCGGCTTCTGGGGTATGTCGTTCTCGGGCACCATAGCTCTCTGCGCGGCTGCCCTGGATAAGAGGGCGAAATTTGTAATCGGTATCTGCCCGCTGCTGTCGTTCGAATACAGCAAGAATAGGTTCCCAAAAGTGCTCGCGAAAGCCGCCAAGGACCGAGAGTCGCAGGTCAAAGGAAACCCCCCGTTCTACCTGCCCCTTCTGACCGACAAGGGAGAGAATCCAGCCGGATTTGGCATTGGGATGGATAAGGAAGGATTCGAGTACATCTCCACCGCCAAAGAGAGAGTGGCGCCCTCCTTCGAGAACCGCACCACGATCCAATCGTACTATAAAATCGTCATGTGGCAACCAAGCGCGCTAATGCGGTATGTCTCGCCAACTCCGGTGATGTTCGTCGTGCCAGAGCTTGATAGAGTCTCTCCCCCGGAGGACCAGATCGCCCTCTTCGAGACCTTCGCCGAGCCGAAAAGATTACATGTCTCAATGGGTAAAGGGCATCTGAACGTTCTGAGTGGCGAGGACTTTCCTTCGATCATGAAGCTCCAAGCCGGCTGGGCCGTGGCTGCGTTAGACGGAACACTGGGCGTGCAGTAACGCATGTACATTTGATATGCAGCAGTGCATGCGCTGGCAGGATGACCTAACCTTGTTGTCAGCAGTAGTCGGCAACGGTTACGGCACGGAAGGGGATCGTACGTAGACGGTGCACCTTCTTTTCCTGGAGATCAGCACGCGAACGCATCGGCAGCGGGCCGGGGGAAAAGGTTTTCAGTTATATAGTCCGTAGGAGAGTTATACAGAGTTACACAGGTACATTTCAAGTAACACAGTCCAGCGCATCAACCGCTGTTCCAACAGAGGAATGACAGAAAATTGACCAGTCGCCGAGCGAATTCGTTATGTCGATAATCATGCGCTCCATTACCAACAATCAATCCCGTGCTCCCCATAGGGTGCCGGTGGAGGCGACCGAGGCTGTGGCCCTCTGCATTCATGGTGTTGCAGGAAACCGGCGGGGGAGGCACCTTCGCGTGGCGGCCTCTCACTCGCGAATTCAAACTTAGGCAGATGCAAGCTGCAGCAGTGGGGTTAAATTCCCACTCACTCGTCCAGTACATGCGAGACAGGAAAACCGATAGGATGGCTGTGTGGTCCCCGCACGGGCTGGCAAACGATCGTGCCGTACCGCTTTCCGCGGTGTGGGAAACTGAACGCGAGAACGACCCCTCTATGCACCGTGTTCCGCAATGGGGGAGGTGCATAACATGGTAGCCAGTATTCATCAAGAACCAGCCGCTGTTCAAGGATGAACGTTACCCCGCTGCGTTGACCTCCGGAATCCCAAACGGCGGATTGAATAGTAAGTTAGCTCTTGCGAGCTACCCCTCCATCTGAGCTGTCTCTCCTGCTATTCTCCTTCCACATGTAGCTCCTTTCTATTCCCAGTAAAACAGGTTAATGCGTTTAATGCGTTTAATGCTGGGGCCCTCCCACCGCACGGTTCACGAAATTGTATCATATAGGTTTTCCTTATGCAGATGGTCATCTACGAAAGTTTAGATGCCCCCACACAATCCCAAATACTCCGTTGAAAGGCCGAGTAAGATTGATTGGGAATTTCTCCGTGAAGTTTCGTCTTTGTTCCCGCGGCTCTCTCGTAAAGAGGTTGACATCCGATCCTTGCTATCCCCCAGCTGATTCTATCACTGCTCCCAAGGTGATTCCGTATCCTCGAACGTCATGGAGTCTATCAAGACGACAGTGAATGGGTGGAACATCATGGAGTCCATCAAGACCGCAGTCAGTAGTTGGAACATCATGGAGTCTATCAAGACCACAGTGGATGGTTGGAGCATCAATATGGATGTTCTCTACTCGCCGTCTAGCTGGCCGATCAGGCCTCTATCCCTCGTTGCTATGATCATACCCACATACCTGATACTGTTATCGATCTACCGCCTCTACTTCCACCCTCTTGCCAAGTTCCCCGGCCCCAAGCTTCCCGCACTCACCGGACTGTACGAGTTCTACTACGAGTGCATTCTCGGCGGCAGATATTTCGAGGAAATACTGCGAATGCATGAGCAGTATGGTATCCGCGCCTCCCACCTTCTTAACAGCTCTTTTACTCACCGTCGTCTAGGTCCAATCGTCCGTATCCGACCAGATGAACTCCACGTCAACGATCCCGACTGGAACGAGCCCTTCAAGATCAGCTCCCGAGTCAGCAAATGGCACTGGTACTACCGCGCCTTCGGCTCCTCGCAAGCCTCTTTCGGAACCGTAGACCACGAGCTCCACCGCATCCGCCGCAGCCCTCAGAATCCATACTTCACTGTCGCAGAAGTGCAGAAGTTTGAGCCAGAGATTGAGCACATTGTTGGCATACTCTGCTCTCGTCTAGAAGAGGCAAAGAAGACGGGCGAACCGGTCAATATCTCGAATGCGACGAAATCCCTGGCTACGGATGTAGTGACGGAGTTTGCGTTCCATAAGTCGTATAACCTCCTTAGTGAGCCTGACTTTGCGGCCGGCAATCACAACATGACGAGGACGTTTGCTCTGGTTGCAACGTGGCATCGCCATTTCGGGTTTATTCTGCAGTTGTTCGAGGCTATGCCTCGCTGGTTCGTTGCTCTAACTGACCCTTCTGCCGTCGCCATGCTTGATTTCTTCGATGTTAGTTCAACCAACTTCAACATCTTTCCTTCCTTACTTTCTCTAATGGTCTAACCATTGGGAACAGGACATCGAAAACCAAACCAAAGCCCTTATTGCCAAGCACAAAGGGCACACCGGCAAAGACATAGCCGCCGACATCGTGCAACAGATGCTCGATTCCGATATGCCTGAAGTCGAGAAGAACACCAAGCATCTCATGCTCGAAGTGCGCACCATCGTTGCTGCCGGGACAGAGACGTCTGGAAACACGCTCAGCGTTACAATCTTCCATCTCGTGGCCAATCCAGAGAAGGCACTAAGATTAAAAGAAGAGTTGTTGGAGGCGCAAAAGAAGAATCATGGGGTGCCGTTGACGTATCAGGAGTTGTTACAGTTGCCGTACCTGGTGCGTGCGCCTGAGAGTGCGACTTGCTTGACTTGTTAGGTTATGTACTGACCATGTTATATCAGAATGCTGTCGTTTCGGAAGGTCTTCGGTGAGTCCACTATATCAGATATATCGCTATGGAGTTGGAAAGTCTCACTCACACGTACCGTCTAGTATTTCCACCAGTGGAGCAGGCCGACACCCTCGAATCAACCCTCGCAGTGCCATGACCTACAAATCCTGGACTATTCCTGCCGGTGTAAGTACCCCTCCCTTCCCTCCCTCTCATCCACCCCCGTCCATAATCCCTGTCCTCCAATCAGAGTATCTGAGCTGTACTGACGGATGCAGACCCCGGTAAGCCTAACCCAAAAATTCATCCACGAGAACCCCACGATCTTCCCAAACCCTCGCTCCTTCTCACCAGAGCGGTGGGTCAACGCCGCTGACCGGAAGCGGCTGGAGAAATACCTGACGCCGTTTGGTCGTGGCTCGAGAGTGTGTGTTGGTATGAAGTAAGCCTCCGCCCCGCCTTCCCTCCCTTCCCCTTAAACAGAAACCAACCGCTAATCAATGCACGTAACCCGCAGTCTCGCAAACGCAGAAATGTATCTAGCGCTAGCGAGAATCTTCGCCTCTTTTGATCTAGGGCTGTATGAGACGAATCGAGAGGATGATATTGATCAGTATCATGATTTTGTTAGTCCGTATCCGAAGGCGGGGAGTGTGGGGTTGAGATGTGTTGTTAAATGACCTGAGTCGAGGAGTCGGAGTTGGCGAAATGGGGCCTGGAGTGGAATAGGTGATGGGTAATGAGTAATGGGATAACTAAATGACTTGCGTAACGAAGAATGATATCGTAGTGCTTGATAGATTGTGTGATAGTTCCAGTGATGTGATGCGTTTGAAAAGCGACAAGAGTATAACCGGCAAAGTTCGTTGTTGCGAGGAAACCAGCTGGAACACTCTGGCCACGTGGGGCATCACACCTAAGATGGGCCGCATACACCAGGCTCGGCAATGATACCTGAGGTATCAATACTGGATTGATATCGATTCGGTATCGAATCGAATCGAATGAATCAATACCCCCCTACTTTTTAAATGCCTTATTATCTTCTATTTTAAAAAGAGACTTATTTCTATACAAGCTTTACATATATAATCTATTATAGATAAAGGATTTTAAGCTTTAAAATTTATAAAATTATTAATAAACTCTTAATATAATAATATCTCTTCGTATTTGGACTATTAGCCTTATACTCGGAAATTCGCTTATTACCCAAATCTTAATAAGCTTGAGAACTTCAAAAATTAGGTACTATAAGTAAAGCTTCTTATAAAAGGTTTTTAAAAAAAAGTCTAAATTATAAAGAATACTCTAAATAATAAAGCAATATACTTTTCTTTTTAATATCCAAGCCTTTAGGTTAGTTTTATTAATAGTAAAGAGTACTTGGGGTCCGAGAATCGCTTAGGTATCAATACCATCGATACTGGATCGTTGCCGAGCCTTGCATACACCGTGGCTTCCACGTGATGCGCGGGGCGCGTCCTCCTCGCCGGCGATGCTGGGCAGAAGGTGCGGGGCAATCCGTTACACGGCAGTGCCGAAATCCCCGGCTGTTCTACAGAAACCTTTCGCCATTCAATAATAGAGCATGGTGTGTCTTCGTATTGAATGTTATTGCACTATTATGGGGCTGCCAATTGGCAATGAATAAGGTTATTACGAGCCTGCGGACATAAGTCCCTGTTTTTAGGGCATTTCGCTGAGAAACGAGTCCCATAACTATTTTGGTCGTTTTTATTTTATATTTAGAATTGGATTTGGTGGCCTTCTAAACTCAATCTATCATTTTTCGTCGTGTGCGCTTGAATTATACAAGGTTTCAATTTGTAGTTGTGAAGAAGCTGTGAAGTGAAGTGAACGACTTTGGTTTTGTGATGCCTAAATACATCGCTAAAAACAAGGACTTATGTCCGCAGGCTCGTTGCTTGGTTTTGTTACTACGTACTGTACAGTGGTCTTTAAATGTTAACTAGTATTTAACTGCATATAGCAAGAAAGGCTGGAATCAAAACAAGGAATTGGTCAGGCCACCCTTCGATTCTAGCCAGTTCGTCGAAAAATCCCCTGTAAACAGGCCATGCTGTATTTAACGTTTAAAGGGGAGGTAAGGGGCACCCACGCCCACGTAACGAGTAACTCACGTACCCGGTAGAAGCATACGCTAGCCAACAGCCCCATACCACTCGACCGCCCACTACCCCTGTCGGACCACCAAAAGTTTATCCTATTTTTAAAGTTCTTAGAAAATTCTAAAAAAAACTCTGGAATCACTATCGCGAGGTCACTTATCACGAATGTCTAATTAGTTTTATTGTTTAGAGCCGCTGTGGTGAAATCACGGTTCGGGCGGTTGAGTGGTCTGGGCAGTTGGCCAGCAATGCTTCTATGGAGGGCAACGTGGAACCACGGAGTGCCCACAACACACACAATAAGATCTGTGTATTTAGGTCACAACTAACTCTTTCGTAGGGTATAGTTCTGTTCTGAGTCAAAGATACAGTTGTCCACCATTGCAAGTATTTGTGGCCGAATTCTCACCTAAAACATTAGGAATATTAATCCTCAAACATGTCCCCGCCTTACAATGTTAGTCCTAAATCCATCCGCACAATATCAATCGCGACCTCTTCTCTTTTCCTGCTCCTAACAGCTCCGAGAAACTAACTTAAAGCATGCTTAGGTCATCATTGCTAAAGCCGGTATTCAGGTCTTCTGCTGGCTCTTCCACTTGTCAAAAAAGTATTTCTATCCTACTCCTCGAGGCTGCTAACAGGCTAGACGAGCAACCGTGAGCGACGCATTATTATCCTCCTGCCGCTCGTGAGCTGCGGCGTGTTGGCGTGTTGGAAGATGTTCAAGACCGAGGTTTCTTGCCACAAGCCCTCTATTGGGGAAACCTGAAAGGACCCGACTGGCTGCGATGAACGTTAGCGATCTCAAGGATCACCTTGACCACCTGATCTCTCTTCCTCACAACAACCTGGGCGGTATCATATAAGCACCTTCAAAAACAGCCCACGGCCAAAATCGTGTGTTGCACCAAGGTGACAAAAATTGACCTGGATGAGAACAGCGCTTTGGTTGAGGCCGAGACTGCCAACGACATCAAGAAGTTCGAGTCCAGTTACCTCGTCAGCTGCGAGAGTGCGAGTAGTTAGGTTCGAAGGTCCCTGTTCAGAGAATAGAGCTTCCCTGGTTATTCGTGGTCCCTGCAGATCGTTGTAACCAATCTACGCCATCTCCATGGCTCTGATCAGACTGCTCAACTAGAGAGTGCGCTTGACAGGGAGCTCTAAAGCTTGTCCCTACCGATACTGGGAGCTTCTTTCCCGTGTACCGTAGCTTGCTTATAGCCCAGGGGCACCCTGTCGCGCGCCTTCGCGGCGCGCCCGGGTGCGGCCAATGGGTCATATAATTTAATTAATTATAATTACGGAGTTTTGGCCCGAGATTAAATTGGTGTCGGTTTACTAGTAACGCGTAGCACCGTCACGTAATATGCGTGGAATACAAGTGCGTTAAAGTTAGTGAAGTGGTTTTTAGTTCGAAGTAAGGATCGCAGTATCGTGGTATTAATATGCGATCCCTAAATCTGCTAAGCCTAATGGGGACTAGCTACCGGTTGAAGATCCTCAGAAGAAACAGGCAGAAGTGAACCAAGTACCAGGTTCGCGAATTACCGGGTATTTTACTCGTCACGTATGAACACAAGAGATTTCTAGAATTCCGATAAATTCCAGAATAGAAGCGTGAAGCTCGTAGAAGCTTGGGAGCGAGGCTAAATACTCCTTAGCGCCATAATTAAGCGAAATATGTGCCTGAGGCTCAAGCGAATTTTCCCCCTCACACGGTCGAGTCAACTATGGGACGCGAGGTCACATGACCATGTCCCGTATCCCATATCCCGTTGCCCATGTCCCATTGCCCATGTCCCATTGCCCATGTCCCGTGTCCCGAGTCCCGTAACTACGCACGTGACTCCCGAAGGAATAGCTATACTAATAATTGGATTAAGTTAGGAACCTAATAATTAAATTATAATTTATTAACTATTAATTATTACGTTATATGAACTTATAAAAGAAACAAAGAATTAAAGGGCTATAAGGCTAATATAAGACTTAAATAAGGTTTTATTTAATTTTAGTTTAAGTTTATAAAAAGAGAAATTAAAAAATAACTTAAAAGATAAAATAAGCTTATATAAGGAATAATTATACGGGATAAATATACGCGAAAAGTATTACGGGTATAGTACTCAGGGCTTGGAAAGCAAGATAGAAGGTCTTTTATAAAGACGATTTAAAGCTAAGAAGGGAAAGCTAGAATATAGGAGGCTATAGGCTTAAGTATACCTATAGTAAACTAGCTTCTAAGGGGCCTAGTATCCTAAATATCTCCATATACATTTCCACGCTAGCTATTAGGTGATTATATCAGGTAATCGGAATATTGAAACCTGAACTATAATAAAAAGAGTATATAAGTTATAGGAAAACAAGAAAAAGATTTATAAAAAGAAAATAATATATAAAAATAAGAGATTAAAATAAAAGCAAGAAAGTAATAACTAGTAATAATAAATTAAGATTTCTATAAGAACTTATATAAACTAAAAATAGCAAGCTAGCTATAAAAGTATAAATAGAAATATTAGTTTAATAATTATATAAGAATTATATTATTAACTAATATGTTAAAAAATTAAGTATATTAATTAATATAATTAATTTATAATTAATTTAATATAGAACTAATTAATTAAATTATTTTATAATTATAATAAATTAATATTTATTTAATAATTATCAAATAACTAAAGCACTTATTAAGTAGCTCTAGTTAAATTAAGCTAGGGCTTATATAATAATAGCTAAATACTAACTTTTAATAATAATAAATAAGTTATTTTCTTTGAAATCTCTATATTTCTTCTTTTATTATCTAACTTTAGCTCGCTTACTAAGCGCTACTGCCCCTAATTAGGATAGTACTAGAGCTAGAACGGGCAGGAGCGTTACCAGATTCGGCTAGTACGATTACGTGTGTATTAATCTAATTAATACGTGAACAGAATATGATTAATGAGTATGTTTCGTGATTAAATTAGATTAATGGCTATTAATCTAATCTAATCTATTCATTTGACATACTGTTGTTAACAATTACAACTTACCTGCGAGTCTTTACTTCAGTCAAGCCCTTCATTAGTATGTTTCAGGCTCGCAGTATTTCCTCAGCTTGTCTTCTTTATCGTTTAGAATATTATCTTATCTACCTCAATTTCTGTACTTCAGATGTTCAGGGTTGGCAAAGAGCTGCCATAGAAGACAAGGAGGTAAATATTGGTTGAGATTACCAAAATACATTTACATAACAAGAGAAATTTTCTGGGCTGTTGGGTTGGCCTATGAGAGAGGGGATTTTGGCAGGTCCGTTTGGGTTTGCAGTTTTGATAAAGAAGAGCTGGGACGGGTATACAGGGATTTCAAGGTTTGGTGCGACACAAGGAAGTGTGGAAGGAGGAGTAAAAAATAACAGGAGGTTCTAGGTGTGCAACATGCGGTGGCAGGTTTAAGTAGTGGTTTTAGCAGTATCTAAGGGAGAATCTGCTATCTAACTATTGACATACTTTCTCCAGTCATGCACATCCTTGAATCCCAAGACCTCTCTAATCTTGCGATTACTCAGTGGTGCCTCATATTTTCCCATCTCACGAGTGACCTTGGTTTTCGGGTAATTCTTTGCCAAAAACTCCTTCGTCGTCTCCTTAACCGTGATCGTATCATTTGTGGCGTTGAAGATCTGAAAGCCGAGTCCGTCTTTCTTGATTGCCAAGTCACAAATCTGTCCCAGGTCGCGGGCGTCAATGTATGACCAGGCATTGCGCTTGCGGCCCGCCGGTTTTGAAATGTAGCCTGGAAAATCTCGCTCATCTGTGTATTCATTAGTTTTCAACCCCGCGCCGAGTTATCTTTGTGCAATGACTTACACTCGTGGGGTTCAATGACGTTCCCAATTCGAAGGGCGTAAATATCTATTCCAAATCGTCTCGCAAACTAATCCTTGTGAGCTGTAGTCAGATTTCCGCACTCACATAATCTCAACTTACTGTTCTTGCTGTCTTTTCTGCACAGATTTTGCTAAGAGCATAGGAATCTTCAGGATCGACGTCGTAGTCTTCTTCGAGAGGAAATGAATGATAGTCTGCGTCACCCTGAGCAAAACAAACGCCGTACGTTGTCTCGCTACTCGCGACGATGATTTTCTTGACACCCAGTTTGCAAGCTGTGAGAGCATTGTCAGTCACAATACTTGAGCAAAGTTTTTGAAACACTTACCAGCTTCGATTACGTTGTAAGTTGACGTCACGTTGCTAGAGGGCGTGGTCAACGGCCAAACTACTTACTAGTTCAGGTGGGAAACTTTGGTACTTACGCTTGGAATGTCTCGTTATCGGGAACGATCATATTGCGAGGATATGCAGCAAAATGTATCACAACATCTGGTGGCTGAGGAAGCGATTTCTCATCATAACCGCTCATGTTGAAATGCGAGGTTAGAGCATTGAATGCTTGACCCGATTGCGTGAGGTCTGCCTTCAAGGTGTAGATGTCGGCCTTTGGATCCGGGAAAGGGGCAAGGTCTACGTTTAGTATTTTGTGGCCCTGCTCGAGGAGGTAAGGAAGCACGCTGGAAAATCTCAGAGTCAGCATTGCTTGGCGGGGAACAAATTAGGGAGTTGAAACCATGTTTCGAGTTCTCTTTACTCTAAAGACGAGAACAGCCTCTCCAGGCATCTGAGAGGGGGAATTTGGGCTCAGAGATTGACACATACTGTCTTCCGGCTTTTCCACTACCGCCGGTAAAGAGGATGCGTTTGCCACCCGACTTTATAGAGATTTCGCTATTTCCCATGTTGGATAATTCTTGAGCGCCAAGTTTCAAACAATGGAAAGAATTCTATTTTGGGCGAAGTTCGTTTGAAACTGTTGTTAGCTATTTGAATATGAGGAGAGCGTTCTTTATCCCATCTGCCTGCATTCCGTGAAGTAAACGAACATCTTATTCCCAGGACACATTGCCACTACTCCCGGAAATCCCGCAGATGCGGTATTCAAACCACTCCTCGAGGAGCGATCATGCAATGCTTCAGCGTATCACAAAAGCGGGATGACAGGCTTGGCAGGGGTAGACAGTCCCCTTATAAATCATGACTCCACAACCGGTTGACATAGCGGCTTTCACTCCGCTCCCTTCTTCCTCGCCGAATTGGGGACAGAGGGTGCTTTGTCATATGATTTTCTGGCGCTTCCACGAAGCTGAACGGCTCGCAAGTTCGTTTCCCCGGCGGACTTTTTTTACCCCGGATTATTAACCTTCATCCCCGCAAAGTGACCACACTAGAATGCGGAGTGATAGCGGTGATGTATCCGCAAGATGGAGAAACTGGCATGCGGCGATCCCACTCTTCTCTAGAGCGTACTTCGAGTGACATGTCGGAACTGGTAATATAACTCGAGACATCTCCGAAGTGATGTTATCAGAAAAAACATATTTTTTCAGCCCAAAAACATTCAACAATTCAACATGAAACCTGGAGTTTATCAGTTTTTGGTGGGGTGTTTTGCAGCCCTTGGATCCTTTTTATTCGGCTATGACTTAGGTGTCATAGCTGAAGTTGTTGCGTCGGACTCCTTCAAGACTTTATTTCTCCAGCAAAATGCGAACTCTCGATCTGGGACTGTGGTGGCCCTCTTTACAGGAGGCTGTTTTACTGGGGCCCTTGGTGCTGGATTTTCTGACAGACTTGGTCGTCGAGGCACTATTCTTATGGCTTGCTGCATCTTCGTTGTTGGTGGTACGATTCAAACAGCAGGTGTCACCATCGGTATGTTATATGCTGGAAGGTTTATTGCAGGAATTGGTGTTGGATTTTTGACCGTAAGTGGACCCAATCTTGGCATTGTGGATGGCATTAATTTTTTTTGATATAGATGATAATTCCCATATATCAATCCGAGATCTCACATCGCCGTATTCGAGGTAGAATCACCAGTCTTCAGCAACTTTTCAACGCTCTAGGACAGATCTTCGCCACGTGGGCTGGCTACGGTTGTTTTGTGACCTGGGATGGAACCGGTAACAGTCGTTCATGGCGGATTCCGCTCGCGATCCAAATCATCCCAGCTCTTTTCCTTGGGGGACTGGTGTACCTCTTCCCAGAAAGTCCGAGATGGCTGTGTGACCACGATCAACCCGAACAAGGGCTCAAAAACTTAGCCCACTTGCACGCCTATGACGACACCAAAGATTCCTATGTCATCGCCGAGTTCAACCTCATCCAAGCCCAAATAGCAGAAGAACACTCCCAAAAGTCCAAAACTTACCTCGATCTCTTCAGAGACTGGCCCAACCTCAGGCGGACTATCCTGATGATGATGATCCAAGCCAGTTGCCAAATGACCGGAGTCAGCGCCATCCAGTATTTCTCCCCTCAAATCTTTGCTCAGATCGGGATTCCCACCGACACGACGCTTCTTTTGCAAGCCGTCAATGCCATCATTGCTTTCCTCGGGACCGCGGTCTGCATTGCAGTGATTGACAACGTTGGGAGAAGACCACTGGAAATTTATGGCGCGATTATAATGAGCGGGACATTCATCGTCAACGCCATCTTGATCGCAGTTTTCCCAGCGACAGTTTCAAACACTGGGGCACACTGGGGCTTCATCGTCATGACTTGGGTCTTCAACTTCGTATTCTTCGTCACCAGCGGTCCCCTCTCATGGGCTATTCCTGCCGAGCTTTTCGGTACAGCCATGCGTACAAAGGGTGTATCGTGGGGGGCGATGACCTCCTTCGCTTTCAACACTATGATCGGCCAGATCACTCCAATTGCCATATCGTCCATCGGCTGGAAGTTTTACATTATTTTCATCGTCTGTAATTTGACAAGTGCGCTCTTCTTCTGGGCGTTCCTTCCAGAGACGAAGGGACTTAACTTGGAGGACATGGATGAGCTGTTTTACAACTCGCCGACTTTTGTACCTGGCTCACACTGGAAACCGAGTTCTCATGTTGATAGCGATGCTGCAGAGGTCAAGGAACAGGAAGAGAGCGATGTTGGGACTGGAAAATCGGATTATGCAGGTGCAGGTGGGGTTCCGACAGACCAGCAGGTTGAACGCGTCCAATTGAAGGAATAGGCATCTGTGGGTGTAACTGGGTAGAAGTCAAGATGCTTCGGGCTTGTTTGATACTAGATGATAGAATCGTAGGGCTTGGTCGTGGGAGTGTGAGTGGTTATGGTAATACTCTAGTCACTGTTTGAGCCTGCGTACATGAGACAAGAATTCAAAATTATCTGTTGAACGATGCACTTTCCGTGACTGGCGTAAATTACCCGTGTACGTATTGGACGTTTGAATAGCGATAACAGAAAGTCCTCGTCGCCTTTTCGAAAATAAGCGGGGGCCTTCCTTCGCGTTGCGCGGAAATCCATTCCAGACACCTCAAAACCTCGACGGCACAAAGGTCTAAACCTACCTTTTCTCCCTCTTATAATCGAATGTTCGGTATCTCTTAAGTTAATCACATTAATTTTTGAAAGTAATGTATGTTGGTATTGCTTGAAAATTTTGGATGTGCTTTTGACAGAGGGCATCCGTGAGCATCCCTGCTGGCCTCGAAGAACTGCTTAGAATTTGGTCATTGCAAGGGTTTCGGAGATCCTGTGAACAAACTACTAGGACCATCGCTTCCTCCACTTCCATTAGTATCCGTCGGGGAGGAGGCCATTAATTGGGGTCCCCCTGTCAAGGTACGGATGAGGTTATCCGAGATGTCGGGTTGCCACCAAGAACTGCAGAGTCACTCAGGGGTTTGATTGCTAAGCGAGGATGACATCTACCTGAAAAAATTTGTTGGCTGATTGTCACCCAGATCATCCCAGTGGCTCAGTGCCCACAAAAGCCTCCAAACTAGCCTGCCAAGCCTGCGCGATCCCCCAAATTCATGGGCCAATGCTCCATAAATCTTATTGCGGAAGGCGGTGTTCGTCCGATAGGTGCAAAATCATTGCATACATTTGGCCGATTGAAAAGACCTTCCATGATGAGCTGCGGCCGCAGTTGAGTAGATCACAACGCAAGAGCTGGAGAGATATACATCCTACAGTACACCTGAGTTTGGCCCGTGACCCCCAGATTTAAATCATGGCAGAAACTGTATTTTCCCTCAATACTGGCAGGAAAATCCCGGCGCTCGGATTTGGTAAGATTTTTGAGACCAACGAATAGATATCTCTGACCTGTTCAGGAACTTGGCAGTCAAAGCCAGGAGAAGTAGAGAAGGCAGTCGAATATGCTCTTTCAATTGGTTACCGCCATATTGATGCAGCATACAGCTATGGAAACGAGGAAGAAGTTGGTATCGGACTGAAGAAGGCATTTGAGGCGGGTATCAAACGTGAAGATGTCTTCGTCACCACCAAGCTATGGTCCACACACCATAGGCGTGTGCAGGAAAACCTCGCGATGAGTCTGGAGAAGCTCGGCTTAGACTACGTTGATTTATACTTGATGCACTGGCCTGTCGCCATGAATACGAATGGAAATCACCCCTTATTTCCTACCACACCGGATGGAAGCCGTGATGTTGATTTCAGTAGGCATCACGTGGATACGTACCTTGATATGGAGAAACTTCTTCACACAGGAAAGGTCAAGGCCATTGGCGTTGCGAACTACAGTGTTGTGTACCTCGAGGAACTTCTTGCCCGTGCCTCCATTGTTCCAGCAGTCAATCAGATCGAGAATCACCCACTATTGCCCCAAGATGACGTCTCGGATTTTTGCAAAGCCAAGGGCATTCATATCACGGCATACAGCCCTCTCGGCAGTACTGGCAGTCCCCTATTGACCCTCCCAGTTGTTGTGCAGATTGCAACAAAAAATGGTGTTTCGCCTGCCAGTATTCTCCTGAGTTATCATAGTACGTAAATATTCCGGGATTGCGTACTTTGTCTCTAATCGTTCACACAGTTGAGAGGGGGCATTCCGTACTTGCAAAGTCCGTAACTCCAGCACGAATTAAGGCAAATCGTCAAATTACCAAGTTGGAGCGTGATGATATGAATGACCTCGCAGAGGTGTCTTCTGGAGGCAATTTAAAGAGACACGGAAATCCGCCGTGGAAAGTTAACCTGGGCTTCCCCGACCAGCAATTTGTCAAGTAGTCATCACAGTACTGCTGCTTAGTTGTATTAGAAAGATGGAACTATGTCGCGAGTGTTTCTTCCCAGTAAGCTAAGTTTATGAAAGTAGTTTGATGACTGTTTAAGAAGTATCCTTTGCCTTTTGAACACTTTCAAGTCTAAGTTGAGAGAGCAATTCGATAACAAATGCATTTAATCACAGGTGGCACGATTACATTTTTGCAAGTATTGCTCCAAAATTTAAAATCTAATTCCGATTGGAACGTTGAGTATTCATACTTTTAAGACGGTGAGAGGCTTTTCTACATAGTTCCAGGTTGCCACTGCCAGGGCCCAGCGTTAGTAACATCGAAGAACCCAATTGGGAAAAAGTTCTCATCAAACATCTCGGGCGAGTCCCCATACAGCGGCAGAGATACATAATTGGCACCGAAATCTTGCCCGACGTTCACATCCTGAATTCCATTGGTACCATTCGACTGGTCAAAGTATCCCAGTGCCGCCCTTTCTTGTGGGTTCAAATCAGCTAGTCCTTCCCGAGACAGGCGCCCCAGCATCCTCCTCAAACCGCGTGCTATATGATAGGATAAATGGCGCTCACTAGCGCCTTCTTTGCTGAAAATCGTGATGATATGTTCGACACTTTCGCGAATAAGGACACTATCTGTGCCTAAACGGGCCGCCTTCCACTGCTGTTGAACTTTCAGAAGGAAAACAGCAGCATAGGTAATCATTGTATGGAGATACAACGGTACACCAATTAGTGCATCTCTGATGTCAGGCTCGTCGATAACTAGTTGCAAAATTGACATGGCGCAGGAGATGGCGAGGTTTGCATGTTCGCGGCGGCCGGCGGATATGTTTTGGGAGGAGAGTTGTTCGAAGCCACGGAGTGAAAGGGAGTTGAGCTGCAGTTTTGCGAAGTGGTAGTGAAGGTTTACTCCTTTTGAGGGGTAAGATGATATATGGGTATTGGGAGCTGAAATGTATTAGCAATACAAGCCTAAGCTAATGGTTTCTCTGGTGGTGATATATTATACCTAGCTGAGGCTCCCATCTAACACGCCAACGATCAATTTCAATGTTCCACTGCCGAAGTCGACCCAAATCATTTTCTTCTAGCTTAGCCTCTACTTCAGGTCCAAAAGCGTTGTAGATCTGGGTAAGAATGATAAAGATTGCCACCTGACTGTGAAGTCTGAAGTCCGCCTGTGTCGCCCCAGGCAACTGCAGAAACTTTTCGTGTTGGACAATTGAGGCGTCATCTTGGATAACAGGTGGTCTGCCATACGCAATACTGAAGTGGTGGTCACAGACGTATAGAAGGTACCACAGCCGAGCACCTTCGAAATGCTCTTGGGAGCCTTTGATTGCTCGAGCATAGCTTCGGTGAAGATTCAACTCGGTTGCAATCCTCACTGCGTGGCCAGATAATTTCCCTAGAAAAGCCCGATTAGCTTTTTGAGAAGGATTACAACATGACAATAACTCTGGGAACTAACAGCTGACATCCGACAACCAAAATGCCCCGATGCACAGCCCTCTAATTCCGTCAAGTGTATGATAGCGATCCATCATTGAGGCACTGACAAGGTCGAGAAATTCTGCGTAGCAAACATCAAATGTGGAGGTTTTTCCAGGAATATGGAGCGCTGTCACCGTGAGAATTGCTGCTAGTAACAAGGAGGATGACCGCCGAACTGAAAGCAGATCCTTGTGTAGAAGGACAATCCCACCCCAGAGGTATTGATTCAGAGAGCGCTCGAATATCTGGAACATTTCCTCTGCTTCGGCTAAGCCGATTTCGCCACTTGAAATGAAATCCTTGTCCTCTAAAGGCGCAGCTGTGCTTTGCTGGAAGTAGCCATGTGGATTGCTGCGCAAGTTTCTGAGCTTAGTGACTTCGTAGAGGCTCCCCATGGGTGCGGCAATTAGGGTATCGTTCCCAGCTTCCTCAAACCCTGGTCGCTCTTGGGAATTTTCTCTTGTCATTGCCATTGTTGCACTCTGACTAGTTCGTCTTTCCTGTTCTTGACTGCGCGCTGAAGCACGCATCCCGGAATGGAGGTCTTCTTGACGGTTGACAGAATAGGATTGCTGTGACGATTGATCTTGGACGATTGAAGTGAATGTTTCCAAAGCGGGTAGAGCTAAGTTACTCAGAATTTCAGACACGGCTGTTCGCAGTTGTCCTGATGTATACTCCATCCTTGCCTTCCATCTGCAACGATTAGTATTCGTATCCAAACGTCAAGTTTCACACCGTCCACTCACTCTCCATCATCCTCCAGAATCGACTGAAGATTCTTGTTAACCACACATTGAAACCCTCGCTTTCGGCATCTGCTGCATATTGTTTCCCCGCCCTCTTTCAAGTCGCATTTGATTTTTCGTCGTTGGCATTCCGTGCCTGAAACTGCCCTCAGCTGATACTCTGAATTTGCTGGAACTTGCCAAGTGGGTTCGGTGCTATAAGAACATCAATACGTACAAGCTTGTATCTTCTTGGAAACCTTTGGAAGTCTCTTCGATACTCCCCTCGTTGCTCCGTTTGAAGTGTCAATCATGTGATCTGACCCATCCTGCATCTGCGGGGAAGGCACCCTGTCGCTGATGTCATAATGAGCGCGCTTCATACCGCGTCTGAGACCAATTTTTTGAAGTTTTGGCCGTCGAATAGGTCTTTGATGTCAAGTGTAGCAGTGCGGATATGTGTCCGTGAGGGGAGCGGGTTTTGCAAGAAGAGAAGAGTCGGAAGGGGCGGAGAACTCGCCCAGTGGTGTACTGTACTCGGATTGAACCCCGCACTGCGGAGACTGCGGAGACAATCCCGCTGACAACTCCGGGCGTGCATGTCCAATCACAGCAATCACTAAATTTTCGCTGGAGGAGCGCGAGTCTTCGGGGCTTTTGTTTACTTGTCGGTCTCTGGTTATAGAGCGCGTGAAGATGTTAGGGGACAAGGACTAACGTTTAGAGAATATTCAACAAGCTTTTTCCATAGAAGATTACCAGAAAATGGATTCGATAACTTCCACCATCGTTACCTTCGTAGGGTTAGGTGCCATGGGCTTCGGTATGGCGTCTCATCTGCTAAAGATGGGCTACCATGTCATTGGATACGACGTCTATGAGCCAACTCGCCTCAGATTTCTGGAAGCAGGAGGAAATATGTCACAATCACCGCGAGAGGCAGCTCGCGGGGCGCAGGTTTTGATTTGTATGGTTGCCAATTCACAACAGGCAGATTCTGTATTGTTTGATTCTGGAATGGGGGCCGTTGAAGGTATCTTCCCGTTTCTTCCACCATGTCCTCGGTGAAAAGCTTGATCATATCCCTCCGGGATACTTCTTTTCACTTCGTATGCTAATAGTCAAATCAGTTCTTCCTCTCAATGCAACTATAATCATATGTTCCACAGTCCCATCTGCCTATCTCATGGAAATACAGTCCAAACTAGAATCCATGGGTCGAAATGACATTTTCCTGGTCGATAGCCCAGTATCAGGTGGAACTGTCCGAGCAGCCGAAGGGACGCTGACAATTTTATCATCAGCAACTCCGGCTGCATTAAGTCAAAGCAAACGAATCTTGTACGATCTCTCGGAAAAGCATTTTGTGATACCCGGGGGTATTGGTGCCGCAAGTAATATCAAGATGATTAACCAGTTACTAGCGGGAGTTCATATTGCGGCTGCATCTGAGGCGATGGGTCTAGCTGTTCGAATGGGACTAAATACCCGCCGAGTCTATGAGATCATAGTCAACGCTGCAGGTACCAGTTGGATGTTTGAGAATCGAGTGTCACATATGCTGGACAATGATTGGACACCTCAATCGGCCCTGGATATTTTTGTAAAGGACATGGTATGAAATCCGACCCTTCCATATACGACTGCGTAGTTAATATTTGAAAGGGAATAGTCACATCGTCGGCGCGATCACAAGGATTCCCCCTTCCACTGTCCTCGGCAGCCGAGCAACTTTACCTTTCAGCATCTTTGTGTGGATATGGTAAAGAAGACGACTCCGGACTGGTGCGGGTATTCACACCTGGAGCTGAGTCTGCAGTTCACGATGGAGGCAAGAAGAAAGCACCGACAGACGATAGATTGACACCAATTGTAACACCAAATGAGATAAAAAAGGTTGGTTTTATTGGCCTTGGAGCAATGGGGATTGGAATGGCAACTACTTTGGTGAACGGTGGGTTCCATGTCACCGGATACGATATCTCACCAAAACCGGTTTCGAATTTCCTCTTGAGCGGAGGAAAATCTGAAGCGGCAGAGTCACCAGCAGAAGCAGCTTTGGATGCTGATGTTTTGATTGTAATGGTACAAACTGCATCACAGGTTGAGGAAGTACTTTTTGGATCTGGCAATGCGGCAGAGAAACTGCCAAGTGGTGCGGTTGTGATTCTAACCTCAACTGTGCCGCCATCTTTTGTACAAAAAATCGGAACCCGGCTCGAAGCGTTGGAAAAGCAGCTTTATCTTGTCGATGCGCCCGTCAGCGGAGGAGCGGCCAAAGCTGCTGAGGGACTCTTGACAGTAAGGGTTTAGCCCGCTTCTAAACTTATCACTTACCAAGTTGAACAGATAATTTGCTCGGCAACTGACACCGCCATGTCAAAAGTTAATCCAGTCCTTCTTGCTATGAGCGGAAAGCCGGATAATATCTACTATGCTGAAGGAGGTATTGGGGCCGCTTCTTCGATCAAGCTCATCAACCAACTCCTCGCTGGAGTGCATATCATGGCAGCTGCTGAAGCTATGGCATTTGGAGCTAAATTGGGCTTAGACACCCGGAGTTTATACGAAATCATTAAAAACGCAGCTGGAGGGAGCTGGATGTTTGAAAATCGCGTCCCGGCAATGTTATCAGCAGACTGGACGCCTCACTCAATGCTCGCCATTTTCGTGAAGGACTTGGGCATGGTGTTAGATGAGTCGAAAAGATTGGGCTTCCCGGCATTTCTCACTGCGGCTGCCCATCAGATGAATTTGATGGGGGCATCTCATGGATGGGCTCGGGAAGCAGATGGTGGAATCGTCAGGTTATGGGAACTGATGACTGGAGTCTCTGTTTCGAAGAGTGCCAAACCACAGGATACAGGTTTCAACCCACGTGAATATCCAACATTGCCTCTGAAAGAAACAATAGATTCTCTTCCTTCGGAGTATAACGGAGACGTCCTTCACTCTATCAGAGAATACATCTCGGATGACAAGACCCCGTTACTTGTCATTCTGGATGATGACCCAACTGGCACGCAAACCTGCCATGATATTGCGGTACTCACTGTGTGGGATGTTGAAACTTTACAGCGCGAGTTTGATTGTAGTGAAAAGGGATTTTTCATTTTGACGAACTCTCGAGCCTTCCCGCCAGTGGAAGCAAAGAAGCTTCTGGAGATCATCTGCCAGAACGTTCAGCATGCAGCGCAATTAGCTGGGAAAGAATTCGAAATTGTTCTTCGCGGGGATTCTACATTGCGGGGTCATTTCCCTGATGAACCAGAAACTGTTGAAAGAACACTCGGAAGAGACAGAATAGACGGATGGATCCTGGCCCCTTTCTTCTACCAGGGTGGCAGGTACACTATCAATGACGTTCACTATGTTGCAGAAGGCGATTTTTTAATACCATCTGGCCAGACACAATTTGCTCGAGATGCCACCTTTGGATACAAGTCATCGAACTTGAAGGACTATGTGTTGGAGAAAGCTGGTTTCAAGTTCAGCATGGGCGATATATTTTCTATAAGTCTTGAGGATATCAGGTGCGGGCCTGGGATTGTCACAGAGAAGCTCCTGAAGGCTCCACGAAGAAGCGTCATTATCGTCAACGCGGCTGCGGAGTCTGACATGTATGTCTTTGCTGCAGGAATCCTTGCCGGTAAGCTCTTGCTCCGCTTCTTAGCCATTTCAAGACTTTGAGGACTCTTTTTTGCTACCCTCCACAAACATCATGCCTAATCAAATCGGCTAATTCAGCTGTCAGCCGAGCAACAGGGCCGCAAGTACCTCTATCGCACCGGTGCAGCTTTTGTTTCATCGCGCCTCGGCATCATTGGTATTCCACCTTTATCCGCGGAATCTCTCGACATGAGCAGCAACCCTAGCGGGGGTCTCATTATTGCCGGGTCCTATGTTCCAAAGACGACTTTACAATTGCACTCTTTGCTGAGGCGAAGAGCATCAAAACTCGACGTGATAGAGCTTCCGGTCTCGAAGTTGATCCACTCTTCAGAAAATGCCACAGAAATCGTAAATACGGCCATTGAAGATGCTTCCCAGAAGCTTCAGAGTGGCCAGGACGTCCTCGTGATGACATCGCGAGATTTGGTCGTAGGCGACGATGCCATTTCGAGTTTGAGCATTGGAGGAACTGTCGCTGCTACGCTTGTCAAAGTAATGCTTGGTATCGATGTACGGCCGAGATATGTCGTTGCGAAGGGAGGGATTACTTCTTCTGATATCGCTACGAAAGGGTTGAAAATGAAGCGTGCCATGGTTGTTGGACAGGCGGCTCCGGGAGTACCTCTGTGGAGGTGTGATGAAGAGACGTCTAGACATCGCGGTGTTCCGTATGTGGTATTTCCTGGCAATGTTGGAGGGGAAGATACCTTGGCGGAGTTGGTAGAAAGCTGGGCGCTGCCGGAAGGTCGCTAGATGTACCTCAGGTCATGACAATGATTACAAAGAGAGGTGAACTGATGAATCGCTCTTCTACCCTAAACTTTCTTACTGGGCAATCTTTTTATTTAACATTTCTAAGATGGAGATAGATTAAAGTATCTTCTGCTCATGTCCGAAGACGAAAATGGAAGATACTCATGTCAGATTTCGATGTCGAATTGCCCGTTACATATGCTAAAGGACAGAAACGAGGTCGGAATTCTGGAGTTCAGAAGGGGTATCTAGAGAATTTAATTGGGCTTAATAGTAGGAGCTATTGAAGTTAAATCGTGTCATCATATTGGGAAATCTACTAGGAATACAGTTAAATCAAAGAAATCTCTATCCATCTATCAGCCAAGAAATCAAGAGCCCGCAGCACTAATCATAGCAACCTGCAACGCCCTCCTTCTATCAATCTCCTTCTTCAACATAACCAGCACCGTACTCACAACCGTCACTTCATCCACCACCTGGCCCTTCCCCTTCCCATCCCCATCATCCAAACACATCTCCAACCGCCCCCCATTCCCTGCACTGCTCCCTGTACTCCCCGGACTCCTGGTCTCTTCTCCCCTCACCAATTGCGCAACCCTGACTCTACCCCCATCCCCAACCTTCTCAAGCACAAGAAGACTACTCATTCCCTCACCCCTCTCTTTCCTTCCAGCATACCGCCATTCAAATCGTCCCCATCGGCATTCAAAAATCGTCGTCCTGCTCACTAACGACTTCCCTTGGATTTCAAACTCATCCTCTTCCTCTCCCCCTTCCCCCACTCCCTTCACTCTGACGATAGGACATTTCCCCGGACCCCAATGATATTCCGTCGACCCAAGCACACGCTCCTCTTCACTATCCACATCCACCAGCGTGCAATTTCCGGAACTCCGCTTCCCACGGACAGAGAGGTATACAGGTCTGCCCGTCTCGAGCGAGAAAATCGGAATCTCTAACTCCTTTGGAGGGGACGGGAGGCGGAAGAGAGCTTTTCCTGTGGTTTGGATTTGGAGGGTTGAGGTAGGGAGAAATGGTGCGGGTGGTGCGAGGAGAAAGCGGGTTGTGGAGATTGTGGAGGGTGCGAGTGTCGATGGTGCGAGCGTGCTGGTGATGGATGGGGTGTAGGTTCTTGTTATTGAGGGGTCGTAGGGTTTCGAGCATGAAGAAGAGGAGGTGATGGTGGAGGAGGGGATAGTACGAAGGGGAATTCCGCCCTTGGCGTATGTTGTTGTGGTTGTTGCCATCGAGGTGTTGCTTGAACTGAAAGTCAGGAGTTGGCGGGGTCTTCTTCCGGTTTGGCTGTGGGAATGGAGTCGGAATATATGCTGGATTCTAGCTACAGTAGATGAAGATTAAATATTTTATAGGAGGAGTAAAGGAGATAATGGCGATGTAAGGAGAAGAAATCCCTCGCGCGGGTGTGCAGCCTCATTCAGCCCTCTGGTTAACCTGTGCTGCGCCTCTGCAAGGCTCATTCGATTTTGGTTAGCGAGTTGAAAGGGGGTCGTGATACGAAATGCGAAGATCGCGGTAAGAAGCGAGCCAATTGGGTAGAGCGTTTCTTTCTGGATAGTCTTGGTGCGTTGATGCGGGGTATTGTTGTGCCGATGATTATGTGGCGGATTGAGGTACATCGCACTCCCACTTTAGAAAAATATGATAGGGTGGTCACTAGCATAGTCGGGTTTGGATGCTGACGCGAAAGCTGGAGAGATTCTTCCGTGTTGTGGAGGAGATTTCGGATTCGGATCGAGACAGAGGAGGGCGAGATGGTAGTGTGAGGGACCGATTGCTGGTGGGTATAAGAGGGATATCATATTCTATACTTCAATTTTCTACTTTCTTCCCACGATGAACGTCAATAAGTCCGTTTTAGTTCGTATAATTGGCCTTCTCAACCCATAAAGTCCACTCGTAATACCCTCGCATATGCGGCGGCATCGCATTGTGCAGCGTGGTTAGCCACCGTCCCGTTCTCCCTTCTGTCTGCATCTCAGTTGGCGATTTTCTCTTCCCCCATTCAACTCTGCTAATGGGTGTCATGATCAGTTGCATAGCCACAAAGTGAGCTTGCAGTAGCTGGCACACTTCATTTTTCGAGTCTGTGAACTCGCGGAACTCCTCGTGCGGCATCATCATGAACAGTTGATACACTTTGCCCAAACCGATGTAGGCTGCGCCACGTTAGCAGATGGCAGCGCCTACAACAGATATCTGACTTGCCTTCTTTCGATGAGGTGACTAGACTGCGTGCCATGCTGAGCAGAAGACCATACATGCCAATTTCCGTCTTTGTCTTGAGTAGTGGGGACATTTTCTCGAAAGACCGACAGGCTGCTGAAACTACTTCTTCGTTGATCAAAGGCGCAGCCGAGAGTTCAGCGTCCCTCGACTGCAGCTGCTCGTTACCCCAAAGCCTCTCGAACACAAATTTCATCCTCCTTTGACCCATTTGCATTCCGATCGTAAGGATGCCTCGGAGGAAAGATATGTACTCGGATAGCCCATCATTCAGCAGGACGGATTGGAAAAGTAATGTAAAACACGTGGCAATCATGGCGTTTCCTTGTTGCCAGGATTTGATACCCGCCGCTACGGCTTTGTTCAGGGACTCAATGGATTTTATTCGATGCATAATCGAGGTAGGAATGAGTTTCATGTCATTGCTGTCATCCGAATTGGCTGCTAGATCAGAGGCGGACAATGCGAGCATGGCGTGGAGCAGAAAGTCGAACTACTGCCATCAGTCAATGCTTCGTAGGCGGGCTAAGATGACTTACATCGCATGCCATACTCGGAACATCATGGGTCCATTGCCAATCGTTGTCAATTGGGTGATGAGGATAAGCCGAACTGATGAAGTGCTGGAAGAATCGGAAATCTTGCATTGTGAACACTGGTAAGTTTGACTGGGGAGCTGCCGGGATTGTAAGCTCTGGCATCGGGTTTCGTATAACTATCCCCACTTGGTTGATTTGAATCTCGGGCCATTCGCATTGCAGTCCTCGGTGGGCACAATAGTCACAGGAGGGCCGGTTTTCCTTACACTAGATCACGCATGAGCTGAGGGGTCTGAGGCATATAAATCGGTGTATATTACCTTGATGCGGGCCTTTTTACAATTAAAGCAGCCAGTCCTCGACTTACTGTGTCCCTTCCTTCCCCGCTTCTTGATCTGCCCGCTGTCGGCTTTCGCGATGGGGGCTTCTGGAGGCGACTCTCTTGCCGTATCATTGGGCGTAAGGGAGGCGCGGCTGGAGCTGGAGGCCCTCAAAGTATCAGGAGATGCATCCGCTTGAGTGTTTCCAAAGAAGCCTTCCATTCTGGTGGGGTGCGGCGTCGAGTGATTCAGCTGCAAGGCACTGGATGTCGGAAGAAGCAATACAAATTGAGTTCGCGTCGTTTCCAGTCTTCTGGAAGGGTTCTCTTTGAGGCTCTCGATGACTGTGCTTTCCTTCCCCTCTGCCCAAGTTACTGAGGAGTTTAAGTCGAGTTGAGCTCCCGTTTAGTGCAGATCAAGCTGAGGCTGTGCTAAAATCAGAAGGTTGTTGCCTGACGGCAGAAGTCCACACCGCCTCCCAATGTCACCACAATCACGTGTAAAATGGCTTGGCTTGCCCATTGTCATTGGATGACTGGCTGAAGGAATGAAATGAGAGATAACTTGGCTCGTGAAAGGAGGCGGAGCGGCTACTCGATGTCTTTTGAAGGTGCGAGGAAGCATTGTTTTGGTCTGCACCAGCGTTGAATCGGCACAGTCTCAGCGAACTGGCCAGACCAAGCTCACATCTCATTGGACGATGTACGATAAGTATCGAGATTCCATGGCGGCGAGATTTGAAGAGCCAATTTCTCTCCAAGCAACCTTATGTCAGGAGAAGGCTATGTTTGAGGCTGTGAATGAAACAGAGCAAAGCAGATCTGCCTTCCGGCAGCTGCTAGAATGGGGTAGAGATCATTTGCTGAAATTCATCTTTGGTGTTGCTGATCCTGACCCGCGCTCATAATTGTGTGGAACTCTTTGTATTAATCATTGGCGATGACATTCTGTAGGAATAGTTGCATGGCCTCAAACGCGATCAGTCGAAATGCGTGTTGACATGATGAGCAACGGCAACTTCATCGCCCTCAAACTCGCCGCACACTGGACACTTCGCCACAATCGTTGTCGAGTCCGAAGCAGCCATTGAGTTTCCGTCTTCATTGACCTCTTGCTCTGCAGCATCTGGACCCATATCATTCTGCTTCTTTTGTCGACCCCTGCGCTTCGACGTTGTGACCACATAGTCGGACAGACTCAACCCGGTACTCAGTGGCTCATCTGGTTCCTCTAACCTGAAGTCGCCATACCGTCTTCCAGTAAAACCTCCAACACGAGTCACGACAGGAGCAGATGTCGTTTGGAGGCTGGCATTGATCTCCATGCCCATCCTCACATCACCATTCCTCCCCAACCCACTAAGCCCCTCCGACCCCGCTTTGGCCGCCTCCTCACTGACGATCCTCTGAACTCTGCCGACACGACCATCTTGCAACCGGACTTTAATGCCCCTTGGGTGATCTCCTCGAGTCAAGAGTTCAGCGACGATGCCTTGGACTTCGTTCCCTGTGGGCTGGTCGACTTTCAGAACAATTGATACCGGAGCGCCGGGAATGACTTGTGAGATATTTGGGAGGGGATGCATTCCCGGGCCAGTGTTATCTCGGTCGTTGAAGCCTCCTTGTGGGCGTCCGCCACGGCCACGGCCTCCTTTTGATTGCCCACGACTAGAGCGATTTGCATGCCGAGTTGAGTTCATATTGGTGGGACGTGGGGGTGGCTGTGCAGCTTTAAACACGAGTGCGAATCCGCTTCGCGCAGCTTTGGCAAGTTAGTAGCTTTTGATCGAATGTGATGTCGATGCGTGCAAGTGCAGCTCTGAAGGAATTGATTTTGAGATGATGAGATGAAATGAAGAAGCTTACAAGCGACCCCTAGTGGGATCTTTTAGCGTGCTTTTCACGTGAGCTTGTCAGCACCAAAGATGTCCCGAATTAAAACAGGAAGATAAACCATACAGGAGTCCTCTATTAAAGAGTTTCAGTAGAGTTGTACTAGCATAGAGGGTGGTTAGGGTGTTCTGGGGAAGTTGAAGTTATGGTCATGTGACCTTCACCCAAAACCTCCCCCCTATTCCAGCCACTTCGATTTTCGCGGAGTGCAATACAGATTAGATTGTCTTTCTACTGAGACAAAGAGCAACTTTATCTGAGTTGCTTAAGTAATGAGGCTAAACCAGCGTTGTTAGAGCAGTCCGGAAGCAAGGCTAACAGAAGCCCTTGTGGGTACCCTTGGTCAAGACAGCTGAGGAAGACCAAAGACCTTTATCTTTGCCTCGCACTTCAATATTGCCTAATCCCTAGTACTCTGTGAGCTCAAATTGAGCTTGTAAAAGAAATATCTACTCATCGTTTGCAGCATTGAAGTGATCAGTTGCCCCAGTGTGCTATTATATACCTCATAATTTCCACCTTTTCCAATATGTGGAGCAGGAAATAAGAGCTAATTCTGAGGTTCAGGCGCTCTTAGATGATCAGAGACAAACTAGTGAGTAGTCTGCTGTCACAAAAGCCGATGATGCAGGGTGAGCAGCCAGCCATACAAATTCGAAACTCAACTTGGCGAAAGCGTTTTATGATAATAGAAGGTATAATGATTACACCCGGACCTAGTGGGCCCCAATTGAGTAAGCGGGGTGAAAACTTTGCCTAAGAGGATGTCTCAAACACTCATAGTTACGATCAAGACCGTCAAGGCGAGCGATCCCCTCCATTCGAAGCTTGAAATTCACAATTCAGTTCTATATAGGCCAGATGAAAGGACAGAGAGATGCGAGCCATATTTAGTTGTTCCAAGCCAGGTAAGAATAAGGTGAGCGGCTCAAGAAGAGGGGTTTTTGGTCAATCAACAATCCATGTGAGCGGCCACCTGCGATCCAAGCCGCTGTCTGTCGAGCCGCAATGCATGGACCGATATTCGCCCCTTCCTATATAGCCGTTGACTAAACCAGCCGCAATCCACTTGTAAGTTCTTTAACCTGTTCACTTTTGTTTATTTTTCTCTCCCACACAAATCCAATTCGCAAAATTCCATCTTCAACCAAAATCTAAATCCTATGTATCGCCCCACAGGGTCTCGCTCACGCAGTGTATGAAACTCGAGGTAAGCGTTCCCTTTGATCCCTCCCGTCATTCCTCAGATTACAAAACAGCTATTCAGCTGATCGTGACAGCCAGGACGATCACTCCCTTGATCCGCCCACCAAAACCGATGTCGGCTTGAACCGGTGTTCAACGACCAGGCAAGCATGGAGGACAGCCCCCTCCCCAGGAGTCGAGGTCGACCACTCAAACCGCAATTCGAAAATACAAACGCTCGGGGAGGGGTTAGCAGAGGCGCCGCTCTCTTCAAACAAAAACGTTCATTCAAGACATTATTCTGCACCCAGCCTTCTGTACGTTCTATTGCTCTATTATCCACGCCTAGCTGACACCTCGCTCAGGGGGTCGATCTCCCTCCCCAGAGAGATCGGCTCGAGCGCACGAATCACAATCTACTTGTCGTCTCTGACAAGCAAGTCAGACACTCGACGTTCTGTGCCTGCCTCATCGCCACACAAGTTCTTGTTTGGCACCAAGCAAAGCCCACCAAAGAAGGGAGAGAAGGATATGAACGATGCCGACGAGCCTGATCCATAGAACGAAGATGGCTATGAGGCTGTCTCTGACTCGAGTTTCTATAATCCTCGTAAGTTGCAGCCTTCTTCCTCCTTTTCATATCAGCACCTTACAAACAAAGCAACACCTTCACCTCCACCTCCGCATCGTCACACTGACCACCGCCATCAGATCGATCTTCCAAGTCGAAATCTCTCAAGGCCACATCGTCTATCTTTTGTCGCCTGCATCCAACGGTCTTTCCGGAACCCACAATGCTACAAAATTGTTCCGGTGTCTCAATCCTTCCGTAACCCCACCCTCGTCGTGAGAAGATATATGACTTCAACAAGCCAGCTGAATGTACCAAGAAGCTGCAGGAGGAAATTTCGAAGATCTTCGATGACAATCACCCTCAAGGACCGTTCTTCTTTGGCCGTGAAATGTCCTTTGTTCAATCCGCGCCCTGGATGATTCGTTTGACTCGGGTCATGAAGCATCAACGAGCTTGGCAAGATCCTACCCGGGGACAACAAACTACAAAATCTGTTTGAGTTGCCAGAAGACCGACATGCCGGCATCCATTTGATCAAACCTCTCCGTATGGTGGATGGAGCAAAGCAGCTACCATTTTCGAGCTGATCCAACATCGGGCCACCTACGATGTGAGCAAAAAAGCTACTCCCAAAGACGTAATTTTAGCAGCAGCTTTGCTGACTTTTCTCTTCAAGCAAAGGACTCGACACCACTTATTGCGAATAGAGAGCAAGATCTTCTTCGCCCAAAGATCGAGGATGTCCTACCAACCTTCTCGGGACGGTGACAAGGCCCAGCTTGTTCGAGCAACAATATGAGCGGCCGCTCATTTGTTATCCCTGGTAAAGATGACTTATGGCCGGAGACTCCGAGCATGGCCAGCACTTACCATAACGCTACTGGCCAGTATGGTGGTCACTATCAAGAACCCTGAGGCTTCTAGCCATTCGCTTTACCTCATAACACCGACTTAAACACTGCTATCCTGAAGAACCATCCGAACGCCTCCGAATTCGCAGGTGATTGCGAGCATCTGTGGGCCCTCCTCGACTTCACTGGAGTGGCGCTCCTGCTCAAAATCAAAAGAGATCGACTCCTTTTTGCATACGAATACGAAGTTGAATGTGATGGCCGTTGAGACGCTCGGTTCAGAAACTCGGCTGACCCGTGGAGATGTCTGGCACAGGAGTCAGTGTTCCTTGAACAAAGGGCCTCTCATGGCAATGCAGGAAAGGCAAAGTGCCAACGCTGTAGATAGCACTGCGATTTTGGCTCAAGTCATGATGTTGGTTCAATACGGGTCACCAGCACTTTATGTGAAATCTGTTTTCGCAGAGCAGCTTTCCACCCCTCGGCCTCCTTCCCTGTTACCGCCAACATGTTCTCTTGGATTTAGCTTATGCTAAACGGCTATTAAACTAGTCCTGGCGACGGAATTGGCATCTCCAAGCATTTTCAGATCAAGGTCCAAGAGAGTAACGATATGTACAAGTGGATTGATCCAGCCTCTGGATTGCCCCAACTTTTCACGATATCGAGTTCATTTACACAGCTGAGCCACTGCGTCCAATCAACTTCGATAGTGATATTTCCTCATCTTCGTTGAAGTCTCGCTAGATAAAATCCCCCGACGCACGCTATCGGTTCATCGATCTCCCAGGATGTCAACATCGGGACCATTATCACGGCACTCAAAGAATAACACACCGCCGAAGAGGTTCCTACAAGCCCAATCCATCTCAACTATAACCGTCATCGCTGTTTCTATCTCTACCTTCGAATAACTAACCACAACACGAGCCGAGGTCAGCATTGAGGCATGCTCGCCCAGGCAGACGCCCAACCCACCCACCTCTTTGGCGCAGATTATCGCTACAGGATATCACCAACGTCCATAACGACCTTGATAATACTTGGATTTCTCATCGTATACTCGGTCGGAGGCTCAGGATCCTACTGTCTATCAATATTGGAAGGGACATTGCGCTAGCGCTTCTCCCTCGACCAGTCGAGAAATCGATACTTAACCCCAAATGTTACATCTCGACCGGTGTTTACTTTCGCCCATTTGTATGTTTTGGTCTTGCGCAACGGACTGCTATCTTCTGAAGAACTGCTTTCCATCCGTCTCGCCAAACACCACTTCAAAATCACCAACCGCACGCTCAATGATCCGGTTTCAATTGAAATCAATTTTTTACAAACCACTGCTGTCCAGTGCCTGCTCCCTGTTCAACTTCGGCTAATGAGCCTTGCAAACCAAAGCCTACTTGCCCAAGCTACCCAGAAGCCACGAGCCTGACCAAGGGAACTGGCGAATTGTGCGAGGGGACCACCCTCGAAGGTAGCCGATCGGTAACATTTTGCGATAAAACAAGGACTCCAATCGCCTTGCCTACTGTCGTGCTGCCTCTCGTTAGGGTTGCAAGGTTTTCGGAGCTTCGCTGCAGAAGGTAGCCTTGTTACGACTTTTTACTCCCTCTCAATGACCAAGTTTGAACAATCTTCCGGCCCTGGTCAACAGCCTTCGTTCCACAATCTTCCTTTTATTCTGGGAAATAACTTAAAGATGTCGACCTTCTCAAGAACAAGCTGCTGGGTTATCTTTATTTTCGTTTCCCAAAAATCCTTGCACGTCTCTGTAATTCAGTCGATGAGGCACCGAGATACCCCTGCTTCACGGGAGATTATTGCTGAGCTGCTGAGACACAGCATTCAATACAACGGAGATGTTAACTTCATAGTCTTGAAAGCAACACCGACTTATGCCAGTACGAACGCCATGCTCGAGAACCGAGTTGGAAGGTTTCTTAAGTAGGAGTTCAGCTGCAACATGCTGACCGGTATGCTCCATCACAAGTTTGCCACGGACACATTGGGAGAAAGAGGTCAACGATGTGGTCTTCAAGTATGCATGGAACTGCTCGGAATAAGACGTTCTACTAAGAGGAGGAGCCGGTGGAGCTTCTTTCGCACTCGCTTGTCTTGGAGAGTGCATCGCCGCCGGGTATGAAATTTAGATTTCGTCACCAACACTACTCTGTTGCTACCGATAATAAGCCTTAGAGAGATGAACATCAAGGGCGCAGTGGAAGCTGTTCCTTAATCTACAATACTTCTGATCGTACTTTGCCGTGCGTAAAGACCTCCTCGAGCGATGTCTGGCCCCTGCTTCCAACCCGACCTGCCCCGTCTGCAAATTCTCGGCAGAGCAACCGATCTATATCAATGAAACGTACCACTCTATATCACTTACGGCTTTTCTTTCACCCTACTTTCCGCCTATTATCTCGTCAGTCACCTCCGATAGCCACATCCGAATTTTCGGTCTTCGAACCCTGCCTCTGCCTCAACCATTTGGTTCTGTTGATCCCAATCTACGATGCTGCTCTCGCTCCACTGCAAGGGCGTGAATCTTCAGAAATTCATTACCCAAAATCATCACCCAAGTCTCCAAGGGAGTTTCCCAGCATTTGGTACTTCTTCAAACACCACTCTTCAAATGTCAATCCTTCAAATGTTATCCCGTACAGTGGTCACTATGGTGCTCAAAACGGTTGTCAACCTGGTCCACAGTACGGTTCTCACTATAGTGGCCACTATCTAGAACCTGACGATCCTCACTCACTGGAGATGCCCAGCACCTACGACCCTTCTCAACTCCGATCCCGTGCCAAACTCCATTGATGCCGGTCGCTACCATCCAATCACTTGTTTGCAAGAAAACAACTCTTAGGCAGGCTATCCTGCATCAACAAGCTTTGAGACCCAAAACCACCAGCCCTTGGAGCAAGTGATCAAGGAGTTCCGGGGTCCAAGAAGTGCCAACATTCCATCAGTTCTTCAAACACCAGCTCTTCAAACGCCAATTCTTCAAACTCCATTGATGGCAAGGATCTCGGTGTTGTTTGTCTGCTTGCTTGGTAGTTGGGGCAACCCCAACGGCATCATCTCCTCTAACATCTACCGCAACGGTCCCAAGTTCACCGCCGGCCACTCAACTGTCATGACCTACATGGTGTCTGCTGCTTGGTGGCAGCATCGCTATGCGCACCTTGCTTGCGAGAGAGAATAAGAAGCGTCTGGCCGGTCAACGTGACCGCTGGACTCGAGGCATGTCTCATCGCGAGGCAGAGAAGTTGGGAGACGAGCGACCAGGTTTCATATACACTTTGCGATTTCTATCTCTTATCCAACTCGTGTGCCCGTCATCCTCGGTGTTTTCTCTGTTTTCCTCATCTTGATTCATTCTGTTCCACTGATGATGCGGTGGTACCCGAGTTGAGTTGATTTGATATGGGAGAGAATGGTGTGCTATCATGGAAAGTTTGATCGGGGTCTGTGTACGATAGGCGAAGATTTAACATTGGCCTAGGCCAGTGCTTGATGCAGAACTCATCATCGTCGACTTGACCCACTAATGTCTGCCTCGCGGCGTGCTCTATGCCATCGAGCCAAAGCGTACGGCACCGGCTTTCATGCATACAAGTACAACAAGGGGCATAACTGCCGTTTCTTGTGACTGCAGACACCAGGGATATCATTTCTGGTTCTTGTACTTACTTTCAAGTTACAGTTGGAACTGTGTCCACTTTTCTTTGGATGTATGAATATCCCCTATACCACCACTTGTACCACCACTTTCCTTTGTCTCACGGTGTACTATAGAGACGAGCTTTTGACTTGGCTATAGTGTAGATTTGTAGTTTACTGAAATCGTGGAGGATCTCGGGAGGTCTTGAGCTGTCTTGGGGGATTGATGGGGCATTGCTGTATTTAGCAACCCGACCAACTTCAGCCATTTGTTCCAGCTAGACTGCAATCCTCGAAAAGGCAAAAACGTCTGTCTTGCCCTGCATTGTGACTGCATGCTTCCCTGCGTGACAGAAAAGCCCAAGTCAGCTCCACAGCATTCCTTGAATCTCCAGTTCGTTTCGAGGCAGCCAGATCATTAGACTCTGCAGATTCCGAGCTTGAAGACATCAGCATTTCTTGAACAGAAAACTTGCCACGCCAACCTCAACCGGCACAGAAGAAGAGCGAAGGCGATCGCGACAGTTCAGCCCTTCAGCCTTCTAGACAAATCCAGAGCGAACAGCGAAATCATTGAGAGCTCACCGACAGAATCATCAACTCACCGAAGAGGAAATGAACGGCAACAAACACTTCAAAATCTTTGGGTGGGAGGGGGAGTTGGGAGACAAAGCATGGGAGGAGTTTGCATTGCATTAGGGCTGCGTGTTAGTGGACTTGTATAATAGTTCGATAGAATTCCACTCATGCTTTGAATGAATGTCCAGAGATCCGATCTCAATTGTTGTATTTTTGACGAGCTTGAAGACGTTGAGCCGGACCGCTGCAGTTGAGATGTGGTTATTTGAACACTGGCAATGGAATATGTTCACGAGGCTAGGTGCTTGGATGAATGGAAGCATGTGGGAAGGGAAAAGGGGGAAGCGAGCACGTGATGCATGACTCATTAGGGCTCCCGACTTGAGATTGCCATGGGGAGACTTCAGTAGGGAGGCTAGTCTTTCTCCTACTTTGGAATAGGGCTTTCGGTGAGGAATGGAAGGAGAGTGATCTCATACAAGTTAGTAGACGTTGCAGGTGAGCGGGGCCGAACAGCCATGTCACCTAGACCAGTGAGTGCTGAGTTGGGATATGGAATTGACAATTGTCTGGATTTTCACAGTGTGTTGTTAAGTGTGGGGCCCTCGGTCGCGAGCCATTGAATGGCCCAAACCGCTTCATGAAATGGCAGTGGCAGAATGCGAACAAGGTGCCACACTCGAAGGATGTTTCACGATCCACTGAGTGGTTTGGAAAGTACTCAGTCACCAAGTCTTCCACAGACTATAGGGAAGTCAACTACGCTCGCCAATTTATCATTCTTTGCTAGTGAATCACTAGTAGCTGAGTATTCGCAGACCTCCAATTTCTTTCTAGTTGAACTCCATCTTCAAAAACCCGAGCTTGGCCGAGAAGTAGGCCTTGCTGGTACTCTTCACTAGTTGGCCCTAATCCCTCACAATGTAGCATGTGGAATCTAAAATGACCGAAAGCCTGCAGCTGAGATGCACTCAACCTACGCAATGATTTGTTGGCAGCTTCTCTATCGAGAGGACGGAAAACAAAGGTCGATTTGCAGTCTTGTCCCAAACTTATGTCTAGTTGATATGCAACATCTGGCGGAACCAGTACAATTTGGCCGCTTTCCAGAGTTGCAAGTCGACGCCCAGCATGGATGGACGCTTCTTTCACTTGGAAAGTATGAGCAAATACGAGCCCAGAGAGCTTCCAACTATTAAAGCTCCTCTCTTTAGGGAAAGATGCGTGATTTATTAAAGGGATCAAAGAGTATATTGATCACGGAAAATTGGGTTTTGGTAGAAACTGCCGGCCTATGGCTTGAGAGTAGTGGCCGTATACTTTCCAGTACAACTCGTTGCGCCAATCGGCCTGGGAGGAAGTAAGTGTAGCTTTAGTGATAATGATTGTCGAGAAACCACCTAAAATCTCTCACAAAAAAGCTTTCATCATCTCCCAACACGATGATATCTGACGGATTCCAGGGAATCACTCGACTAACCTCAACAACCTTGAAAGAGTCCCCTGAAACTAATAGCAGTCGTGAATTGGGAATCCATGAGTGTGGCCTTTGAAAAGCCGCCTTTGCACCCGACAGCCACTTCCACCCTCTTGGTTTGATAATCTGAGGCTGCTTGAAAGGGTGAACCGACCAATCTGGTGCCCAAGACGCAAGGTTTGACATTCTTTTAGACGGGCAGAGAGCCTCTCTGTAGGAGAAAATCTCCAAGAATCCATACCACTCCATCATGTCGCGTGCAAAATCCATGAAAACGTCTTCAACTGACTTCCCGTACTCAGGGGCTCTCAACAGAGACTCATTGGAACCAAACGGCACCCCGTCTAATGGCATTCCCACCAAGACCATATGGCCGAAAATTATATCGCGAGGATCTGTGACACCCAATCCACGACGAAAAGTCACGAGATCCAAGAGTGCAAGCTCAGACACACCTTGTCGCTCTACTTTGTCTATTCGGTACGCTGTCCTTATACCATTGAGTGATCGCAGAGTCTCGAATTCGGTGTAGTAATTCTCAAGTGCGATGTACTCCGAAGGGAAAACCGCGGGTGAATGATCCGATTCTTCGACCACTGACGTACAAAGCAAGGTACCACAGAAGGTTGTCCATTTCAAGCGTGATTTACCACACTGGACCCAAGGGTCGCGGGAGAGAACCAATCCTTGAAAGGCCCAAATGCGAGTGAACCACGCTCGGTCCAATAATTCTCTTGCAACGAGCTGTAGTTGAAGCTCTTCGGGTGATTTATGGCGTTCGTCTTCCTCAGAGGAGATATCTTTTGCCGATGACACCGCATATTGAAATGCCGCATCGATGGAGGGAGTGGAATGGCCCAGATAGATGACCGTGTGCCGTACGATTGAATAAATCTGACCCATCAGAGACACCTGCTGGTTACGCTGGTCATCATCTTGCTGGTCGATACATATAGCATCGGCCCATAGTCTGATAGCTCTCTTTTCCTCTCTCAGATTATAGAGAGCCTCGCTCAAGTTCCTGGTGATCTTGAACTCATGATCCTCGAGATAAATGTTCTGCAAGTCGTCCGTGGACCCCTAGACGTACGACAAGGCTACATAGTGTTCGAAGAGATCTAGGTCACAGGCCGATATTGTGGTGTCGGTGAGGTCGCAACATATCCTAGCTGATGAGGCTGGTGCAGGATGCAGAAGGAGGATCCGGATTGAGCCTGGAGAATCAAGATGTTTGTATCTGAACTTGGGTGTGATATCGGGGAGATTTGCCCTCTTTGCGCAGGGATATGAGAAACTCGGTTTCATGGAATAGGTGCTCAAGTCCAGTGCCAGTAAGTCCCAACTTTTCGGAGTATTGATACCTCTTGCAGCAATATCCGACAGCCGGTGGAATATTCTACCCCCAAAAATATCCTAAAGGAGGGTGCTAACTCCTATTTCTTGGGGATAGGGGGGTTAACACGATGACGACGCGTGGAGTTGCTGTCGCTATCGTCCATGTTACCTCGGGTTTTCAACCAAGTGAGACAGGATGGCGCTGGTAAATGTTGACTGTACTGGGAGTTTCTTCTCATCCGCGAGGGAGAGGTCCGGAGTATTCAGGGGGTGCGGTGAAGAGACACAAGGTCCGAAGAGGAGAATGAGCGAGGAGTTGAGATACAAAGGCTTTGAGAACCCGAGGTTCTGCAGGTATGAATGGTGGCCGTTGTTCATATCATTTGACTAGGGATCACAGCGAGGTGGTGGATCCGTTAATTTAAGAGGAGTTGACACATGTATCTGTCGGGGACAGCTGCACATTTATTCCATGGATTATCCAACAAAAAGATCCTTGGCTGCGACCTTGCGCACCTTGACGTTGACGACAAGTCTCTTGTGGGCGCCTTTCACAGCAGCATCAACAGGAATACTTCCATGTATCATTGGTTAGCATGCGCTAATTACCCTGTCGACGTAATCAACTTGCTTTGGTTTCCCTGATCCTGCTGCAAAAAGCCCTTGAAGACCTTCTCGCAATGTGTATGTTGTAGTAATTTTCCAGAAACGAGACCCATAGCGCTGGTCCAAGACCTGACCTTGAGCCTGAGCACGGGCACGAGCAAATCCGGGTCTCATGGATTCCGGATCTTTGGGATAGCACCATTGTCGTGCTCAAGGTCTGATTGAGCTGGTTCGTCCGCCGCTAAACTTGACCCAATGCTTGGGGCTACCAGATGGAAGAACCTTGGTCCTGAGAGGGTGGGACTCTGAACTGCTAGCGAAACAAGCTTCGGGTTGGTGGTTGGGGGGAGGGGGTGCGGTTCCCGAAGCCTCGTTCAAAAGAATATAGTTGGACGTAGCCGGGGTGCCTCTAGGCGTTTGGTCAGATTTGGGAAATGAGGCTCGTCGCCACCTTCTGCCTAGATGTTGTTGTGGTGGTGCCCCATAAGATTGTGCATCCTCTTGATTAGCTCCCCTTGCTTTTGGTACGTTGAAGTGGGAAGTTGTGTAGGTAGAAGCTATGGCTGTACCTCAGATCTTGGACTCGAAAAGTGAGAAGGAGTTGAGACAGTACCAGCAGCATCCGCAGCGGCGTAGCCAATGAGACATTGGACGCCAGCCATTGATGCAGGGTATGGGAGGAGTGTTGAATTTCGATTGAGGGCGAGCGTATGGCATTCATGAAGAGGAGCAAGGCATTCTGAGTGTGGCAAGACATTTCAGCAGTAGACAAGCTGACAGGCGACCGGCAAGTACCAAAACCGCGATTTTGTCGCAGAGCGATAAAATCGCCACTAGTACCTCACAATATTGGCCAACACACAACTAGACCAAGAACAACTCAGATATACGTCAAAGAGCGCCACAAGGAGCTGCCAACTGTGGATGTCGACTTCGGCTAACCGAATTATTCCCCTGCGGCCGCATTGCCGCATAGCCACATCCGAACGCCTGAGCAGGCGAGCCTCCACAAAACAGGCTCCGATCTTGACATTGCTGACTCGATACAGGCAACATCTACAACTCAGTAAATTCAGCAACAGCAACGTGCAATTCTAGTCACATACGGTACCTCTGCAAGCACAACCGGACCGACACCAGACCAGTCAACCGGTCCTTTTCAGTCATAAAGGGCAACCCTCGTGGGCCGTCCGGGTCTCAGCCAATTAAAATTCCGGGTTGGTTTTGTATGACAACTTTGGTCCCGCCTGACTCCGGCCAGAGCAGCTGCTAATGTATCGCTCTAGACCTTCAACAGACTTCGGCTTTTGCTCTGCATTGCAGTGAATACCCCAACCATCCTCGACACAATGGCTCCCAGCCTTCCAGTTACTCACCCGCCTCCACGTATATACCTGCTTCACTTGGTACAATGAATGGTCTTGGTACTCCAATATAGAGAGATCCGAGCAATGGCTAACGTACTACCAGTTACTGGCGCAATGATTATAAACGACTCTACCATCGTTGTGGCACCGACTGCAATGGCCTCGACAATCTCCTCCTCAAAGATTTCATCTATCGCTCTGCTCGTAGGACTGCAACTTCACACAAGTCACTGGCGAACGTGATGTCTCTAGGCAGACGGCTCGAGTGCTTACAGTGGGGTCCTAATCAGGAGCTGATCAGATGTGTTTTGTGTTGTGAGGGTGGGGGTCTCTATGGATGCTTCTATGATATGGGGAACGCAATGGAAGTGAGTAGGGACAATAAGGTCTCTAAGGGGGATGATGGGCAATAAGTGGAGCAGTAGGCTTTGTTACATTGAAGGCCGAGATAACGATCAGTCTTTCAGAAGGTGTGGGCCTCTAATACATAGTCCTCGAGATGGCCAGAATGGCGCTTCCACGGGGGTGCCGCGGAGGACGGCGGAGAAGAAACGTTAGTCATATTGATACATAGGAGACGCGGTGGGAGTTATCCCAATGCAAAATTGTTTCATTTTCTCGTACAAGGGTTTTCGGAACAAATCAACAATGGTACCCATTGGAAGACTCCCGAGGTGTCTTCCATCCTTCAATCACTTCTCGTCTATGCAAAACTTGGTCAAGCGCCACCCCTTCACCCCCTTGCAGCAGCAGCATCCCCTCCCCTGATCCCTCCATCACCCCTCTGACCAAACCCCCACCCAATCTGCTTCGCAACCCTCACTTCGACGCCCAACTCCCCAGCCCACTGCCACACCAACCCTGGATTCTTCTGAAACGCCCTCGCAACAAGCACCGCATCCGCTTTTCCCTCCTTCACAATGTTCTCCGCCTGCTTGCCCGTCGTAATCATGCCGACCGCCCCGACCTTGGTATTATCTCCCTTCCCAGCCTCCTCAAGCGCCTTCTTAATTGCTTCTGCAAAAAGGACTTGGTATCCTGGCCCACTAACGACTTTCTGGGCAGCCATCAGCGCTGCGGACGAGACGTCGAGAAAATCGACGCCGGCTTCGGAGAGAGCGAGAGAGAGTTGTATCGCCTGGTCGATGTCCCAGTTGTTGGTATTGGGCGGCATCCAGTCCGAGCCTGGGATTCGGACAAGAAGGGGCATGGTGGAGGGAATTGCGTCACGAATTAGGGAGGTAAGTTCGAGGAGGAGGCGCATGCGGTTCTCCAGGGAGCCGGAGTAGGGAGCGGGCAGATTGTTGGTTGCGGCGGAGAGGGTGGAGTGCAACAGGTAACCATGGGCGGCATGGATTTCGATTGCCTGCATGGGGGAATTAGTTTGGATGGAGAGGTGGGGGGGAAGGACTTACGTCAAAACCGGCTTTGAGTGCTCGGTGAGTGGCGGCGAGGAAGGATTGTTTGAGACTTTGGATGTCTTCTAGGGTCATTGTGTGCGGGAGACAGGTGTGCTCGTCGTATGGATCGCTACTGGCACTGATGACTTTGTCTGGCCATCCGCCAACCTGCGCAGCATGGTCAGTCTGGAATCATAAGAGCGAAAATGTGCAAGCTCTCCTACCTCAGCAGTAGCTGTAGCTTTGCGATCAATCCATGGGGCAACAGTTGAGGCTTTCCTCCCAGCGTGAGCCAATTGAATTGCGATATGTTGGTTCTGACTATGTGCAAATTCCACAATCTTCCTTAGAGGTTCAACCTGGCTGTCCTTCCAAAGTCCGGAATCTTCGGGTGTGATTCTACCCTCAGGAGTTACTGCTGTCGCTTCCACGATGGTCAACCCGGGGCCGCGCTGGATAATCCCACCGAGATGAGCAAAGTGCCACGCTGTATGATGTCCGTCCTCTGCTGAGTATTGACACATAGGCGAGACGAAAATTCGATTCTGTAGAGTCAAGCCCCGTAGTTTCAGGGGTTGGAAGAGCTTGCTGGTGGATGTTTCATTGGCGTGATAGATCGCGGCTCCTGAGGGGACGTGTTGTTCCGGTGTGAAGTATGAGAACTAAAAAAACCATTGTCTTAGAAACATGCCTATTAAAACGACTCCTGGAGAAATACGTACCTTTGGCGCGGCTCGACTTTTCCATGGGTTCTCAGTGACATCTCTCGAGAGGGGATTTGATGTTGGACTTGAAGTGTTTACCATAGTGGAAGATATAATATTCTCGGAAATATTTTGAATTTGAAGTGCTAGATCTGTATTGACGTCCGAATGCAAGTGTGACGGTGATGGAAAGAGAGAAAGTCTCGTTGCGAGGAGAGAGAGATATATGGAGTAGCCTGGAAAGCATATCTGAAATCCGACTTACATCCGGCTTGTCCCGTAAATTCGTACTTCATTGCAGAACAGTGGCTAGGGAGCTCTTGACGTACGTGGATGTTGACGATTGCTGCTTGCGGGTTCGCGAATGGTTGACTCATCACGTGCAGCTCGCCGAGATCTCGGCGAGGGACAGGGATGTGCGGCGAGCTCGCCGCCTTTGCTCCACATTTCTGGGGCACTGAGTAAGCAAAACTGCTATTGACACCAACGATGTCAGTTCAAGCAGCTCTCAACTGGGATTCCAATTTCTAATCAGTCTGCCGCTGATGAGTCAAATATGCATAAGTGCAAGAGAATGGAAGCCTGGACGAGTATAAGAGAGGCTGCGGCCAAGGAACTGATAGCATCAACCAAACAAACGTCAATCAACTCATTCAATCAAATCAAATCATACTTCAAATTCAAGGCTCATTCATATCCCAATTTCTCAGTTTTATTTCAAGACACAAACAATCATTCTTGTACGATGTCGTCGTCCCCGCCAAGGATTTTCGTGACCGGTGTCTCAGGCTATGTCGGAGGCCACATGATGGGAAGACTTCTCAAGAAGCATCCAGAATGGCACATTGCAGTTTTAGTCCGAGACCAAGCACAAAAAGCGATCGTCCTTGGGAGATGGCCTCAACTCGAGGCTGTCATCGGCGACCTTGACAACAGTGCTTTGATGATTAAGGAGGGATCAAAAGCCGACGCTGTCCTTCGTGAGTACTGTATAATCCGAATAGCAGTTAAAGTATATTTGCTAAATACCCGAGCAGAAACTGCATCTGCGGACCATAACTCTGGCGTGGTCTCTCTTATCCAGGGCCTGAACCAGAGACAGCCAACTCCCGGTTACTTGATCCACATTGGTGGCACAGGAATCCTTCATGACACGCCGAATGGATTCGGTGAGCTATCAATTACGCAGAATATAGAAGAATGCACTGACTTTATTTAGGCCAGCCGTCTGACAAAATCTACCACGATACCACCGACTTGGCAGAAATCACCTCTTTCCCAGTCGAGGGTCATTTACATCGCGATGTTGACTTGGCAATTCTCGAGGCCCAGAAGAGATTGAACGTTCCAACTGCCATTCTGTCACCACCTTTGGTGCATGGAGTAGGAAAAGGCCCGATCAAGACGAGAAGCATTCAGATCCCTGCCATGGCTGAGGCCATTCTCAAGCGAGGCAAGGGTTTCCAGATTCTCGAGGGCCGGAACATTTGGGATCGTAAGCAAACATTGAGGAAGAAGTACCAAAGATAACGCTGATAACTCTAGATGTGCATGTTGACGATCTCTCTGAGGCTTTTATTCTGCTTGCTGAAGAAGCTTTGAAGCCGAATGGTGGAAATGCACAATGGGGCGACGAAGGGTACTACTTCGCCGAAGCAGGGGAATTCGTAAGTCCTCCCCCATGTCACACATAGACAATTGCAGATAACTGACGGTTAAGCAGAAATGGGGAGAAGTCTCAGAGGCCATCTCAAAGATCATGACTGATGAAGGACTTATCAAAGCAGCGGAGGTGGACAAAGTCTCAATTGCAGAGGCAGCAGCTATGCATCCCTGGGCTCCTATTATTTGGGGTGGAAACGCCAGAAGCCGATCTGACAGACTTCACACACTAGGATGGAAGCCACAAGGCCCTAGCTTGTATGAGAGCCTGCCGTCGATGATCAAGGAAGAGGTGAAGACTTTGGGCACCCAATCATCGAGGCTGTCTTTCGACAAATGAGTTGACAGCAGCTCCTGGAATATTGAGAAGATAGACAATGCGTATATATGAATACTGAAATAGAGACTTTGACGCTTTTTGAATATTTTTGTTAAGAATTCCGTGTTGCTATTGGCCCAGATCCGGGGAAGTTCCCACCCCACAGCTGCACAGTCAGCGGTCCGCATCGCGACAAAACCGACTAAACCGACTCTTCTCATTCCCGTAAACCTCCAAGACTTATTACCATTAACAGGTCCGCCGCTCACCAATATGGCCTCACTAGAGGCCGGGATTGACATCGATGCTCTAGCACTTGCCAAACCATGCATAGCCTGTCGCAAAAGGAAGGTAAAATGCAGCAAAACGCGTCCATGTTCAAATTGTGCGCGTGCCAAACAGCTCTGCAACTACGATGGCGATGAGCCTGGGCCAGATACTGCGAGACAAAGCATTGAAGGATCCGCGGATGGCGAAGTTCGAGAGAGGCTTGCGAGGCTGGAGAAATTGATGGAAATGATGATGGTAAGGGAGAATGGAGGAGTCGCGACGAGATGGAGCCCTGAAATTGCAGCTGCGGGTAGCGTTGCAGCCGCCAAGGACCCGCTTTCACGCCTCACTCACAAGCCTTCCCTCTCTCCTTCTCTTTCACAATCATCACACCAAAACACAGCTCCAGCTGTTGGGGCATCGGATGCACCCCTGGGGCAAATACTGTTCCAAGAACTTCATTCGGCGTATTTTGATTCGGATTTCTGGGCTGGCCTTGTGACCGAGGTAGATTCAAATACACTTGAACCGTTTGAGAATTTCACTAACAGGAGTTTCCATCCAGATCGAGGACCTGAGACGATTGTTTGATCCTCCTTTGGAACAATCCCCTCCATCGTGGGTGTCACTTTCCATCATGGGGATATCGCCCCTCACAGGTTTGAGCTACGGGCACCCCACCCTCGAAGAGAGTAATCTTTTGTGCAAGCTCTTCTTCGAGACGGCCAACCCCTTCGTTCGGGTTCTACATCAAGCCCATTTTGGGAGAGAGCTGGATCGATATCGTCGTGGACGCCTGGACTGGCCCCACGAATTTGAAGCTCTTCTTTGTGCCATGAACCTTCTGGCAATCAACAGCCTTCGGCCCGAAATTGTCCAAAGGGCGTTCGGTACATCGAAAAATACCCTAGTATCCCAGTATCAGTATAGTTGCCAATGTGCCTTAGCCAAGGTCGACTTTTTCAAGACCGACAAGATCCATGCCCTGCAAGCACTGATTCATTACTTGGTATACCCATCCTATTGAGATCAACAACGGTCACTAATCCTCTCTCTAATCTAGACATTTTTATTTCAAGAAAATCTTTATCAAGATGCAAAAGCACTCCTTGGAGTGGCGTCACGGCTGGCCCAGACCATGGGTCATCATCGTGACCCGAGTCTTTTCCCTTTCTCGCCTTGGGTCTACGAGATTCGAAGGAGGATTTGGAACCATTTATGCTGTCTTGATGCAATGGCTCTGACTTTCTATGGAGCTGAGTCATGTCTCCCAGCAATATCAGATGCACAACCACCTCAAAATGCAAACGAGATCGACTGGCATACAAGTCGTTTTGCCAACCCCTCGTCTGTTCCTTCTAGCTCTGGATTTACCGATATGACGTTTGCCCTTGTTCATCGAATCATTGCAGATACAACACGTGCCCTAGCACGTGTTAATCCCCTTGATTTTGAAAAGAAGGAAACCATTATACGCCAGACAGAAGCTGACCTCCATAACGGCTATCTTCGTGATACCGCTGATCCATCACACAAGATAATTGCTGCGTTCGCAGAGGTCAGGATCGCCAATTTACGACTCTCCAATCAGCATCGTCAAACACAGAAGGTGACAACACAGCCCTTGGACCCTGGAAGACATCAGTGAGTTTTCTTGCCATTTCCAAAAGTCCATGACACTCCTGATACTTGCACAGAGTTTTTATGGCAGCAATTGAACTACTTGAAGCTTTTGAGTACCATTCTAAAACCTTTATCTCCAACAATTGGGAATGGATCTTCGAAACCATCATCCCATGGCTAGCCATCGCCATCGTCCTGACCGAGCTACCCCGCGCGACTCAATCATCCGACATCGACCGCGCCCAATGGCAAATCAATCTCAACTTCCAAAGGTTTTCCGACCCTTTGAAACCAGTGTCTGGCACTCCGATGTGGAAACTTCTTATCCAGCTTCGGGAGAACATGCCAGAGTCGCCCGCTCAATCACCATTGAGCTACAGAGGTGTGGAGCCAGCGAGCAGTCAGCTATTACAAACTGCTACAGCAATGGCGTTTAACACTGACTTAATGTTGGGTTCTGAACTGTATCCGGCTGGCACTGAGACCTCTCTGTATGAAGATCAGTTCATGCTAGATCTTCCTTGGTAAGTATCAACCTTACTCTTGATTGAATGTACCAATAGCTGATGGAGCGTCTAGGTTGAACACCCAAGTACCATACTGAGTCGAGACCTCAATCGTAGCGAATGGAAGATATATTTTTCAATGCCGAGTCATCGCGACTGTCCTGAAATGCTGTCGACCAATTAAGGCTCTCGAAATCTAGCTCGTTACTTTTCAAAAATGTGAATAGAAAAGCTTATTTCGCCGCCCCCCAACCTCAAAAGCTTGAATACCCCTCCTTTAGCGCCCAGCCTCAACCCTCCATCAACAAACAAACACCGACCAAGCCAGCTCTGAGCACAACCTCAAGTCAGACATTACCAAAGGTGCTTCCATCGCCATCTTCCTACCCTGGACTTTCACCGCACCCACGCGGCCGGATACAGAGTGGAGCTTTGTTGGTCAAGATTGTGAGTTCCTCATTAGCTTTGACGAACAGACGGAGAGTGGTAACCTTGAAAAAGGTCTGCGGGGCGCTGTGATCGAAGATCCCGCCTACGTACAATTGGCACGGGATAGGGAGGAATTGAAGAGCAGATTGGCAATGAGTCGGCGCATTAACGACTGTGACCTGGTTCAGTCAATACCACCAGTCTGCCAGTGATTGTGTTGGTATATCTTTCGGGGCATATATCAGTTCCAGTGTCGAGTCATTGTGATTGTCCTGTAGTGCCGTCAACACATGAAAGCCCTCGAATTTTGATCATTCACTTCCAGATAAAATTTCACTAAATTCTAAAGACCCGAAGTCAGTGAATGAAAATTGACATTTCATATCTTGCAGCCCCAGGTTTCAAAAAGCTTAACTACACTCTCTCTTGCCGCTGAACACCATCTCTCCCCAACAAACAACCCCATCTTATTCACAGAACCCACCCCGCCTTACACAGACTGGCGTTTTGAGGGTCCCTCGAGTAAGCGCCCCTTATTTTGGGAGGAACAGGTAAGACTGATACAAGAAATAGATCTCATGGGCGCGATCGTCACCGCTTCACCTGGACATCAGAGCGAGATTGACCAGATGATCAAGTTGGCTGGGGAAGCCCTGGTTGCTACTATCTCCCAGTGTGTTGATAATATTGATGAGGTGTGCTTCCCCTCCAAGATGGTGTATATGAGGTTGCTAATCTATCTGGTGACAGATCAGGCAGAGAGTCGAGGGAGCTGGTGGGGAGTCTCGCAGTGCCAAGGAGCTTGGAGAGGATGGTTGCTACTACATGTTGTTTAAGGATCCAGATGGCAATAGGTTCTCTGTTTATGAAAAGAGTGGAAGATAGGGTGGTTAACAAAGTGATATGAAGTAAATGGTGTATGGGGGGAAGTGGTCCAGGAACCGGTTGCGAAAATGCGGTTTCTTTTTCGCCAACTCAATGACCTAAGCAATGAAGTACTTGATTGCCTTTCCACAATACCATCAAACTAGCAGTTGCAGCATTGATACATTTACTAAGCAATCTTTAACCTGAATTTTGCATAGTGCCAGACAATGAATCGGAATATCTACTGCCTTCCCCATGATTTAGCCCCTTAAACACCACCATCTTTCACTTTGTATTTAACAGCAATGGCTATCCCAATATTCCACCTTCTTTTCAGACAATAAATCACTGCATCCACGTTTGTTCCAAAACCTAGATGACAGAACCCCCCTCCCAACCAAACCAGCTCCCACCTCACGATTCACCTTGTTGGATCGAGAACCCCGCCGTCGACGTGCGCATATGCAACGTAATCCTCCTTTCTTTTTTTCCGTCAATCTATCCATCAAAGCTAATTAGCTCTTCTTATGCAACAAAACTACGGCGCCACACTTTTCCCATCGTGTAACTTCTCTGCATCGGTGGCAAGAACCGGGAGACAGACCGGCCCTCCACTTATGTTTCCGGTGCGTTTTCTCTTCAATGAGAAATGCCATATATTTGTGAGCTGATCAAACGTTGGTTAAGTATCTCAGGAGCTATCATCACTTTCCCTGCTGCTTGCAAGGAGATGACAGCCAGGCTGCAATTCGGCATGTTTGCCGCGGCGCCCTGTGTCGTTGGTTCTGTTGAGGAGGTGAGTGTTTTCCTTACTTGAGCTTGGGAGAGAGCAGTGGGTGAAGTTAGCTGACGAAGGAGGCGAAGACACACAAGCTTGTTAAAGATCTAGGTGGATGGACAGCTGTTGGGAAGCTGCGGGAATGGAATGATTTGGCTGGGTTCATGAGTTGGGGATGGACATAAAGTCAAGAACTAAGAAATCTTGTGAAGATGGTTGAAAACTTACTCTGGCTTATGCGGGCGGGAAGGCTCTGCGACATTCGGAATTGGCACATCATGGTAAAAAAAAACTGGGTTTCCTTCACAGCCAAGAGTATTAAATAATGCCACTCAGTAATGACATAGAAATTTGCGAAAATATCTCAATTGAGAGAGCCGGGATGTCTGGTACAACCTGGAAGGCCGGAATAGAGAGCGAAATACTTCCAGCGGTGCCGTTGCCATTGATTCCTGCTCTCCGGAGAATTTACGTGGTTTTGATCCCGCGGAGATATTGTTCTTGTGTGAATTCCGTGTTTGCTGCTCTTCGCCATCAGCCTCTCCATCCTTCCATCCAGCACAGAAGTGCATCACGTGATCCGAAACACTATTGTTTCGGGCCGAGGTAAGCTTCGGACCAGGTTGCTTCCCGATTCATTTTAAGCACCAAAGGTAACTTGACCTGAAGTTATCTCATGTCGTACCTGCGTCGTCGGCCAAAACATGATGTAACTTTGCATCCCGAGATGTTCCCCAGACGAATCCCGAGATACCGAGTTTCGCTTAACTCAGGGGATGGATGAGTAATCAGGCAGCATTTCGCGCGGTGGGACGTTGCCAAGGGGAGGAGTGTGCATCGTGTATGGTGAATTCGTTTTTCCAGTATGCATCACGAGAAGAGCCTCAGGGTACCCTGTCTACGTCATATGTCCATTCAACAGGGGGAGAGAATTGTATCGGCGACGAAAAGTTTGTCTCTCCCGACCGATCCGAACTCGGCATCCACGGCGAATTTTTAAAATACCGCGTGAAACTCATGCGAGGTACAACATGCCAAAGCGACCAACTTATTCTAGTAGGAGTTGAAGCCAATGAACTTTGAGCTACCTTCCCCACTCGTGTTGAGGCATCCCTATTCGCCTCGCTGAGCTATGTTTCGGAATGCTGCATCCCTCCACCGGGTTTGTTTATACTGCTATTCGGAATCCGTTTTCTCGGTATCTTCATCCTGCCCCAATTTCGGAATTTCGTTCTTCGACATATGCGGTGCGTCATTGCTTCAATTCTACGAAGGTCTTTGAGTATAAGTACACTATTACCGCCCTACATCCCGCCTTTTCACCCGGACAGCATCAACACCTTCCAGCAGCTTCAGCTTCCACATACAAAGTGTATCTTAAAAGCCCAATCTTCCTAAATCGCCTCCAGCCACTCCAAAAATTCATCCAAAAGTCAAGCCCACGATATCATCATGGACTCCGTTGCAGAAGTACAGCCTTTCGATTTCATTATCGTCGGTGGTAGGTCTTGATTCTTCCCCCAGGCGTTTTTATTGAAGTTTTAACAGAAATCAGGCGGAACCGCAGGAAATTCTGTAGCCGGTCGTCTGGCTGAGAACCCGAAAGTGCGAGTCTTGGTCATCGAAGCCGGTATTGGCAACCCACAGGAGATTGAAAACATTACAACTCCAGCAAAAGCCTTTGACCTCCGTGGGAGTCAATATGACTGGGCTTACAAGACGACGATGATCAAACGTGAGGACTACGAGCGTGTTGAGAAACCGAACACCCGTGGCAAGGTTTTGGGTGGAAGTAGCTGTGCTAATTATTTCACTTGGATCCCGGGGAGTAAGGCTACGTTTGATGATTGGGAGGAGTTTGGCGGGAAGGATTGGACTTGGGATAATATTGTCGGATACTTGAGAAAGGTGGTGTCCCTCTTCAAGACCACCTTCCAAAACATGGACTAACTCCAATGCTAGTGCGCGACCTACCATGATGACCAGAAGCTCTACCCGAAAGAGCTTTCTAAAGTCGGCACAGGAGGGCCTCTCCAAATCTCGCATGCCGACCTTATCCCGGAGATAGAGCCATTTCGTGATGCACTTACGAATGCCTGGACCAGCAAGGGACATGAGCTCAACGAAGATATTTACTCCGGCACTATGCATGGTCTCACACACTGCTTGGACACTGTCTACAAGGGAACTCGCCAAGGAAGCTTCTTGTATCTGAACGGAAAACCCAACGTCACTGTTCTCTCGTCCGTCCAATCCAAAAAACTCATTATCGATCCCACCACGAAGGCATGCACGGGTGTCGAAGCAATTAACCCCGCGACTGGAGAGGAGCTTACCCTGACCGCCAAGTACGAAGTCATCGTCTCTCAAGGTGTTTTCGAGTCCCCCAAGCTCCTCATGCTCTCTGGTGTTGGTCCGGCATCAGAACTCAAGCAGCACGGTATCCCCGTCATTGTGGACAGCAGGCACGTTGGTCAAAACCTTCTCGATCATCCAATCGTTCCATTCGTCCTACGTCTCAAGGATGGTTACGGCCTGGATGACCACTTGCTTCGCCCAGGCCAAGCACACGACGGAGCCGTCAGCGCTTACTGTCGTGACAAGTCCGGCCCTTTGAGTAGCGGTCTTCTGGAGATGGTCGGCTTCCCTCGCATTGATGAACGACTGAACAAGTACGCAGCCTACCGCGATATCAAGGCTGCCAACGGAGGACTCGATCCCTTCGGTCCTGGCGGACAGCCACATTTTGAGCTGGATTTTGTACCAATGTTCTCCTCTGCGTTCCAGTGGCATTATCCTATCCCACCTTCTGGCAGTGCTTTCACTATCATTGTGGATCTCCTTCGGCCACTCTCAAAGGGGGAGGTCAAGCTGAATTCTGCGAATCCTTTGCAGCAGGCTAACATCAATCTTAACTTCTTTGGTGAAGATCTTGATATCCTCGCTATGCGCGAAGGTGTTCGTTGGACATACGACGTTCTTACAAAGGGCGAAGGTATGAAGGACATTGTTACTGGGGATTATCCTTGGGAGATGCCCATTCATTCTGACGAGGCGATGAATAAGGTGGTTTTGGAGAGATCTCAGACTGGGTTCCGTATGTTCTTCTCATCAACCGACCCTTTTCGAATGTTGTGGCTAACAAATTTTTTTGTAGATCCTTGTGGTACTACTCGTCTTTCTAAGAACATAGAGCAAGGAGTTGTCGATCCTCAGCTCCGTGTCCACGGCGTCAAAAATCTCCGCGTCATTGATGCATCGGTCATCCCAGTCATTCCTGATTGCCGCCCTCAAAACTCTGTTTATATGATTGCAGAGAAGGTGAGCTGAGTTCAAAGTATACCATACTTGTGATCAAATTGGCTTACGATTTTCCAGGCCGCGGATATGATCAAAGCCCAATACTCGAGTCTGTACTCGTAAGCGGAAGACAGGCCCAAATGATTCCCTTGGGCAGCTTGGGTTTTGGCTGTCAATACTTTGAATTTAATTTTCATTTATAAGTCTTTGATGCGTACAGTCTTATTGTTCTTGAATGTCGGAGGGGGATCATAACGAGCTTCCTGTGTTCGTGACTTAGCCCTTAGGCACTTTCTCCTCTCCATACCTTCTCTCTATTTCCATTCAAATGAAATCTTAATCGCAATAAATTTGTGCTGCCAATCGGAACGGTTAAACTTTCTCTTCACTTGCAGAATTGAAATACGGTCGACCATGGTTCCTGAACCAAGGCTCGCCCCTATTTAGTCAAGCCGTAGTCGAGGTTAAGCGAATGACGATTGTAAGATCTTACCACTTCGTCAGCAGACTTCGAGAGCGCCACGACCAGACTTGGCCAGATATGGACATTCCGCCATACTTGTTCGGTGATTCCATTGATCTTTGCCATTTCTCGCGGTTGGTCTAGAGCACTAACTCGTAAGCGTAGCAACCGCCATAGGGTGGTAGCCAAGTAACTGCGACAACGGCTAAGGCTGCGGGCTTCCTCTAGCAGCCGCGAGCTAGGGTTGGCTTATTACGCCCCGCCCAATCGCGAGGATGAGTCAGGTACTTATTGTAAGATTCTAGGAACTTGGGTCCCACACTTGAAGTTAAGGTCAAGAATTATGAGTATATGGAACTAGGCACTTTTCCTAACAGTCTATCTGCCATCAGTTTTTCAAACTCAATATCTATCACCAATTTCTAAATCCCTCTCCACCCTCATTCCATATTGAAGTCTTCTCTTCGCAACAACATCATACAGTCTAATAATCTCCAATTATCAATCATCGTCGCCGGTACCAAAGATGGTTTCACCAAAAAGGGTATTATTTATCTCAGTCTTTGTTGTCACCGCTTGCATCGACGTGGGCGAAGCATTTGCAGGCCCACGCGAAGTAGGTACCTACGTCTGGAATGCCGCCAGGAACTTGTGGAAGAGAGCACCAGAACCACCTTTAAAATTCCCCGAGCCAACAGAACTCCCGGATCCCTACATAGCTTCCGCGACGACCACGAAGCTCGTCAGCGTCGACCGCGCTCTCGCCAAGGACAGAAATATCAAGCGCTGCAGGGACGGAGAACTGGGATATGATTACGGTAGACTAACATATGATTCAAATCATCATGAAATCTGCACCTACTCTTTGCATCGATCGGATGCCAGCGAAAAAGTTAATCGCGACACTATCATCAAACGTCTCAACGATAACAGAAAAATGGCAATCGCTATCAACGGGACATTTTTGATACGCAGTAAAATTGGACCGGGTGAAGTAGAGCTTACCAAAGGCTGGCTGCAAAGTACTACAGAGTGGTCCAACAATCCTGGCAGACACGGCATTGACCTCAAGGACGCATGTCAGCTCTGCACCTCGGTCGACGACAACTACATCATCCCCCGCGGGTATGTCAGGAAGGACGGCGTGCAGCAATGCACGTGTAAGAAGTGGGCGAAGAGGGGCGAGAAGTTCGAGGTATGCAACTGCGACGTCTGCGATGCATTCATTATTCCCATGGGTCTGCGGGCCAAGTGCATGGAGATGGCGACGCGAAATATCAGAGAGGGGTACTTGAGTCGCTATGTGGCCCTTCATAATCATAATGTTTTTATTAGGGTGTATAATGATTATCAGAAGGTAGGAAAGGCACATGATAACGCGATTGCGGATGTGCAGAAGGAGCACACAGTATGCAGGTCGGGTGTGCAAGGAAAGGAAATTGAAAACTACTCGGGGAAACTGTTTGGGGATGCGGAGAGACTAGGAGCCGTGTGTCCACAACTCTTGAAGGATGCCCTCAAACATTAAGAGAGAGATTTCTTGTTTCGGGTGGAAGATGGGGTTGTGTCTTTATTACTTGGCGTTGGAGGCTGGATAGCCATTTGGAGTAGCAAATTCGTTCTTGTTCTCGAGAGCTGTAACTATTTGTGTCATAAAAACGTGGGGTAGTTTGACCGTAAGACTCAAATGCTATCTCGAATAGTAATTTTTCATATTCTACAAACTTCGGTACAGTAAGTAGAACCCTCTTCTTCCTCCGTCTCGTGAACCTTGATTTCATTTGTGCTTATGTGTTGTCTCCTTCGTTGTTATACCTCATATGAAATTGCGTTTAATATTCCTTTCATTATTTTTATTGTTCTCAATTTCGTACCCTGACCTCACATCACAATGTGTATACTTCTTTCAAACATTAAATCAGAAGCGAGATTTGCCACAAGAGCACGAAAGGAATTTATCCAACTCATGAATTTGGAATTTTAACGTAATGTAATTGATTTGATTTTTAACACTAATAATTCAACGCCAACGAGATTCTTACGGGTGGCAACGAATCATGGTACCAAATTTGAAAGAAATAATTATAACAGAGTACATTGGCTGGTCAGTGTGCTTCAATAATAAAGAAAGTGGGTCAAAAATCAGCCCAGCCCTAAGCATGGCAAAGATCTAGGTGGATCGGTCCCAGATCTTGGTGAAACTTTTGTCACGTACTAAGGAACACAACCAACGTGTGAAATAGCTCGAGCTAAGTAGCTCATGAAAAAATACTTATTCCTCCAACCCACCCACAATTTTGCTTCTTTCTGCTTCTTCATACCTCGCGTCAAATAACATCCAACAACTTCCAGTCAGTTTATCAGATTGAAACCAGTCACCATTTCGCGATAATGCCATGGCGCCTTTCGGTCTCACGACTTTCCTCGCCTTGAGTACCGCATCCACAGTCGTCACTGCGCTGGCTACAGATGGAAGTAGCATTGCCTCGCACTCTGTTCCGCAATGCTCTACGCTCGGCTCAAATCCAGAAGGAAAAGTCTGCTCGTCACTGAAGGACTACCTCAACAGCACCTCATCACACGGCTTCCTCGAACCACGCCAACCAGGAAATACCGCCGCCAACCTCCCAGAGTGGTCTGAGCCAGTGCACGGAGGCTGGCCAGGCGGCAACATGACCAAGTTCTGCATCCTCGACGGCCCCAAACCCAAGCCCGACGACGTCAAAAAGCTCTGCGGAAAGATCGACGACAACTACATCATTGCCCGCACCAAGCAAAAGAAAGCAGACCAGAAGGAGGGACACTGCTTTTGCAAGAAATTTCACCAAGGCACGGCTTGGTTCAACGTCTGCAACTGCGATAGCTGCGACCGTCTCGAAATCCTCAGCGGCCTGAAAGAGATGTGCAGGGAGACCAACGATCTCTGCACCTCTAACGGCTTCTCCAGCGGCTTTGTTCAGCTTGATGAGAAGAATGGCCTTCTCGTGCAATACAACGTCAAGCCCGAGGATGCTAAATCAGGCAGAGCCGACCCTGATCCGATGAAGGCTCGCCCGAACCTTACAAAATCAACTTGCATCTCTAATGACGAGTATAAGAAAAACCAGGACTACACTGGGCCAGTTGTGGAATGTTGGAGATCTTGGAAAGCGATGTGGATGGCCCACAAATGCCACGATAACTCGAAGGACGGTCCCAAGGTTCGAAGCGGCGACTACTGGAAAAACAAGTGGATGCAACACAATTCGGAGCTGTTGCATTCTTTATTCGGGAAATAGGTTACGCTTTTACCGATGGGAAGATTTCTAAATGTTCTAGAAAATCACAAAAAATAGAGTAGTTAAATTTTGAATGTACATAAATTGAAGGAACTTTTTATTGAGAAGCATCTGAAATATTCCAAATTGACCTCGGCCAATGAGAACTGCTTTTTTTTGCCCGCCGTGAAGCAGGGTAAGCTGAATGATTGGTCAAGCTTAGCATAACGATAATATTTCCTTCCCAGGCTTCGCTCGATAACTCCCACGCCCCTCAACAGCCCAAAAGTGTATTTAACCACAACAACGCAACAAAATGAAGAAAAGGAGTCGATAATCGTGATCTACGACTTAATTATAGTCATCTTGCAAAGTTTTGGAATTTTCTAAACACTTCTAAAAGATTGCAATTTTTGTGCTCGGCTAGAGAAAGCTGTTGGGCTGCATATGCACTGCAATTTTAGCGTCTGCGCGGAGACTGCTCATGAGCCGACTAGGGCCTTGTCCACGCGAACAACAAGTGTTATTGCCCGCCACGACAACCTTGGGAAGGTATTGAGTTTGCAAGAATAGCAGCTGTTATGTTCGATTCCCAGAGACAGGTGGTCTTCGAGAAGGTGGATTACTTATGACTTCTTTCAACATTTTTTCTTTGGGCACGTGACTCGGAAGTCTTTGGCGGGGAACACCAACCTCAGTGTAGGCGCTAAAATTGCAGTGATTATTTGTGACCGAGTGTGCAGCGTAGCTGAACCCGTGTACTCCACCGGGTTAGATTACAGGGGTTCAAAGTAACCAGTTGAAATTTTCGTCAGGCATTAACTTCCCGTCTATAGGGCATCTTAACTATATCTTTATAGTAAGTAACCCAAATACTGTTTTCTAACTGTATTAAAACCATTTCTAAAGTGTTCCCAAGTGGGGGGCTCCCACTGTCCCCCGGACCCCCGGCGAACCCTAACTAACCCGCACCCTACACCCCTAACCCTAACCCCTAATTAAAGCGTTTCTAAACCATATATGAACCGTTATAAAAGCGTTATAGAACTGGTTCTATCTTGAGGTTGAAAAGTCGATTTTCTTCAAGTCAAAAATCAGGCAGAAATAACCCGGTGGGTCCTCATTCCCACCCCTGTAACTCACCCGGTGGAGCACACAGGTTACCCAGTACGCTGCTTACCGGTTGGGCGGTTATCGGTGCAATCCTGTCGGGGTAGGATGCGGGACTGCACTGCAATTTTAGCATCTGCGCGGAGGACTCGTCCTCATGAGTAGACTACTTGTACCGGGTTATCGGGCCAGTTCTTTCAGGGGTAGGATGCAGGACTGCACTGCAATTTTAGCATCTGCGCGGAGGACTGTCCCAAGGCGTGCCGAATTGAAAACTGTCCGTTTCGCTAAGCGAGAGTTTTGAAAATTATCCCCTCACCTTTAAAAAATCGTAATAAAACTCCCTAAAAGTTTAGAACCACGAAACCGTAAAAAAAAGATACTTTGACTTCTGAAAGCTTAATTTAAAGTATTTGGACTTGGTAATGCTACGATGCGCAATTTTCAAAAACTAGAGATTTTGGTGTTTTTTGCCTTAGGCGAAAATGGACGGATTTCAATTCGGCGCGCCTTCGTAGACTAGGGCCTTGTCCACGCGACCAGCACGTGCCTGCAACAACAACGTTGGAAAGGTATTGAGTTTGCAAGAATAGAAGCTATTACATTCAATTCACAGAGATAGGTGGTCTTTGAGAAGGCGGATTACTTATGGTTTTTACCACATATTCTCTTAGGGCACGTGACTCAGAGGCCAGCAACCTCTGTGTTGGCGCTAAAATTGCAGTGCTTGACGCCTCGCTCCCAGGTGGTCTCCGAGAAGGTGGATTATTACTTATGGTTTTTACCACATATTTTCTTTGGGCACGTGACTCAGAGGTCACTGGCAGGAAACACCAACCTCTGTGTAGGCGCTAAAATTGCAGTGAGTGGTGGCTTTCCCTCAACCGGACGCTAGAAACCAAAAATCAACGACAATGCAGTGATGTGGTGGCTTCGTGTGGCACTCACTTTTGTTGCTGCAAAGATTGACCGAGTTTTATGGGTATCAATCCACAAACCACCCTTCTTCATGCCTTCTCACGCAAATTTGTTATCACTTCCTTTCCACCAGGCGCCGAGATTCTGCTTTCAAATCCGCTTGGCGAAGCAGGTGGAGTGGGGGCAACAGCAGAAGTGCTCAACATGGCCGCGATTTCATGGACGAGATCCCGTTCCATTTTGCCACCGCCACTCCACACCTCACTCCCTTCACGACACACATCAAGGCCTTTCCCCTAGATTTGCTTTCACCGCGACAATGCCGCCCGTTCACTGCCTCCATCATTTGCTTTCACTCTGTGAAAATTTGCTCTCGACCCGCTTGCAGGAGCGGGGGCAAGAATAGGATCGCTGACGTGGCAACGAACTCAAATTTGGCCGACGTGAGACCAAATGCTTGCGAGCTTGCGGCATTTTCTTACCGCGGATTGCTTGCATTTCAGCTTTTGCTGTCTCCGTTGCCCGGTTATTTGATTTCTCCGCCTTCATAGCTGACGTGGCAATTGATCTTACTGTACATCAAAATCTCTCCGGGTGAAACCAAATGGCTTGGATGGTGTGGGTCTTCGTAGTTGAGCGAGTCTCCTCAGCTGGGTGACTGCATTTCAAATTTTGCAGTCTCCGCTCCCTTGCTGATTTGAATTCTCCGCCTGCATGCTGACGAGGCCGCGACACCAAATCCTTCAGGGGATGAAACCAAAATGGTGTGAGTTGCGGGTACACTTCTCAGCTGAGGTCTTGCATGACCAATTTTGCTATCCCGCATCCCACCACACCTCGTATATTGATATCATGCCATGAAAGTGGCGGCAGATTTGCTTTCACGACCCTCCCTGGGCAGCCTGCATCGTCCAATCGCGCGTCGTACTTTGCTATCACCGCGAGCCCGGCCTCCTCAGACTGCGCCAGTCAGCAGCACTGCCCCCTTCGGCGCAACCATCATTTCCACCCACCACCAAAGATGAAGTCTGCCTTGGCCTCAGCCCAGGCCCAGGATCGACCAGAAGTTCAGCCCCTCATGCACACTTCCATCATCACCGAGCCATTTACGGTCGCCGGCGCCCTCTTGTGCGACAATAGCCGCCGGGAATCTTGGCTGTTGCTGGCGAAGACGGCCAGATTCCCGCCAGATGACCTGGAGAGCATGAAGCCAGAGTGCGTCTTGCTCACAAATCGTGCAACCTAGGTGGCCAAAAGTATCATAGGCAGCCATTGTAGGACTCTGGCGCGAACACAATTGGTTGTTCTTTGAGCGTTCTTGAGTCACGGCCGTTTCTCGCGGCCCCCAACGGGTTTCAGGGGTGCGAAGTTTCGTGCAAAGTTGGTCTTTGTGGCTGTGGCTGAGACCTCGCTGCAGCGGCTGCACCCCACCGTCTCGCGAGACACCCTCTCACAGCCAGACTCAGATATAAGAACCTCCTCGTTCCCTATTGCTCAATTCTTCTTTCTTTCTTTCATTCAATCATACATTCATTGAAACACATAAAGAGTCCATCCATTCTCATATCACGCCAGTGATATCTCAACCTGCACTTAAGAAGTTCATCATCCCCACCAACAAACTGTCTCCGTCAAGCTACCCCTACTCCAACATCACGGCAGCCATGTCGCCTACCACGTTCAAAGACCAATACACCACCTTCCTCTCCACCCTCAACAACTCCTACGACCTCTGCCAAATAATCCGCGCCACGCGCCGTTTCGGCTCCGCTCCAACACCCAACTTCGACGCCTTCCAATCCTACACCCTCACCTCGAAGCAAAACCTCGCTTACACATTCACATCACTGCGCTCCGCATGCGGCTCACGCTTCGATCTCGGCGACACGATCGCGCGAACGGAACTCGACCGCGCCGTGCGCAGCCTGCTCGCGATCCAATCCAAGCTCTCGGGCATCGCCTACGGCCACGAAAGAACCGGGGGTTTCCAATCCCTGCTCTACCAGCTGCAGACCCTGGAAGCGGAAGCGCTGTCCACGTTCTCGGGGCTGAAGTACCGCCTTGAGATCACGCAGCAGCACAAGGAGGACCCGAAACCGAAATCTATTCTGAAGAAAAGCAGGACCGATGAGGTGGTCATCGGTATCGCGAAACTCGACGCGTATACGAGCCACATGAAGAACTCGTGGGTCGAGACCGAGGTCGATGGTGAGGTGTTCTATGTCAATGTGTTTGATGGGAAGAAGAAGCAGTGGGAGAGGCCGAAGGACGCGTTTGTGATGCTGTTACCGAGGAATGAGAAGCCGAAGGCTCCGAAGCGGACGAGTACGTGGGAGAAGGAGTTGGAGAGGGAGAGGGTCAGGCAGGAGGAGAGGGAGAGGGAGCGCGAACGCCAGAAGGAGCGTGAGCGGGAACGGGAGAGGGAGAGGGAGAGGCTGGAGAGGAGACGGAGGTCTGATTATGGGTGGTGAAGGGATCATGGGTTGGGAATGATTTGATGAAGAAAAAAATGATACCATGGGAGGATCTCAGCGTTGCTTTATCGTAGATACAGAAAACTGGATAGATATCTGCTACTTGGCGTGCACGCGAGCGTTGTATTTTTATTACGTTGTCAGCTTGGCTGATTAATGCTTCCAAAGAGGAGACTCAGAAAAATAGAAAGAGATGTATTATCAAGCACAAGAACTTTCACATTTATTTCCCAGGTGACTTCGATAGCTTGCAATCATTGCGAAACTAGAGTTCATAGCCTCTCTTAGTCGGCAATCTTCTCAGTCGTAACTCTGGACCTTAACGGATACGATTATTGTGGCAATCGTTTCCCCAGGCATCAGCTTTCACACCGAAAACTCCAAGGCGCTCGTGCCGCAGCCTGCCAACGTCGTTTTTCGCCGCTTTTAAACCCCGCGCAAAATAACTTTAGCAAATTCGGTGCTACTTTTATACCAAGAAAGCCCAGAAAAATTAAAAGAGTAGATTTATAAATAAACCAGAAAATTGGATTAACTTTTCCCAGCTCTCTGGCTAATAAAGTAATAACTAATTTGCAATGGAAGCTAAGATAAAATTAATAAACCAACCAGGAAATCGGATTAACTCTACAAGCAATAATATATACTATATTTGTATTTCCTTTGCACATAGGAATTGCAAGACGTAATTTGTGGGTCAAATGGACAGGTTTGGTAAACTGTATTCCCAGATTTGCTATAGCGTAATGCTAAAATATAAATAGAGAATCCTTGGGTTAAGAAGAATAGTTATAGGACTTCCAAGGGGCATATATAAAGCTATTTGCAATTTGCCAAGGCATCTTGGGGACAAGGGCCCAGAGGGGGGGTTAATGTAATGGGCACACGTAACAGAGTATAGGCGGACGTCAGATATCGTGGATTTGGTTTCCTATTTTGAGTAATGGTTATATCGGAATTGCACGGATTGTGCGGGATTTTATTTCCTAATTAAGTAAAGGGCTTCGTACGCTTGGCTAAGCACTAGGGGATATATAGGGAGACGCATATAGCTTTGGAAAGGGTCATCGATTAATCTCTTGTTGCAATCACCTCTTGGAATCAGTTACACTTGCAAACGTCACTCTGCAGCTCATTTACCTTGACTACTTGTGCATCACCCTGCTATTACGTGCCTCACACAAATTAAAGCACGCGGCCACCCACAGCCAACCGTGATACGTCTAGAGAAACAGCATGTGCTAATTATATTTAAAATACTAGTAGACACTTGCAAGATCGGAGAGAGTTGCGCTTGAAGAAGGCATTCTGGAAGAGTGCCGTAGATTAGAAACAGCAAGCTTTGTGTCGTTAAAAGGCTCCACCTGGACCAGTAATCTAGTCTTCGATACGACATATTCTGTGGTATAGCACACCCGTAGAGAATAAGTAATTGAGAAAGGAGAAGGCGGTAACGAAGCCAACAATGACCAAAGCCTGCCAAATAGGGTTAGCAAGAACCGACAACATTCTGGGCTCGGATTAACAACGCACCTTCGCATCTAAGCCCGTTGAGGCTGGAGGACTGTTATTCGCTCCGCTTCTGCTTTCGAAGACCATAATTCCCAATCCAACAACGAACCCCAAAATCCCGAAATTCAAATGCATAATCGGTGTCTGCCAAACATAAAGTTGCAACACCCTAGGCACCCAAGTCGCCCTACTATCACTATCCTTTGACACAATCTTCTTACCCAACAGGGATCGAATTCGCGAGTCGAAGTCTTTATAACTGCTCACACGATTGAGAGCGACGCTCTGCTGAGTTGCAAGGCAAATTGCCACGAGCGAAAGCACAAGGCTGCTATACCAGAGGCCGAGAGGAAGTTTGGAAGGCGTTTGTGCTTGCGGCCAGGTGAGAGCCTGGACCACTGCTCCAGTGATAAGTGCACACTGTAGATGACAATAGCTCCTGGTTAGCCGTAGTTTATTTCGACAGTTTTTAAAGCGAGAAAGAGATGCTCTAGAAGCTTACAGTAATTCCGACGAAAGTCAACTCAGCTAGCTTTCTGTCACGCCAGCTGCCTGTTTGGACGTCCTTGGACTCATCGTTGAGGAAAGATTTTATAGGCTCGTAGCTTGAGCGCCAAGGGAGGAAAATGACTTCAAAAACGGTTTGAAAAGAGCCCCATGCAAGGGACCCTATTGCTTTCACAGGGCTTAGCGCTCGGCCTGCCATGAGTCGGACGTAAGCGATACAGATAATCTGCGAATTGGAACCTAAATCCAAAACACGTAGAAGCAGGAGTGCAGCAAAGAGATATGTACGCGGGGTACGAAGCACACGTGGCTGAGTAATGGATTGTTTCTCCATCCCGTGGGGGAAAGTCCCTGCAGGTCAGCTGCAGGCTGTCGGCTGCAGCGATGCCCAACCTAAGCCTCCACTGGTTTACCGACGAAATCGGGGCCCTGAAGGACAAAACCTATCTCAATGGCTATGCTCAACGCCTGTGGCGCTCGTTATGTAAGAGTAAATTCACATTTCCATAAAGCCGCTGCTACTACAATGAAGATTGGTCACGATTGATTGGGTGAACAACCCCGCACCGACGGTATGCTTAACATCGCTTCGCCGCAAGACGGAGCGAGAGCCTCGAAAATAGTTCTTATTCTTCTTGATAGATTGTGGAGCCGTATCTCAATTGCCGCGGCTTTCAGTCGCTTTATGCTCTTCTTTTAGTAATTACAATGTCTGCTCGAAGGTGAGAACAGAAATGGGAAATTCAAATGGTGTAACGAGTAAGAGTTGAGACAATCCACCACTATTCTGAAATAAAGGAAGAACCGTAATAGGAATGATAGATGCCACCCAAAAGGCACACAATGGATATCAACAACTGGGCAACTCGTAAGAAGATATTGCACGAATTCCACATATCGAACAGTTCTACCCCATCAACAATGCGTACAGCAACCTCATCACACACTCTTTCAAAGCTAAAACACAGCACAGCGCCAACGAGGACCCACAAAAACCAGACAAAACTGGCAACCAGTACAATAATGAAGTGTTGAATATTAAAAGGTAAATGAGATACGTTCAACAAGAACATTCTTGGATGAGAAAATGTGAGTAGTATCATGCCGAGGAAAGCGAGTGCAGAGTGCAGAGATGTTGCGAGGGTAAATCTGCCTTCGTTGTTAAAGAGGTCCAGGAGAAATATCAGGCCGAGAAGCGATAGGCTCAACCGGAGAAGGTTGGCAATATCAGTTGCCATTTTCAGTTGTTTGCAGGCCTCTTCGTCGAATTTGACATCGATCTCTCGAAGGAATCGCATTATAAACTGTTGGCAGTTGTCGCCGAAGATTGAATATGGTTGGTAATATAGCTCGTACCGCATTGCTATAGTCAAAGGTCAGCAGCTACCCCCGCTCAAATATTGTGTTCGTTTTACTTCGCTCCGCTATCTCTTTAGTACTCAGGGTTGTGGTTCCCACGCGCAATCGTCCAACTAAGTTCCTCTGTGGCTCGTTTTTCAAGATTGCTTCTGGTGTCATTTTCAATGTTGCTCTCCATTTCCACGGCAAAGCATAATCTTTATCTCGGAAAGTCTCGTACAAGTCTCCTCTAATCTGCGCCGCCCAATGTGTGGTTCTAGAATTCGTCGCCATCCTGCCACGGATATATCTCCAGATCCTGCCAAACCAAATGGATTGACTTGTTTCGGAGTCCTGTTTGCTATCTTCTAGTCCATCGAGAATGAATTTAACTACAAAGACATCCGCAAGGTCTTCTTGGTTGGCAGTGTTACTCGGTCTATAACCGAGGACAGTGCGGCCCAGCAGGCTCTGTTCAAGCATATCGATGTGATCAAAGAGATTATCGTCGGAGAGGTCCATCGGATTCATTTTAGGCAACGAATTAGGTCGAACAGATCTTCATAAAAGTAATGAAGCACACACAAATTCACACACAACACGCACGTATATATTTCGTTCTCTACGGCGCAAGTGTCCCCGCCCCCCGCTCCCTGCTCCCCAATTGATTGCCTGCCGCTTCAAATTCTGGGAGGGGTATCAGGGGTCTCATGCGCTGATCGACGATCCTCGGCAAGGTCTAATGCGCATGTGCGCTGGTCGTCGCTAGGCGACCAACCAGCATTCCGGGGCTGGATGGAAGTTCGTGACATTATCATCAAGAAGGGCACGATTTAGTGGAATGGAATGCCACGTTGTAACGTCGGCGCCCAAAGATGACTGGGGAAGGCGAAGGCTCAGGCCTTGGCCGGGCGTCAGTGAAGCCTCACGAATGGGATGAATAACCCTTCCGAGAAAAAGCACTTCCTGCCGATCAACGACATGGGAAGCCTGGGGGAAAGCCCGACATATGAAAATACAAGTAGTGACGAATCTGAACAGAGGCTGTCGCTGCGCTGTTTCTGCCATTCGCTACTTGGAATAGTAATAGACCCATGAAACTTGGAAAGCACCTGGACAGGTGGACTCGCCATACGAAGTACATGAGGTAAGTCGAAAGGACACAAGGCGAGGCTTTATCAGCCATAACAGCCTTCGCGCTTGGCAGGGGCACCTCCGGAAACCACGGAATGTCTGAGTGACGGGATAGAATCGCAAAAGAGCCCGCACTGGTGCTCGCTGGAGACAAATCGGGACCCGATTTTCTGTTCTATCCTCCTGTCTTGCATTTGCCTATAAATCTCAATATCCACAGCCTTTATTCTCACAGAGCTCAACATACGACCTTCATCATGCAGCTCTTTATCGCTTTGAAGACGGGCACCGACCCCGAGCCTCTGGACGACGAAGTCGCTCAAGAGAATCAGAAAGAGGATAAATACAGCCGCGAATCTCTCGACAAACAACTCAACGAGTCTCTCGACAAGACTGTCCTTACTAACAAGCCAAATGTTGCATGGGATGATGTTGCTGGTTTAGCTGAGGCAAAAATGGAGCTTCAGATAGCCGCTGAGATGCCGAAAAAATTCCCACAATTGTTCAGAGGAAAACGAGAACCCCAGAGATTTATTCTTTTATACGGACCACCCGGTACTGGAAAAGGTCAACTGATCAAAGCGCTTGCTTCTGGGGTCAATTCGACATTGTTCACTATCAGCAGCAGCGACGTTCAATCCAAGTGGGTCGGAGAGAGTGAAAGGTCAGTAATCGGTTCATCTATTCATAGCCTTAGTAAGTTGGATATGTCGAGAAAAATCCATGCACTCTCGGTCGGCACCTGCCGGTTGTGCTATCGATGTCTATTTCTATTAACAAGCATAATATACTACCGCAGTGTGTGCTAACAAGTATTAGACTTGTGAGACTTGTCTTCGAACGTGCTCGAAAGGAGAAGCCGTCAATGATATTTATCGATGAAATCGAAGCACTATGCGGTATTCGCGATTCCAACTCGTCATCAGAACATGACAACCGAGTGAAAACCGAATTTCTCGTGCAGATGGATGGTGTAAGCCAGGACAACAATGGAATCCTTTTTATAGCAGCAACAAATCTACCATGGATCTTAGATCCGGCTATTATTCGCAGATTCCGGAAGAGGATTTATATTCCTTTACCAGACGAAGAGGCACGCAAGAGGTTATTTGAAATACATGTTGGAGAGACATGCTGCGATGTCTCAACGGAGGATTACGCAGAGTTTGCTAGGAGAACTGAAGGATTCTCGGGCAGCGATATTAGCAACGTAGTGCAGGAAGCGCTGATGGAGCCCATGAAAAAGATATTTAAAGCTGAGTACTTTTGTTATGTATGTTTTCCCTATGACTTTCATGCGAAACAACCCAATGAAGTACTAAACGGTGTTTTCTGTTAGGTACTCTCTCACGGAAAGAGGGGACTCGCCCCATGTCAGCTTGGCCAACAAGGGGCAGCGGCTCTGAACTGGCGTGACATACCCTCGTACCAACTTCTAGAGCCTGCAGTAGCTAAGGAAGATTTCTACAATGCTCTCGCAAAAGCAAAACCCACTGTCAATAAAGAATTACTCCAAGACCATTGTCGATGGACAGAAAAATACGGCAAAGACGGCGCGTAATCAATCGTGGATACCATGGCGTAATGACGAGCCATATCTGACCTCTTTTTTGAAATGGAAGTCTATTCATCAGCTATGTACAGTAGTGTTAGATTTTTAGGCGCCTAAGGCCCCTGTAGCTTAGGCAATAATAGTGGCTTTTGCCACTGTAACTACGTTGAAGCCACAGCTGCACAGGTGCTGTAAATTCAGCTGCTCAGCCTGTAGAGCTGAATATTACAAGGCATTTAGAGGCGTGTTTCAGCTATTGGAGACACCGAAAGGGAGCCTAATTCAGGGGCTTTAGAGGCTCTCAGCACCTATAAATACAGGCTCCCTATCACTATAAAACAGCAGTTATTCTAGTATCTTCCAGCCTACGATTATAGCATGTTATACGTGACTATTCAGTTGTTATCGCAACAGAAAGGACCGATGGACACTATGCACATGATGATAGTCGCTTAATTTTGGTGCTCCGACATAGCCGACTCCCCAAAAACAGCGGCTTAACTACCCCGGATTTGGGGGTAAGAACACCCACTACCTAGAGTATAAAAGTAAATAAATATTAGTTAAGTTAAATTGTATTATTAAGGTTATAATTCCTGCTTTTGTAATTTTCTCTTAAGCTAAGGTATAAATTCGTAATATTATATAATAGAAAGTAATAAAGAAAAAGATTAATAAGGCTCTTTTTTTATTTCTTTTTATAATTATAGTATTTTAAGTTATTAATTCAAAAGAAAAAGCTAAAAGTTTAATAATAAATTAGTAATCATAATATATTATATATAATATTATAAAGTAAAAAGTAAAATATAAGTTAATATAAGTATTATTAAAAGTAAAATATTTTCATTTCCCAGGTGACTTTGATAGCTTGTAATCATTGCTAAACTGGAGTTCATGCCTCTCCTGGTCAGCAATCCTCTCAGTCGTAACTCAGGACCTGAACGATGGGATAGATCTGGTGCGATTTACTAGCCAATTTTTCGATCTGACCAGTCACTCCCTGTCCTCACTGTTTTCGGGCAAATTCAGACTTGTGCTTGAACCCCTAAAACAGATGTCCTGGCGAATAAATTATACAAGATCGGAGTAGTTTGTTTAGGCAGGGCGGCTTCCGCTTTGGGAAATCGTGGCGGTGGCTGATGACTGTCTAGCGCAGCCTTCTTGTGTCCTGCAGCCTCCTCCTGCAACCTTCAACTTCAACCAACTTGCTGAGAATTTGGCATTGCCAAGCATAGACAAAATTGCTCCATCGTACTCAGGGAACATGGAGGTAACCCACCGGCCCTATCAGACAGGGCCCCTCGACTCGAAGACCTCGACCCGTCTCCTCACTCTGCACCGCGGCTCCGGAGAGGATCCGATAAAATGCAGCCTTACCACCGTTGATCTGGAGACGAAACCCCGATACAAGGCTCTATCATACTGCTGGGGCTCGCCCGATAATTCGAAACAATTACTTCTCGATGAGCATTTCGTTGATGTCCGCGAGAATCTCTGGTCGGCTCTGTGGCACTTGCGACTCCCCAACGGAAACCGAATTCTCTGGGTCGATGCGCTTTGTATAAATCAAAGCGACTTTTTAGAGAGGAATCACCAAGTCGGCCTGATGAGCACGATTTATTCGAAAGCAGAGTAGGTCATCGTTTGGCTAGGCCCTGCTTCGGAAGACAGCGACGTTGGCATGAAATGCATCTCGCTCATTCACTGGGACAAATCGCCAACACTAGAGGAGTCCCAAGCAATGATCAAACTCCGTGAAAGGGAGTATTGGCACCGGATGTGGGTTCTGCAAGAATTCGTGCTGGCGGGTGACATGACTGTACATTGTGGCTCCAAGTGTGTTCCCTTGAAGGCGTTTGCAGCATACTCCAAGCGGATCGCGATGAAGAACGTATTCAAAATATTCGATGACGTTGACTTTGCCGCCATACACTCTCTCATCGGCTATCGAAATTATCAGCTTGCAGGAAGGTTTGACGAGAATACATTACTGGCTCTCCTTGCCGCGTTCAACGATCGCCAATGTGTTGACCCGAGGGACACGGTCTTCGCACTTCTCGGCATGGCTTCAGACTGCAGAGGTTTGGACCCCCAATTTGCCCTCACCGCAGATTACTCTCAGACGCTCTTCAGCGTGTACATGAATGTATTCAAGTTTTCCTGTGAGCGTCTGACACGCGATGGGCAGCGGTTGGACGGAGGGGACCAGTTAGGCCAAGAAGAGATCTATAGCCAAGTGCTACAACTGTTTCTACAGTGCTGCACTGCCACTTCTCCTGGCAAGACCAGGAGATTCAAACCGCCATGGGTCCCAGGACGCGGGTTCGAGCTCTTCGACCTTGCAACACGGAAAAACAAAGGATTATATGGGCAAGCAAAGGGGTCCCTGCAAAAATTTGGTTGGAGGGAAGGAATGGAGATCAATACTGTGGGAGCACGTACGGAAATCTCGTTGCTCTCGTTCCTGATAGCCGTTGTCATGGTCAATAACAATAGATGATTACGAGATTAATTAGATGCCTCAGGCACTTATTTAAGGGATATCAGCTTTACTGACTTTAAATTCACTTTGAAAATTCACTTTTTGAAGGCTAAAAATTTTCCAGGTAAGCTAAATAAGGTAAGGTTTAATTTCGAATTCCAAAGCTTCTTTCCTTTAATAAATATATATTTACATACGTATACGTAAGTTAACCCCTATACCTGCTACGGGCCTGCCCCTGGCCTGTAACACTCCTTACGGTCCGTAGAATATCTTCTCTACTATCTGCTGCCGCCGCTACTACTACTACTATTACTACTGCTACGGCAGTAAACTTTACTACTGGCCTGCCGCCGCCCTGCCCGCCCTTCCGCCCCGCCCTACCCGTCTATAGCCTTCCTCTCCCTCCTCGCCGCCCGCCGTATACCTGTCTTGCGGCCCGGCCGTACTACTAACCCCGCCTGGCCTACTAACCTGGAGGCTGAGCTTGGCCAATTCGTTAGTCAAGTTCACCCTACCAGATATATATATTATACTAGTAGATTGGATATATAGATAATATATATAGTTATAGCTAGTTTTTTTTTAAATAAAAGCAATATTAACTATTATAATAATAATAAGAATAAGAATACTTATTACTCTTTCTATAAATACTTTTATATAATATTTTATAAATTATAACTAATTTAATAAATACTTCTAGATATTATTATTATTATTATTACTATTAGTAATTATATAAATAACTAGATTATTTCTAATAATTTACTTTTATATATATATATATTTATTATAAATTATTATAGACTATAACTAATATATAAATAGCCTACTATACTACTATTATTTATTATTATTATTTATTTATTTATTTTTAGAAAATAGATTATTTTATTAAACTTTATAAAAAGAAAAAAAAATATTAAAAAAAAATAGATTATTTAATATTAGTATTAGAGAATAAAAAGAAATAAAAGAGAAAGAGAAGAAAAAAGGAAAAAAGAAAAGAGGAAAAAGAAAAGAGAGAAAAAAAGAAAAAGAAAAAAAAAGAATTATTTAAAATTCTTTTTTTAATATCTAATAATATAATAATTATGAATTATTTATAAATAAATATAAATATTTATAAATAGTTATAAATAATTATAGATTTCTAAATTTCTTAATCTAATTTATAAAACTATCTAGTATTTATAAAATATCTATAAGAAATAAAATACTAAAATAAATTAATTAAAATATTCTAAATAAGTTCTTATATAATAGAAAAATATTTAAGCCTTTTATAAATAATATATAAGAAACTTTTATATAAAACTATTTATAAATCTAAACTAATAATATAAATAAATTAGAAACTGCTTTTAGAAAAAAGTAATTTCTAGACTAGTATTTATAATAAATAGCTTAATTTATAAAATTACTTATAACTAGCTATTAAAAAAATTTCTAAATAAATAGACTTTAATATAATATATTTATAAACTTATAACTATTATTCGAGTTCTATTATATAAATCTTTTTATAAATATAGATTCTATAAAAATAATATTAGAATTCTAATTTTAAAAATAAACTAAAATAATAATAAAAAAGAAAAATTAATATTTTATAATTATTTTATAAATAGTTTATATAAATTATTATTTAAAAACTTATTTATATCTAAAGAATTTACTAATTAGTATATTTATAATTAGTTTAATAAATATCTAAAAATATAAATATTAAGTTTTAAAACTATAATATTTAATATAATTAAAAAATATTATTTATAGAAAGTTAATAGATTTATAATAGCCCGAGAAAAAAGATTTGAGAAATAAATATAATTAATACTAGTTAATTTATATAATCTGAAATTATTATTATTTTATTAGAATATAAAATTATTAAATAATTTACTAATTTAATAAATAAACTTCTAGCTACTTTTATTTTTATAAACTTATATATTAGTTTATAAATAGAGATATTTAAATTATAGCTAAATAAATAATTATTAAAAATTATAAGTATTTTTTTTAAAAAAGAATATTATTTATTAAAAACTAGTAAATAACTTTAAAATAATACTTATATTATATTAGTATTTTATTTTAAATAATAAGATTTATAAATTAGAAAATCTATATAAAAATAATAGTAAAATATTTTATATATATTTATTAGCTTTTATAAATAGAAATAAGCTATTTATAAATCTAATTTAATAGCTATAATAATCTCTATAAAATATAATTACTAATTAAAATTAAACTAGATTTATATTATAATTATAAATAATATTTAATTTTTAAAAATATATAATATAAATAAGAAATAATATTTATAAGTTTAATTTTAGATAAAAAAATAAAAGCCTATAATTTATAAATAATTATTATTAGTTTATAAGCCTATATATAAATAAAAAGAGGCTATAATTATAATATAGATTAAAAAATAAAAATAGAAAACTATTATTATAAATAAATTAATACTAGTTCTAGATTATTAATAGATTTATAATTAGCTATTAATAAAAGCTAGTTAAAAATAATATTTATAAATTATTTATAAATATAAATAAAATATTAGTATTATTTCTAATTATTTTTTACTAAATTATAAATAATATAAATAGTCTAATATATTAGATAATAAATATTTTTAACTAAATATAAATTTATAAAGAATTATAGGCTATAAATAATTATAAATAAAAACTATAAATAGTATTATTTATCTAAAATAGAATTATAATAATATATATAATTAATTTATTTATTTTTATTTTATTAGTAATTATTAGTATAGCTATTTCTTTGGAAGTTATATATATAGTTATAAGATACGGGATATAAGATATAAGTAATGAAATATAAGATATAAAATATAGTTATATAATCTTATATCCTATTAGTAACTCGACTAGTAGACTAGATCCCTTTAGGCTTAGTAGATTTAGGAATTATATATTAATACTATAATATTATAATTCTTATTTCTAGATAATAACTTTACTAATTATATATAAATAGTATTCTATAACTTATATAACGGTATTATATATTACTAGTAAACCAATATTAATTAGTTAGTACTTATAAATTAGAGGAAGACCTAGCTAGTTAGAAAAGTATTTAGTAGCCTAAGATAAGTAGTTTATTTCTAGTTAAAAAAAAGAACTACTATTAATTCCGGAAAAGTATTTAATAGCCTAAAAAGAAAATACTAGCTCTTACTAATTAATAAATAATTAGCTATTTAACTATTTATTTATTTATTTAACTTTTACTATTCTTTAAAACTAATTTCTTTTAGCCCTAAAACTACTTTCTTGGAAACTATCTTTTCTACTTATATAATACCTATATTTATAGAACTCTCTCTCTAAAATATATATCCTATATATGCTCTTAAAGCTCTTTAACTACTATTTTGATTTTACTATTAAATCGAGTTCTTTAAGCTTTAGATCTTCCCGGAATTATAATATTTTATTTCCTAAATTTCTTATTATAGATAAAATATTTAAGGGCAAAATATTTACTTTAATATTTTATTAGATATCTGGTATCTTAATTAGATATCTAAACCAGATATCTAGTATCTTAACTAGATATCTAAACTAAGTATCTAGTATCTAAACTAGATATCTAAACTAGATATCTAAATATCTTTATTACTAAACCCTTTCTATAAACCTATTATAAACTATTTTACCTTTAAATACCTCTTATTATAAACCACATATATATACTAGAAAGAGACTAAACTTAGTTTAATATAAATAATAAAAAGAAAAAGAAATTAATTAAGAAATAAGAAAATAGAATTAATACTAATAATACTATAAAAATAAATCTTTAGGAATATCTAAATATCAAGTTATATTAGTATATCTTATATAGAACTTCTAATAAGAACCTATAGGATTTATTTAAGGATAATTTCAAGAATTTTAGTAATATAATCTTTAGTTAATATAGCTATTATAATGGCTGGTATAAGGATATAATTTACTAAGGACAGGATATCGGAAATAGATATAAAACGAAGCTAAGCCGGAATTATTTAGACAAAATAATACTAAAGGTTAAGGTATTCTCTCTACTTTATTCTATAGTTTAGTATTTTCTAATATATAAGATTCTTTAAACTTTAAGTCTTTAACTATTATATTAATCCTGCTATTATATAATACTAAGCTTACTTGACTTGGCCTATAGAGGCAATATAATACTACCGGTAAAGGACTTGTATTTATCCTTAGAAAGCAAAGACAGAATACCGCTTTTAATATTTAATAACCTCCTCAAACTATAAAGAACTAGAGAGCTTAACTAGAAATATAATATCTTCTATAATCTAGTTAATCTTAGAGCCTGACCCTTAACTAGAATAGATAATATTTCTCTTCTAGTAGTCGGTCCTCTACTAATATAAAAAAAGAAAGATATTATCCTCTATAATCCGGTTAATTTCAGAGCCTAACCCTTAACTAGAGCAGATAATATTCTCTCGATACTAATAAAAGTAAAAGAACTGGCCTTTTTCCCTAGTATAGGAAGAATTAGTAATAGTTTACTAATTTAAAATAAGAAAAGATAATAGTCGGTTTTAGTCTACTAATTTAAAACTAGACAAAATAATAATTAGTTATAATTTACTAATATTAAATAAGAAGAACTTACTTAGTATTTATCTCTATAGCTAATATCTCTTCTAAAGCTACTATAGACGGCCCGGAACCAAGTACTATTACTATAGGTATATTAGATAAGAGGCCCTAATATAATAAAATAGAAAAGCCGGACTTTAATATTATAAACCTATATTATTGGAAAAGCTATTATAATACTATTCCGGAAGAAGATATTAAGAAGCGGCTAGCTAACTTGGAACTCAAAATTAGTATAAATATTCCGAAAACAGATAAGGCCTAATAGAGATTATTTATATAGGATAATCTTATTAATAAATACTATCTTATAGCTAATAAACAAGCGGAATACTACTAGAAATTCTACTTATATATTAACTAACTTATTAAGAAAGTTAATAAGCTAGAGGCAATTACCGGTCGACTTTATATAAGGGAAAGACTAGTATAAGA